ACGTCTTCCCGATAAAAGGGCTTCAGGTTTCATGAGCCAAACCATCTGGGCGTTGTGTGGAGGAGGGTGTTTCTGGGATGATTACACGTGGGGATGACTGGGAAAGTTATCAGTCAAGGATGCAAGGCAGACATCAAGGAATTTTATTTCTTTTCATTTCGAAGGGGGAGAAAGGTTGTGAAACTTTTCAAACAGCCATGGTGCGAATAACGTCAGCCTGGCTCCGTCAGTTACACTCCCGCTTCTGAGTCAGGAGGTGTGGGTACAAGCCCCCGTGTCGGGAATTTGAGCTCAATAATAATAATAAATTGGTCGCTTCAATCCACAACTGTTTTGTGGGATGCTGCTGTGCGCAATTGGCTGCCGCGTTCGCCCACAAATATACAGTCAATTCACTTTACAGTATGTTCTGTGAAGCACTTTGGGACATCTCAAACATGTGATAAGGCGCTACATCAAATGCAATAATAATTATTATTATTATCGGCTATCTAGACAGACACTCCAGTGCTGGGCTGGGAGATGGACTGCAATGTCAGCAGTTACCGTCCTTCGGATCAGATGTTAAGATCTCAGTTAAATCTGCTGGTTCACACGGATGTCAAAGATCCTTGAACACTATTTGGGATAGAGAAGAGAATCCCTCTCAGAGCTGCAGCCAACAATCTTCACCACCCCCACCCCCATTAAAGAAAATTAACTTCATGGCTTCGGGGATGACACTGAGTAGGTGCAGATCAGCTTGTGTAGATGCTGTTGGAAGATTACAATAACAACATAAGGTATTGTCCTAGAGTGCTAGACGGTGGTGGAGCCACTCTAGATGACCCAGTGGCTTCCTATGGTTCTACGCCTTCCTTACCTCTCGAAGTTTACCTTTCGTTTACCTTGCGTCCTTGAGGCTACCTGTCAAGGTTAATAAGATAAGTGGTTCTGTCTGAAGCCAAAAGTACTTCCCTTCCAGCAATCTGGCCAATCTACAGATGCTATTAGCTCTAAACCTCGCAGAAAGATATATTTAATCTCTCCTGAAAGTCCCTCTTTGTCCGAGGTAAGAGCTGAGTCATCACAGCGGCAGTTAAGTCTGTTGAATCATCTTTCACAGCCCCAGAAATCAAGTCTATAAGATGTTAATCTCCGTTTTAGTTTGCTTTGCGCCTACCTTTGTTATATCTGGACCTGGATGGTTGTGTAAAACTGTAATGTTGGACTTCGGGCTCCCTCCTGTGGGCAGTACTGCAGATTGTCTTTAACTCTTACCAGCCTTCGGAGGGACCTGGGCTTTCAAACCGGGCTTCATCTCCCACGGCCTTGTGGAGTAACGAACCATGCAAATCCCCCACCAACGATTTACATTTATATCGCGGCATTTGCATCGGGATGGAATCTTCTCACGGCACTTTACACGGCTTAAGCGGGGGCGGTGGGGGTGTGAAAAGGGGACCAGGGTGCCCGAAAAGATAGGTCTTTAAAGCATAAAATGACACCTTTGTTGGTTAGCGGAATCGATTCTGTGCTACCTTCAACATCTATCACATCAGGTGTGGTGGAAGCAGATAAGGCAGTCCTTGTCGAGACAACCAGTGGGAAACTTGCCACACAGCGTTCACAGTGGCAAGCTGTGCGGTTTCAGCCGGTTAAACATTTAGCAGCATCCCAACACACACACACACACACGCACTCTGGGGTCCCCCCAAGCCTTTGCTTTTTCTAAGCTGTTCCCAGACACTTTTTTTGGCAATTGGGTAAACGGCCTGCAATCCCCCCCCGCCTCCCCGGGGAGAGAGTGCGCATTCCACTCCAAACTCAGGAATTTCCCCGTGTAGCTGGCCAACATGGAATTCTTGGGTGATGGGTTGTCCACATGTGTTCAACAACTGGATGACCAAAAGAACTAATCCTTGCATTCGATTATGCTCATAGCATCAAAACTCCCTTCTCTTTTTGACTGGGATTACACGCTTGAAGATGGGCCCTGCTTGGCTCGGGTGTATTGAGGTTTGCGCTCACTTGGAGCTGACTGCAATACTGTGCAATGAGCAACAGCGTAAACAACACCCAGTAAAATAGCAGCAGTTGTACTAGCAACTGGCCACAAGGCAGCAGACCAGGCTAAGGAAAGATGCACATTAGACCGGGAGGGGAACAAACATCAGGCATCAGTTATGACCTGGGCCACAAGAAGCAGAAGCTCTCACCAACAAGGCTGGCAAATTCAGCAGAGAATCAGGGCGTTCTACGACCTGCGGAAGATTTCCCCACAACTTCACCCATTCAAACTAAACTCTCCTCCCTGTCTGTGCAGAGTTAGCCAGTCGGGTGTGTTGCATATATGACCTCAGCCCCCGCCCCTGGGCCAGGGAGGAAACTCCTGGCCAAAAAGGACAGGACAAGACAGGTCAGGACAAGGCCAGCTTGACATCAGTCTAACAATCCGCCACTCCCCAAGAGACGGGAGATTGCTGGAACAATAAGTTAAAAACATTTCACTTCACCTGAGTGAGCCCTGCATGTGTGTCAGCCTGGTAGCCCTCTTAATAATAATAGTAATAATCCTTGCATTTGATATAGCGCCTTATCAGTCCTCGAGACGTCTCAAAGCGCTTCACAAAATATACTGTAAAGTGAATTAACTGTATATTTTGTGGGCGAAACGCGGCAGCCAATTGCGCACAGCAGTGTCCCGCAAACAGTCGTTGATTGAGTGCCCAAATTATTATTTTTTTTCTTGAGGGATTATTACCAGGTGTGTGGAGGAAGGAAACTTGCCCAAGGTGTAGCCCTGCCGGGAATCGAACCAAGGTGTCTCGCTTGCGAGGCGAGTGCTCTAACCACTGAGCAGTCAGAAGATTGTGGGTTCAAGTTCCACATTGGTCTAAGCTGACGCTGAGGGTTTGTTGCATTGTCGGAGGTGCCGTCCTTCAGATGAGACGTTAAACTGAGGTCCCTTCTGCCTGTTCAGATGGATGTTAAAGATCCCATACAACAAAGTTACAATTGGGGTAATAACCCATTCAATAAATAAATAAATTGCAATAAATTGTAATAATAACTCAATCCACAACTGTGTGGGAGACACTGCTGTGGCGCACTTGGCTGCCGTGTTTTGCCCATCCAATGTAGAGTCAATTCACTCGATAGTATATTCTGTTAAAAATAATTAATAAGAATAAATTGTAATACACGGGCAGTGAGTGTCAATTTGTAGGCAATTTGTAAGCGAGTGAGCAGAAAGTTCAGAAATTTCTCTGCAGGCCATCGCAAACTTGCTTTTAAAACGATCTGCAAATGAAACAGTAACTGATGCGTTCATGTGTAATCATTAAAACTTTGATAAGGAGTAAGGACCACAGCATCTAATGTGTTTTAAAACGAGTGTCGTTTTCTCTCCTGCTCACGGGCCCCAACAAACCTTACACCGTAGCAAACACACACAGATAATACGCGCACACAGATATCATAGAATCATACAGCACAGAAGGAGGCCATTCGGTCAAAGTGTCTGCGCCGGCTCCTAAAAGAGCAATCCCACTGACCCGCTTTCTGTCCATAGCCCTGCAATCCTGTCCTCCCCGAACACCCATCCACTTCTCTCTTAAAAGTTGTTATTGAATCGGCCTCCGGTACCCTTTCAGGTAATGCATTCCAGATGCCAACAACTCGCTGGGTGAATATATACACACGCACAGATATATGCAGAGAGATTTCCACGCCCGGGCGGAGATTTCCACTCCCGGGCGGAGATTTCCACGCCCGCGCGGAGATTTCCACGCCCGGGCGGAGATTTCCACGCCCGGGCGGAGATTTCCACGCCCGGGCGGAGATTTCCACGCCCGGGCGGAGATTTCCACGCCCGCGCGGAGATTTCCACGCCCGGCGGAGATTTCCACGCCCGGGCGGAGATTTCCACGCCCGGGCGGAGATTTCCACGCCCGGGCGGAGATTTCCACGCCCGGGCGGAGATTTCCACGCGCGCAGTCCTTCCTCGATGTCCCTGTGTAGTGTGAGAAGTCAGTCACTGACCAGTTCAAACTTTCTAAGCTCATGAATAAAATTTCGCTGTAATGCATTCCATACGTGGGCTGGAGTTTCAAACCAGTCTGAGCTGCCAGTCAGAGAGAGAGAGAGAGAGAGAGGAAAAGAGAAAGGGAAAGAGAGAGGAAAAGAGGGAAAGGGAAAGAGAAAGAGAGGGAAAGAGAAAGAGAGGGAAAGAGGGAAAGAAGAAAAGGGAAAGAAGAAAAGGGAAAGAAGAAAAGGGAAAGAAGAAAAGGGAAAGAAGAAAAGGGAAAGAGAAAGAGAAGAAAAGGGAAAGAGAAAGAGAAGAAAAGGGAAAGAGAAAGAGAAGAAAAGGGAAAGAGAAAGAGAGGAAAAGAGAAAGAGAGGAAAAGAGAAAGAGAGAAAGAAAGGGAGAAAGAGAGAAAGAAAGAGAGAAAGAAAGGGAAAGAGAGAAAGAAAGGGAAAGAGAGAAAGGAGAGAGAAAGAAAGAGAAAGAGAGAAAGGAGAGAGAGAGAGAAAAAGAAAGAGCAGGAAAGAGAAACAGAAGGAAAGAAAGAAAGAGAGAGAGAGAGAAAAAAAAGAGTGAATTTACATCCCAGCTGATTGATGAAGGCGTTTCCATCCTCTCTCCCTCTCTCTCTCTCTCTCTCTCCTCCCAATAGTGGGAGTGAGTGAGTGAGTGAGTGTGTAAGAGAGGAAAAGGTCCACTCTCTCTCTGTCTCTCTCTCTCTCTCTCTCCTCCCAATAGTGGGAGTGAGTGAGTGAGTGTGTAAGAGAGGAAAAGGTCCACTCTCTCTCTCTCTCTGTGTCTCTCTCTCCTCTCTCTGTGTCTCTCTCTCTCTGTCTCTCTCTCTCTGTGTCTCTCTCTCTCTGTCTCTCTCTCTCTCTGTGTCCCTCTCTCTCTGTGTCCCTCTCTCTCTTGTCCCTCTCTCTCTGTGTCCCTCTCTCTGTGTCTCTCTCTCTCTGTGTCCCTCTCTCTGAGTCTCTCTCTCTGTGTCTCTCTCTCTGTGTCCCTCTCTCTGTGTCTCTCTCTCTCTCTCTCTCTGCTATGATCTCTCTGGACTACCCCATCCCTTATGTCCTCTTCTCCGCTGCCAGTTTCGGGGCCGCTCGGGTGGTGATGAGGACCTTCTCTCCGCTGCCCGGACCGGTCCAACGGGACGAGGTCAAGTCGTGGCGATGGACGAACCTCAATGTGTCTGTGATGCACTCACTGATCACCGGACCTTGGGCTCTGCTGTGGTAATGTCTATCGTCGCTCTCCCCCCCACCACGTCCTCTCTTGACTGCGCTGTACGTTAATTAACTAACTAACCAACTCACTCACTAACCAACTCACTCACTCACTAACTAACTCACTCACTAACCAACTCACTCACTCACTAACTAACCAACTCACTCACTCACTAACTAACCAACTCACTCACTCACTAACTAACCAACTCACTCACTGACCAACTCACTCACTAACTAACCAACTCACTCACTAACTAACCAACTCACTAACTCACTCACTCACTCACTAACCAACTCACTCACTCACTAACTAACCAACTCACTCACTAACTAACCAACTCATTCACTCACTCACTAATTAAATTGGTTAAGGAGTTATCTCATGTAACTGTTCCACCAGCTCTGGGGGTCTCTGGGGATGGGATGGATGGGGGGATGGGATGGATGGGGGGATGGAGGGGGGGATGGGATGGGGATGGAGGGGGGGGGATGGGGATATGGGGATGGAGGGGGGATGGGGATGGAGGGGGACTTGTTGGGAGAGCTATCCACCCACCCACCCCACACACAATAAAATAAATACCAGTCAGTTCGTTAAATGTCTGGTTAATTGGGTAACTGGTTCAGCAAGTGGTGAGTTCATTAACTGGTTAGGGAGGTCACCCACCCACCCAACACCTTCTTTTCTCTTGTTTAACTCTTGTTTAACTCCTTTTTTTAAAAAAAACTTTTAAGAAACTTTCTCACAGGCTCATCCCAGCTCTTGTGGTTTGCATCCCCCCCTCCCCCTTTGTGTCCCCCTCCCCCTTTAGTGTGAGCTGTTTGATCTCTCCATCATTCCCTCCTCCCCCACCCACCACCACCCATTCATGTGAAATACTTGTGCCCTGAGATCACTCCTTAGGATTTTGCGAACCAAAGAGGTCGCCTCCTGATCTCGGGGCATTGACCCGTAAAAAGGCTGTTGCTCTCTGGACCTCTCTTCCCCACGCCCTCAAATCCCTTTGCCTGGTGCCCCTCCCTGCCTTTGCGCACACGAAAAAAAACTTTAAAAAAAAACTCTCACAAGATTAGTCATACCTTTGTTTATTCCTTTGTGCTCAACCGTGTCTGGTCACTGCACGATGGTAACCTGGCTCATCGGGTTGAATTGTCGGAGGTGCCGTTCACCCATTAGTTGTGAATCTCTCTCTCTCTCTCTCCCTCTTTCCCTATGTTCCTATGTTTCAGTCACCCGGTTGTCTGACACATGCAGAATCCCATCACCGCTCTTAAAAGAATATCCAAACCAGACCAGAGAGTATGACGTGCCACCCACACATGGAAATTCCTCTATACAAACTCTCTCCCTGCAGGGATGAAGTTTACTTACCTAATTCTGAGAGCATTAGGCACAAGGTGGGGTGGGGGGGGGTTGATGAGAAACAGCGACCCTGGTCAACGATCCTCCAGTTAAATGAAATTGGTTATTTACCTCCTGCTTGTGCACAAATTTGCTGCTACCCTTGCCGACAAATGCACAGTCACTCTACTTCATAGTAATTAATGTGAAGTGCTTTAATGTCATAGGCGCTGTGTCAAATGCAATGGCTGCTAATATCGTTGAGATGTTATCTTATATGAAAAGTACTATGTAAGCGCAAGTTGTTGATGTCAAGTGTGAATTAGGAATAGTTTTTCCAACCCCCCCCCACCCTTTCCTCGCTAATATACTGTGACTCATCAGTTGCTAGAACTCTCGTCTCTGAGTCAGAAGATTGGGGGGTTTCAGCCCCGTGTCGAGACTTTGAATTCACAGTCGAGGTTGACACTCCAGGGCAAGAGCACTGCACTTGGCGGAAGTGCCGTGCTTTTGGATGAGAATTTAAACCGAGATCCCGTCTGCCTGTTCAAGTGGACATTAAACATCCCACTACACTACTCAAGAGGAAAAGGGAGTTTCTCCATGTGTCCTCTGGCAAACAATCCCTCGGATAACAACAGGAATACAGTTGTATAGCGCCTTTCACGTCGGGAGGATGTCTCGAGGCGCTGGCCAGTGTACAGCATTTCAGACCCGAGCTGGGGTCAGGGAGGGGAGGGGGTGACTGATGACATGGTCGGAGGCGGTGACTGATGACATGGTCGGAGGGGAGTGGGTGACTGATGACATGGTCGCAGAGGAGGGTCTTGAGGCAGGACTTGAAGGAGGCGAAGGAGCGGGCGAGGCGGAGTGATTGGGGAATGGAATTCCAGAGGTTGGGGGCAGAGTGGCTGAAGGCTCTCCCGCCAATGGTGGGGCGGGTGGGTCGGGGGACGTGGAGTAGGCCAGAGCCGGCTGAGCGGAGGGAACCGGCGGGTTGGTAGGGGGTTAGGAGGTCGCAGAGGTAGGGTGGGGCGAGGCCATGGAGGACTTTGTAGGTGAGGACCAGGATCTTGAACTGGATTCAGATCCTCACCAATCTAGATTGCCAACAAAGCAGAGGCCAAAATCACACACGCAGGAATTGCAAAGAATAATTCACCCAAAGCTGTTCCAATGCATTATCTAGCAGTCATCTTAAGTAGGGAAAGTGGCAGAGACCTATTTTGTGGGATGTTGCTGTTCACAAATTGGCTCCAGAGTTTACCTACGAAATAAGTCACTCCAGTTTACTCGTGTATATCTGAAATAAAATAATGGTCCTTGCGTTTAATACAGCGCTCTTTCACGTCGAGGGGACGTCTCAAAGTGCTTCACATGATTTTACGGGTAGTGACTGTGTGTTTTGTCGCTGATCATGACACTACTGTAATGCTATGCAGCAATGTTTCCATAAGACGAGGTGTAAAATTTCTTTTTCTTCCCTCTTTTACAGTGTATACCTGTCTCCTGAATTGTTGACTGAAATTCAGACGGCCTATAACTCACTTTCTCACATGCTTGTCTGCACTTCCACAGGTGAGACTCTCAGTTTCTATTGAATAAAATAACGTCATCTGAGATTACATTAAAAAACATTTATTTAATTGATGCTTGAGACTGACTGTCGGTGTAGTGTAAAGCTCACTTTAGCTGATATTGAACAGGGGATAGTTCATGATCAATAATGGTCCTTGTAATCAGTACAGAGGTTTTCACATCGCGAGGATATTTCACTGGATATACTGTAAAGTGCAGTGACTGTGTGTGTGGGGAGGGGGGGTAGGAGTTGTAGACAAATGCTTACAAAACACCGAAGGAGGCCAGAATGTTTTCCTGCTCTTACCTTTAAGACGAATTGTCTTTCTTTTAAAAAAAAACACCACGGGGAAAAAACGGCTTTCAAATTCAGACTGTATTTAATGATGTTCCTAAAATCTGCCCGGATTTGAGTTTTAAAGGCAATGGTCTTAAGTGGGGTATCTGCGCGTGCACACTGAGTGCCTGTCACGCCATAATAATCCTTACATTTTAAATTAAGGGTTTTGAAGTAAAGTATTATTACAGTGGAATAGGGACCTTCATCTGCTGCTGTATTGACTGTTCTCTCTTAAGTTTGCTGCCTTTGCTTTCAAACCACAGTGATAATTCATTTGAAGAGTCAGTTTCAGCATGAGTTTTCACGCCCGTGTCCAACGTTTTTTTCCCAGACAGCAATACGTTATTATCGGCGAACAATACAACAGTTGCAACACTGGCTTTGTGGCATTCCTTTCAGGATTGTTTTGGTGGGGGTGGGGAGAGGGACGGCTTTACCTGGTGGTTTATACCCTGTGGTTTGGCAACATGCGGTGATTCAAAATTAACTGCAAAAAAAAATGAATTGGCTGCAGTAGGAACAGATTTGATTGCAGGTTCCCTGACGAACTGGAGCAAGAACTTTGTGTTTAAAGTGATGCTTGTTCAGACCAATTCGAAAAATAATTCAACACAATTTGGGTTTGCAAGCCTCTGGTGCAGGTCGAGTCTTGGCCACATGGTTAATCGTTCCTTTGTTAATGTTGGGGCGTAGCAGTGAAATAGCACCCTGCCCTGCCGTCAACATCTATACATAGCTCACCGAAGAGTGATTAAGAGCTGTAACCCTGCTTTGTACCCCACCCGAGCCCTTGGCTTTGAGATCAGGCTGTTTGGGGGCAAATACCAGTTAACAAGCACCAACCACAACCTTACTGTTTACCTAATAGCAAGTAAAAACCCCGTTAGTCGATTGGCGGATGGCTTCCCAGGTTATAATAATCCCTTCCCCCCTCCCCCCCCAAAAATAAAATAATTTAGTCACTCAATCCATGACTTTGTGGGACACTGCTGTGCGCAATTGACCTCCTCGTTTCGCCCACAAAATACACAGTCACCCCATTTACAGTATATTCTGTGAAGCGCTTTGAGAAGTCTCAACGACGTGATAAGACGTTATCTCAAATGCGAGGTTTATTATTATTGCTGTTCCATTCATCTCAGTCAATAGGATCTTCTGAGTGCTCTCGCTGTACAGGGTCCTTTTTTCTAAAAAAAAAGCATTGTTCTATTATTAATAATAATAATAATCCTTGCATTTGATATAGCGCTTTACCATGTCTTCGAGACGTCTCAAAGCGCTTCACAGAAAATGCTGTAAAGTGAATTGACTGTGTATTTTGTGGACGAATTAGTAGAACCAGATTTGATCACATAAACCAATGGCGTAACTCTGCTAACTCTGTGACTTTTTTTAAACCATTTTTGTTCATCCGATATTCCTTCGCTTTCAGGTTATTTTGTCCAAGATGTGGCTGATATTATCTTGAGTGGTCAGTCCAGGGCATCGTGGGAGTTCCTTGTGCATCACCTGGTGGTAATTATATTTTAGATTCAGTAATCTACACTTTATCCCTCCATGTGTTGTGTCAGCCTGGTTTAGATGGCGACACTCTTGCTTCTGAGTCAGAAGGTTGTGGGTTCAAATCAGGACCTCATGTCTAGTCTGCACTCCAGTGCAGTCCTGGGGGGAATACTGCATTGTCAGAGGTGCCGTCCTTTCAGTCGAGGCGTTAAAACTCAGATCTCACCCGTCCTGTTCAAGGGAACGTTAATAAAATAAAAGCTGTGATATTATTCCAAAAGAGAAGAGAGTTTGTCCCAGTGCCGTGGGCAACATTCCACCAGGTAAATTCACTTAATGGCTGCTTGTGGCAATGTCGCTGTGTGTATATTGGTTGCTGCGTTTGCCTACTAAATGCATAGTCACTACACTTTAGAGTAAATCCTGTGAAGAGCTTTGAGATGTTCCGATGACGTGATAAGTTGCTACATCAAATGCAAGCGTGCAGTTTGAGAGCTCTGCTGTGAATCCTCGCGTGTTACAGCCCTGTTGTGTGTGTGTATATAATGTGTTGAATGCATTGCAGATAATGTCACGTACGGCTAATACAGCAACAGCAATGTGCGCCCTGGTGATGTTTTCTAAATGCCCACAAAATGCACAGTCACTCCACTTTATAGTATACCCTGTGAACCTCTTTCCTAAACTATTTCCTCTGGTGGGGGGGGGGGGAATCCAGAAGGGGGCATAATCTTAAAAATTAGGGCTAGGCCATTTAGGAGTGAAATCAGGAAAGTTTAGTGGGAATCCGGAACTCTTTTTCTCTCCCCAAAAGGCTTTGGATGTTGGATCCATTAAAATTTTCAAGACTGAAGTGGATAGATTTTTGTTAGGTCAGGGTGTCAATGGATATGGGGCAAAGGAGAGTCATTGGAGTTGAGGTACAGATCAGCCATGATCTAAATAGAATGGCGGAACATGCTCGAGGGGCTGAATGGCCTACTCCTGTTCCTATGTTCCCAAGTGAAGCACTTTGAGAAGTCTCAACGACGTGATATGAAACCCGGGGATTATTATTGTACGATTGTTATTAAAAACGTCACGGTTCCAACCAATGGCTTTTATCGTGGTTTTCATTTTGTGCTGGCTGAGACGCTAACAATTTGTCATCCTGACGCTGGCACATGGGTTAATGTTAAACCCACTGGATGCCAGAAAATTACTAACCAAGCAAACTGTGGAGAGAGATGCAGAATAGCAATCTGCCTTCAGCAAGACTCCAGAGATTGCTGAAGAACACTAAACCCATTTTGCTTCGTGAGCCGAAAATTAAATGAAAAGACTGATTTAGGATCGACGCCCTTTGTATTATTGCAAGAATTCTGACCCGCACTTACTTCTCTCATTGTCTAGAAGAACAGAGGGTTTCATTTACACACAGCAAGACGCTGTGTAAGGTCAGGCAGTGTCTTACGAGTGTCACTCTTAGCAAAAGAACGAGTTTAAGCGAGCATTTCAAAAAGAAGTCCCACTTTTATAACGTCTTATAATATTGAAACACCTACAAACACCACAAACGTGATTGTTCTTTTGTTGGCAAAGGTGACAGCCTTTTGATGATGATGATAATAATAATAATAATCCTGGGGCTTGATATAGCGCCTTATCACGTCTTCGAGACGTCTCAAAGTGCTTCACAGAATATACTGTAAAGGGAATTAACTGTATGTGCCAACAAGGTTCCACAAACTGCCAAGAGGTGACTGGTTGATTAACGTACTGTAGAGGATTGTTTGCCAGGACACCGGGAGAAACTCCCTTCTCTGTAGTGCTCTCCCGACAACCCGGGGGTAATGTTCAAGGGGCTTGAACCCACAACTTTCTGACACAGAGGCAAAAGTCCTAGTAGGATTAGAGATGCATGAAATTAAAACTGGGTCATGAAAGTAAGATTATACCTCAGTAACTATTTGTTGCTAGGTCGGGTACTTGTTTAGCAGAACTTTATACAGCTGCAGGGTGTGACTGGAATTTACTGATTACAGGGGTAATTGTTGTCAAGTGAAGTGAACAGAGGATTCAGTCTCTGATTAAAATGGCTTTTCTTCACTGCTGCCACAATGCTCACCTCCGCCTCTGTCTCTCTCCAAATGTTGCCGAAATGCCTTTGGTATCTCCTACCTAGAATGCACTACTCGCCCGTCTCCCTAGCTTCACCATCCATAAACTCTAACTAATCCCAAATTCCATCGCCCCCATCCTAAAACACACCAAACGCCACTAACCCATCACCCAGTCTTCACCAGGCTCCTCTAGCTTGCTATTTCCCACTGGAATAGCACCTTCATGTCTCTGATCTTCTCCTAACCTGCTTCACTGTTAGTCCCCTCCTCTCAGTTTACAGAGCCTTACTGCACATCTCCCCTATCTGTGTCCTGCTACTATTGCTTCAACCATTAGAAACCCCCTCTTTCTACCTCTCTGTTTCACTGCTCTGTTATTTGTTTTTAAGTCCCACCTATTTCTTCAACAGTGCGTATCGTCCACCCCCCACCTCACCCCACTCCCTTGCTTGTTGTCCAACCCTGTCTTTGTAAACAGCCCCAAGGCATTTTCCTAAGTGAAGGACACTGTATAAATGTAAGTTGTTGATTTACTTGCTGGCAAACACGGCAGCATGTTTGGTGACTGCCAAGACCCATAAACAACCATGAAGTGAATGATCAAATTATCTGGAAGATTGTTAACTGGGACAGTGTACTAACTGTGAACTTGATCCATTGCAAAACTGTTTTGAAAATGAGACTTTGAGTCTAGACGTTGACTTATTTGTGCACTGTCATTTGGGTGGGATGTACTTTGTGTTTGCTGTTTGCTTCAGGTTAGTCTATGTTTCTTATATAGAGGTTATAATAATCATCCTTGCATTTGATGTAGAGCCTCATCATCGGAGGTTCAGGGGTGATTTCATTGAGATATTCAACGTGACGAAACAAATTGGTAGGTTAGCTGGTGAATGATTCTGTCCTCTGTTAGAGGGATCTTTAACAAGGGGGCATCCGCCTTAAAATCAGAACCAAGTCAGTTAGCACTGAGGTCAAGAACGATTTATTCACATAGGAGCTTGTGAAGATGTGGGAATACTTCCACTAGAAATCTAAAGAATAATAATAATAATATAATAATAATAATCCTTGCATTTGATATAGCGCTTTTCACGTCGGGAGGACATCCCAAAGCGCTTCACAGAACACACTGTAAAGTGAATTGACTGTATATTTGTGGGCGAACGCGGCAGCCAATTGCGCACAGCAATGTCCCACAAACAGTCGTGGATTGAAAATGACCAATTTATTTTTGTTTTTGGTTTTGGAGGGATTATTATTAGGCTCTGTGTGGAGTAAGGAAACTTGCCCAAGGTTTCGCCCTGCCTGGAATTGAACCCAGGTCTCTCGCTTGCAAAGCGAGTGCTCTAACCACTGAGCTACAGGATCAATAGGGACGTTCCGAATAGAGTGGGAGGGATACTTGAGTGGTAAAGGTAATAAGTGGTATGGCGAAAGGGTGAGGCAATGTGATTAACAGATCCACCAAAACCTTGACGTCTCAAAAAACTTCACAGGATATACTGTATCTTGTGGGCGAAACGTGGCAGCCAATTGTACACAGCAATGTCCCACAAACGGTCACGGAGTGAGTGACCAATTTTATTTGGGGGATTGTTGGCCAGGACATCGGGGGAAACTCTTTTTTGAATAGCGCCATGGGATCTTTAACAGGCAGGCGGGACCTCGGTTTAACGTCTCATCCGAAGGATGGCACCCCCGACCAATGTAGCGCATCCCCCGGCACTGCACTGGAGTGTCATCTTAGACGATTTGGTTCCAAAGTCCTGACTTGGGGGCTTGAACCCACAACCTTCTGATTCGGAGCCGAGAGCGCTACCACTGCGCCAGGCTGACAATAACCGGGTGGGACAACTTCAAAGGGGCTGAATGGCTCACTCCTGTTTTCCTCTGTCCCTGTCCTGTTGCAAAGTTTTTCCGTCGAGGGCAGTGGCAGTGCGTTTGCGGGCGAGTCGGGAGGCCTGGTACCAGCTTGCAAATTAGCGACTAAGAAGATACTAAAACGTGCAGAACCCTGGGCAAGGCGGTTAGCTAACAAGCGAGCTTCCTAAAAGGCAAGAGTTGCTCCAGGCAGTAACGACCATAAAGATAAAGCTTTAATGACAATAGTCCGACTGGGCCTGCCTCTCAGGCTTCCTGGCTTTCCTCTGAAAGAACTTGGCTTTCTACAACGCCTATAACATCGTAACATCTCAAAGCTCTCCTCAGTAATTCCTACCACATGTGTCTGCTGTTTCTGCAAGCTGACGTGGCAGGCATTTTTGCACGGAGCAAAGTCACATGAATCAGGCTTTAATATGGACTGGTTGAACTGGATTGTTTGAAAGAGGTCTTTTTTTTAAAAAAAAGATTGCTGTCAGAAACTTTCGTTGTTTCTTTCCAAAACAAAAGGCACTAATTTCTTCTGCCTATTCTGTCTATTTATTGATGATGATACAGGACCCCCTCAGTACAATTCAAAGTCTGCACTTTGCTCATGATATTGTTGAACACGAAAGAGAAGACATCGGTGATAGATAAATGCGGAATAAATAAATAATCGGATTTCATTTTAGGCTGTTCTTTTATCATTTTAAAAACAAAAGCAGCACACAGTGGATGGAAGGAGACGCATTGCCTCATTGCCAATAACTGTGATCGCTGGAATTCCAGCCATTATTCTGAGTTCTACAGATAAAACAGGAGCTGGTCTGAAGTAGGCATATGTAGGCATCATCCAACCCACCCGACAATTACACAGCCACTGGTCTTCACAGTAAATCCAGCGAAGCGCTTTGAGACGTTACAAGGTGCCACGTCAAACACGAGGCTGATTGATCGATCGATCGATCAATTTCACCAGTGACAGTGCGACGTCGCGAAAAGTGGAGCGAGCAGGCGGAAGGACACTTTTTAAATGTTGCACTTTGTGCGCCCGGCGCTTGACTGAATTGCGCCTCTGTGGAACCCAGCTGCATGACGAGGCTGGGGCTTCACAGATGAATAGGACGTTGGTACAGAGCTGCACTGTCTGTGGGACATAACTCATAACTGTCTCTGCTGGAGTGTGACACTGCCCCCATTGTTCGGCTGCTCCTGAACCCGAGTAACTCAGATTGTCAGACCACCCTGGTCGGGTCGACTGGCCACCAAATCAGCCGTTGCCTTAATTGCCAAATTCGTTCTAAAAGGCAACTCGTGGTTTGGGTTTTTGTGACACGGAAAGAAAAAAAAANCCAACGACATCCATGGCACTGTCTAGCGATTTTTGGTACTGTCCCCCGTTTCTGTGGGTTTTTAAATCTTTTGACCCGAGGAACGGCAGTGGGCAGTGGGCGAAAACGTCACTCAAACCCGTGGTCGGGAAAGGCTGTCGGCCAGGCTGCTGTGTTGTAACACACCAGAGACTTAAAGTAAATGTTTACTGTTGGAGAACAACCGTGTCCCCAGGCATCAGGGCGAATAGTGACCCAATTGAACGCGAGCCCAAGATTGTGGTGGCTTTGCTCCTATTCCGCACACACCACACAAGGAAGGGAAGGGGACAAATATGTCTTTGCAAAGGGGGCAGTTAAATAGGAACACCAACGAAAGCTAAAATAAGAACATTCTGTCTAAGTGCCTTCTCTCCCTCTCTCTCTCTCTCTCTTTCCAGGTAATTTCCACCTTTCTGTACACAGTGCTCACCAACCGCTACATCGCTGGAGCTGTGGTGGCTCTGTTTGTTGAGATAAACAGCATCTTCCTACACACCCGTCTCCTCCTCAAGCTGATGAACGCTCAGACCTCGCAACTCTACCACTGGAACAAGTACATCAACGCCTTCACCTACGTGGTGTTCCGGCTCTCAGCCCAGCTATACCTGACCTGGTACGTCATGAGGAACATGAGCACTCTCCCGCACTCCGGCTACTTCAGCCTGGCCTTGAATTTGATGAACATAATGATCTCCATTTACTTCTACCGCCTGATCCGCACGGATTTCTTCAGGAAACCCAAGCACCACCTGTACAACGGCAGCAACCTGAAGTTTGTGGACGAATGAGAGAGCTCAGTGCGCTCAACGAAAAGCACTGACTTGATCCAAAACTGCTGTACAGAACCTAGAAGAGTTGCACTGAATGCACTACTCACACCCACCCCCCCCCCCCCCAACCCCCAACCACCCCATCCCCCACAGACTTGGAGCACAGTAACTATCCTAAACTTTTAACACCGTCTATTTGCGGTTGCCTTTTGTCTTCATTGTGAGCTTTAATGCATTTGGTGGAGGCTCCTGCAGTGAGACGACGAACAGTGCCAACCAGTTTCTAACGTGTCTTGTGTGTGTGTTTTTTTTATTAACCGAGATTGTCCGAGGCTAAAATTGTAAATAAAATTAGAATGAGTGCCATAATCTAAATTGCGGTGCTATAAACCTGCGTGATAATGTCTTGTCGTGCGATAACACTGCAAATAAAAAAGGAAGGGTGGGGAACGTAATACGAGGCTATAACACAGAAATAAAGGAACCCTGATGGTAGCATAATCCAGTAGGACAAAGTTTGAGCAAGTCGTAATGTATCTAACCCCCTGCCTCAATCCTTTCTTTGCGCCTTTAAGTACCATTTCAGTTCCTACCTCTTCAACCGAGTTTACGGCCAACTCCCCCTCTCCCTTGTTCAGCGTCTAACCCCACGCCATTGTAAAGCACCTCTGAGGTGTTATCCTGTGTAAATTCAAGTTGTAGTACTGAAGCGTACAAGGACAGTGTATATGTGTGTCGGAAGAGGCTGTTGTATTTTTGCCAGAACTGAAATGTTTTTTCCCAATAAGTCGTATTGAAAAGGGTCACAACATTTTGTGTGGAAATTAGAGCCCTGCATGTTTAGTTGTGCTGTATACAGTGTCAACCTTTGCCACATAATGTATTTTATATGTTTGGTTCCTGCGATGCCAAAACCTTACATTACTGCATGTCATGTCAGCGTTTTCCCGACACGAATGACGCTACACAAATGTAATTTGTTGTAGTTTGTTTGTCAGAGTCGAGGTTGACATTGTAAAAGGAGCTCATCTGCTTCATCCTTTATTAATAATAATAATAATCCTTGCTTTTGATATAACGCCTTATCGCGTTGTTGAGATGGCTCAAAGCGCTTCACAGAATCTCCTGGGAAGTGTATATTGTGCTTTTTAGAACAACTCAAATGAACATCTCGAGAAACACAACACAGCTGTTGGCATAAACAGTAATTGTAATATTTTTCAAAAGGGGAAAGGAGTTTCTCCCAGTGTCCTGGGCCACAGCCGCCACCCACCCGTCCCATAGAGAAATTAATCATCTGCCTCATGTCTGCGTGTGTGGGGGGGGGGACATCGCTGTGCGCAAATTGGCTGCCACTTTTACCTACCAAATACACAGTCACTACACTTTACACTGACTTCTGTGAAACGCTGTATCAAATGCACGGACTATTATTGTTCTTAATTCTGTAGGACCAGACTGCGAGTTAAGGGCAGCAGCCATTTTCAATGCTGGACACTTTGCAGGGCAGCTTGCTTCAAGCTCTCTTATTAGTTGTCTTCAAAGGCACTTTTCTTGTCTTCATGCAAGAAAAGTGCTTTGTGCTTTGACATCTTAGAGCAGCGTTAGTTGTTACCATAGCGACACCATTGCTTCAGACAGAATGCCAGTGTCAGAGCAGAAGTACAAGGCCATTGGGAGCGTATTATTTTTTTCCTCAAAACAGTACCCGTTGCCTTCGTTCCTCCGGGTCTGACCTCGTCCCCCGAGTCCTCTGCTCCACCCTCGGCGGCCGTGCCTTCAGCCAATATGTCCCGAGGCTCTGGAACTCCCTTCCTCACTCCCTTCGTCTCGCTCCCTCCCTTCCCATTTTCAGGTCTCTGCTGAAGACCTTTCTTTTCGACCGCACCTTTGGTCACCTTCCCCCACCCCCTCCTCCCCCTGGCTCAGTCCCGGGATCCGTTACTGTAAAGCGCTCTGAGACGCCGTCCGGCGTGGAGGGCGCTATATAAATCCAAGTTGTTATGTAATCTGGAACAATTTATACACTGCTCAGCGTCAGAAACAACCTGCCCAGTACCTAGTACGAGGTTTGCCTTGCCCTCGCTCCCTTTGATGTTCCAAATGGCTCCGGATTTTTTGAGACAGGAAATTTTGGCCTTGCAAGCCAAACATTCCTGCTGGGGTCGTCCGAACAACACAAAGTGGAGCAGAACAAAAGAATAATCCTCAGCGGGTGGGGAGGGGTACCCCATCAAGAGCAATGGGAAATCTGTTGAGCTTTGTCTGTGCCCGTTCCACTGCCAGTGATTCTCTGGCTCCTCTTCCAATAGGTTCCTGACCTCTCATGATTCACCATTGCAGTGCAAAATAGAAAGGGACGTTTTTGCAGCCAAGACTGCAAGACCATCAGTGGCTTTTGTATTTTTCAACGCTGAAAACGCACTCGCTTTTTACAGTGCCTGGCACGTCAAAAGGTCTCAAAGCACTTCACGCGGCAATAATTGTGAAGCATCGTTATCCGTGATTTCTGTTGGACTGAATCAAGATGGAGGCAATACAATATCATTTACATTCGTACAGCACCTACTTGCATCGGGAGGGCATTCTCAAAGCACTCGACACTGCTGGCTGGGTATCCGAGCTGGTATTGCGGGAGCCAAAGAGGGTGGGAACGGCGTGGTGGGGTGTGGGGAAATGGGTGATTGACTAGGAGGCAGAGAGGGGAACAGACTTGGTGATTGTTACTGATTCTTCATTAGTGTGTTTGATTTGGATTTGTATCACTGTGCCATGTGTGAGTTCGTGTACAGTGGGGAAAAACATTTTTTTGCGAAATGCTTTCTCATTACATTACCGGATGTGGCTTCTAAAGGTAGTGATTTTTACGTACAGAAGAAATATATTTAATCCACGCTTGGATTTAAAATTCAGCTCACTCTTGAAGTCACTTTTAATAAGCCGCAGCAACAACAACAACAACAACAAATTGCATCCGTACAGTGCCTTTTACGCCAGGAGGATGTCCTCGGGCGCGGGACAAACAAACTGCCACAAAAAGGTAGCGCTCAAACCATCTTTTCCCAGATTTCTAGGGAACAGTCCCCGGCTGAGATACTGTGTCCCCCTGGGGTCAAATTTGCCCCGTCTTTTAGTTCAGCAACGCACCGTGAAGTATATTGCGGGATTGTGCGACTCTGCTGTGCGCAATTGGCCGCCGCGTTCCGGCCGCACCCGCGCGGTCAATTCACTTGGCGGCGCATTTCTGCGAAGCGCCTTTGAGACGCCGCGCCGGCGCGGTGGTTAAGGCTCCAGGTTACAAACGCCAGGATTACTATCACGATTATGATCATTCCGATGATTATCCATCGGAAAGCGAACCGACTGTGTATTTCGTGGGCGAAACGGCGGCAGCCAATCCCGCCACGGCGGGGCGGGCGACCCCCAAATCTTTCTTTCAACGCGAGTTATCAAGACCGTAAGACTGAGTAAGACCTTGTGAGGGTCATCACGACCCCCACCCCCCCACCCCCCCCCCCCACACACACCCTCCCAGGAGGTGTGGGGTGGAGTGACTCAGAGAGAATGAATGCATTGAATGAGAATGAATGAATGAGATCACGTGACGTGAGGAGGAGACCCCGCCCCCCGCCCCGCCCCGCCAGCCCGTCAGTTCCCCCGCGCCGCCAGAGGAGGGCGCTGCGTGCGTCGTCGACGTCGACGTCGTCGTCGTTGCGCTTGCGCAGTGAGAGGCAGCGAGACGCCAGGCCTGGTTGGCATAGCAACCGGTACCTGGGCCTGCCCCCGCAACCGCACGTGGTGACCTGACTGACTGACTTGACGTGCGGTTGTCAGGGGCCGCCGAGCATTTTTTTCGGCGACTTCTTGCAGCCCCCCCCCGAGAACAAGACCCCCCACACACCCCCACCCACCGAAACCCCCAACACCCCCATGAAGCTCCTGTGCTGAACCCCAGTGAACCCCCTTACTCCCCCCCCCCCCCATCCTCACACCTCAACCCCCCCTCCTCACACACACACACACACAGTGGGGGGGTGACAGTAGACCCTTTCTCCCCATCCCTCCCCTCCCCCGGGTTCACAGTGAACACCCTTCCCCCCCCCCCCTCCCCACCACCACCACCGCACGGGGTCATAGCGGGCACCCCTCCCCCACCCAGGGGTCATAGTGAACAACAACCTCCCCACACCCCCGCCCCCAACAGTGGACACCCACCCACCCCCCCCCCCCCCCCCCCCCCCAGTCTGTAGCAGTTGCCCCCCCATCACCACTTCTCTCCGCGCCCTCCCCCCCCCCCCACCCCCCCACCCTCCATCTCCTGTGGCTTAGAACCATTCCCCCAATGGCAGCCCCCAGTCCCCAGGTCTCCGGCCTCTGGTACGCCCTCCTCCTCCTCCTCCTCCTCTCCGGCTGCTCGCTGGCCTCCAAGCTCAATGTGCCCAAAGTGCTGCTGCCTTACTCGCCGACCATCAAAGTCAACTTCACCCTGGAGGCCGACGAGGGCTGCTACAGATGGTGAGGCCAACCTTGCTGTCGGGGTTGGTTTGGGTGGGTGGGTGGGGGGGGGTCAAAGAAATATCCCGGGTGGTTTCAATTCTGCCTTCCGCCCGATCTGTTCGTTGTCCTTAAACATTTCGAACTTGGAAAAAAAGTGATTTCCACTCTTAAGGACCAGCCTTAAGATTGACCAGAACACAGAGAGCTGGGAAACACTCAGCAGGTCAGGCAGCAGCTAATAATAATAATAATAATAATAATAGTCCTTGCATTTGATAGAGCGCTTTTCACGTCGGGAGGACGTCCCAAAGCGCTTCACAGAACACATTGTAAAGTGAATTGACTGTATATTTGTGGGCGAACGCGGCAGCCAATTGCGCACACAATGTCCCACAAACAGTCGTAGATTGAAAATGACCAATTTATTATTGTTTTTGGTTTTGGAGGGATTATTATTAGGCTCTGTGTGGAGTAAGGAAACTTGCCCAAGGTTTCGCCCTCTGCCTGGAATTGAACTCAGGTCTCTCGCTTGCAAAGCGAGTGCTCTAACCACTGAGCTACAGGACTCCAAAGGGTTCCGACGAAGGGTCGTGGACCCGAAACGTTGACTCGCTTTCCTTTCTCCACAGATGCTGCCTGACCTGCTGAGTGTTTCCCGGCTCTCTCTGTTTTCGTTTTCAGATTCCAGCATCTGCGGTATTTTGTGTTTTGTTAAATGTTGACCGGTGTCGGTTCATGTTTCTTACCCCGAGAACAAACCTTAAATTGAAGCTGACTATTCCAAATATTTGACCCTTATGAAACATGCAGATTTTTCTTTCTAAAGCTAGCATCTACTGTGTGTGTGTGTGCAGCAGAATTAAACCTTGTTTCAAAATACGATAGTGTTTTACGCTTTTAAGATACATCGCCTCCATTGGCGTTGATCACTTTAAGTTTGTCCACCAGACCATTTTCTCTCTTTTTCAAGAATTACTGGTTAAGTCCTGTAGCTCAGTGGTTAGAGCGCTCGCCTCACAAGCGAGAGACCTGGGTTCGATTCCCGGCAGGGCGAAACCTTGGGCAAGTTTCCCTAATCCACACGCCGGATAATAATCCCTCAAGAAAAAAAACAATAATTTGGTCACTTCAATCCACGACTGTTTGTGGGACGCTGCTGTGCGCAATTGGCTGCCGCGTTTCGCCCACAAAAATGCAGTCAATTCACTTAACAGTATATTCTGTAAGAGCTTTGAGATGTCTAGAAGACGTGATAAGTGCTATATCAAATTCAAGGATTATTATTATTAAAGGCTGTGGGATATTGCTCCATCTCTCAGCCACTACGCCCCGAAAGACTGGAACACTCTTCCCTCAATCCTTCTGCCCTGCCCCCTCTCTCCCCTTTTTCATGTCCCACCTGAAAAGCTTCCTGTTTTTGTTGGTGTGGCAACGCTAGACTCTCATGCTTCTGTTCTATGTTACAGGTACTCAACACGACCAGATGTAGCAACCATTGAACCTGAGTATAAGAACGGTACCGATTGCTCCCAAGCAGCTTTGATATCTGCCCGATCAACTCAGCCCGTTCGCCTGACCAGTATAATTATTGCTGAGGAGACAGGTATATATATATATATATATGGTAATTGTGTATAGGGATTGCATGATCTAAGGACTAGAGTTTAGAATATTGTTCTGTATTTATTATAATAACAATAATCCTTACATGCGATATAGTGCTCCGCCATTGTTAAGGGCTCTGAGATGCTCCCCTATGTGGAGGGCGCTATATAAGTGCACGTTGTTGTTGTAGTGCTTTGAGGTGTTATATAAATACAATTTGTTTATCACGTCGAGTGGACGTCTCAAAGCGCTTCACAGGGTATACTGTAAAGTTGTTTATTTGAATGGATTTTCAAAATTTCCCTTCCACCCCTCAGGCATGAATCTGGACAGTATCTGGTTATAAATTATTGATAAGCTTTTCTAGAAAATAAACGAGAGATGTTTGCTTAAGTTTGCTTGTAAATTAAAAGCGTGGAACAAAAGCATGTTTTCCCCCGGTGAAATATTTGATATGATAAATGCTATTAGAAAAAGAGTCCTTATACTTTTTCAGTGTCGGAGATGGAGTACTGCATTGGGCAGTGGGGGGTGTGGGGGGAATGAACAGTAGACCGATGTTTGCAAGGTATTGATTGATGAATTTTCCTTTTGTTTGTTTCAGTGACGGGCCAGATATTGCGCTGTGACACAATGGTGGACGTTATTAGTCAGATTGAAATCTTATCCACAACAAGGGAGCTGTACGTGGATGACTCCTTGTTAAAACTAACAGTCAGAGCTCTAGACGAAGAAGGTATGAAGCTGTACTTGCCAATAGCGAACATATGTACTCACAGCATGTGTGTGATGTGGTCGAATGGTTAGAATACACCAGTTTTACTCTTTAATTCGAAGTATACTCTATTCAAATACATTGAATTCAAATTCACTGCACATTTTTCCTGTCAATGTAAAATATTGAACCCAAAGTTCTACGAGTGGGAGCTATGGGCTTCTCTCCTCTCTCTCTCTCTTCTCCCGCCATTTGCCGTGAAGATAAGAGGGATGATAACCTGTCTATTTGTTTCAAAGGTAACACTTTTAGCAGCCTGGAAGGATTCTTTTTCGAGTGGAGCATAGTGAAGAACGAAGAATCGGATACTCTGACCGAGTCACCGAGTAAAATTAGGTGAGAAAGCAACTGGCCTTTACCTTGAACTTGACTCGGTGAAAGGATAGTTTAGGAAGTAGCCATGAGCCAGTATGATGAGATATTTGATGTTGCAATAGTCATACAATGAAATGGGGTTTCCCAGTTTCATTGCCTTTAATGCCTAGTGTATCTGCACAAATTTCATTTAAGACAGGTATTTAATTATGCCAGACTGAATTGTTTGATTTCACACCTGCCAGACTTGAGAGGTTTCTGATGGGCGCCCTGCATTTTCACTGAGATCTAACCACACTGCACTTGCACGCCTGTTCCTATTTCCTCAATCAGAATTCTGAAGTTTTCAGAAGCCACCTATCTGCCACCTGCGTATATAGCAAAAATGGAGACCGAAGGCAAACAGGGAGACATCATTCTTGTGTCGGGGTTAATGACTGGCACTTCTACACTGAAAACCCGACTGCAAGAAGCAGTATATAAGGTACTGATTACTCACTATGTGGGGGAAAGGAGGAGGAAAAAATAGTGGTATTCTGGAGTACACACAAGGAACATATTCGATTGAGTCTTAAAAACTAACTCTTATTTCTTCCAGACTGTCCCTCCTGCCATGATACGTCTTATTATCCTGGAAAACATTATTTTGAGTCCGTCTTATGATATTTACCTCCTGGTAGGAGCCTTCATTCGCTACAGAGTTACCAAAATAGTGAACGGGAAAATGACAGGTAAAACTCCACCGGAAACTAAACCGGAACAGCTTTGCGGAATCTTGAATTCGTTTTGCTTGTTAATATCAAAAGGACCAGCGACAGCAAGCAACCCGGCTGACGGTTTGGTTTGTCTTCAGTGCATTGTTTTGCTGTCGCGGGCAGGAGTCCAAAGCGAAAATAAAATACATTAGTACAATACAGTTTACATTTATACAGCTTCTTTCGAATTGGAAGTACCTCTCAAATCGCTTAACGCTGCTGGCTGGGCACCCGAGCTAGGGGTGGGGATGGGGGCGAAGGTGACCCTAAGTGCGGTCAAAGAGGTACTCACACTCAAGGTCCTCACACTCGCTTTCAAATTCCTTCATGCCCTGGCACCTCCTTAGCTCTTCGACCTTGCCTACGGTCACCTACCCCGGGCTTGGTGTCATGCACCACCATTGTCCAGTGCTCTGGAATGCTACCCTCATGAGGGGCGCTATGTAAATGCAAGTTGTTGTTTTATGCCCTTGAGACACACTATTCTCAATCACACTGTTCGACTGCACTGCTCAACATGGCCCTGTACATTATTTTGTCGAATGCTTTCCCGTTGCAGAAATTGAGATGCCCTCAGATCAGTACAAACTGGAACTGCAGAATCATGTGGTTGACCCTGATGGTGAAGAGGGGAATCCAGTTGCAGAGCTGGAACCTAATTCCTGCACCGTTACAGCACTTCAGAAAGGACAGGCTAGCATAGTGCTTATATACAGGAGTATCCTTTTCAATAAGCCTATTTTCCTATTAAGTAGTGTTTGATTAATTATTTAAGATAGTTAGCAAATGGGGAGTTTAAGAGATTGTTTTTTTTTCTCATGCACAGAATTGTTAGGGTATGGAATGCCCTGCCAAGAGCACTGGTCGAGGGCAGGATCCATATTAGCTTTCTAAAGCGAGCTAGATGTTATCCACAAAGGAGTAAACACAGGTAAATGGGAGTAAATGGATTGCTGTTTAAAAGAGCCTTTCTATGCTGTAAATTTCTGTGGTGGTAGCAATGACTTTATAAGCCTTTCACCTCGGGGAATTGAGTCACCTCCACTGAGAGGGAACACTGAATTGCGTGTACTGTAGATAGCGCAGTGGAATAAGCGAAAGCCAGCAATGAACAGGAAAGTGATAAACTACACAACGGGGCAGCTGTAGAAAAGGTAACCAATAATGAGAAGGTGATCCAATCCGAACTTCAAATGGACTTTGAATAAGTGTGGAAGGTGCTTGGATTCTGTTCACAAATAATAAAAAAAATTACTGGGGAGAAATTCTACAATTTACTCTTATTTACTTAGTATTTCAGAGCATCCAGAACTTGTTGAATTCAGTCTTAACTCTGAAGCTGGTTTTCTTAAAAGCAACTTGCAGAAAACTGGCTTAAAAAATTAAGCAATTTGCTCAATTCTGGATGCTTTGAAATGCTACCTAAATAGAATAAACCTCAATTGGAATTTCTTGTTTTAAGTGCTCACCGATGTAACATCAGAAATTAGAATTTGTTTTGTACGTTAAATCATTCCACAACATTTCCATAATTGTTGCATCATCGTGTGTTGAGTGATATCAAGCAGCACAGAACTTGCTGATAATTTTCCAGGTCCAACCAAGATTGTTCAGTCAGTACTGGAAAGGGTTATGGCTCCTTAATTAAATGATAGACATTCACATGCAAACTCTCTCTCATCTGCCGAACTGCACAATATATGTAGTAGAAGCTGCTTTTCTGGGTGAGTAATATCCTAAATGTCTTCTCTTATCGTGCAGGCAAAAAAAAAAAGCACCTGGAAATGAAACGAGGAAGAAATGAGCAATGTTAGTTGGATATTACAAATCGGGCCTCCTGATGACGCGTGTTACATGTTATGTTCTTAATATATATGTTCTTAGGACTTTAACTTATATAGTCTAAGCTTATGCTCCAGTGCAGTGTTGGGGTGGGTGTTGCATTGTCGGAGATGCCGTCTTTCGGATGAGATGTTAAACCGAGATCCCGTCTGCCTGTTCAGGTGGACATTAAAGATACAGTGGCACTATTCAAAAAGGAGAAGAGAATTATCCCAGTGTCCTGGTCAACAATCCCCCAATAAAAGTGGTCATTCATTTCACAGCAGTCTGTGGGACAATGCTGTGCGCAATTGGCTGCCGCGTTTGCTATTCAGATATCTTAATAATAATCCCCCCCCAAAAAAAAAACAATAAGAAATTGGTCATTTTCAATCTACGACTGTTTGTGGGACATTGCTGTGCGCAATTGGCTGCCGCGTTCGCCCACAAATATACAGTCAATTCACTTTACAGTGTGTTCTGTGAAGCGCTTTGGGACGTCCTCCCGACGTGAAAAGCGCTATATCAAATGCAAGGATTATTATTATTATTATTATCTTAATATTGAGAAAAACAATAAAATCTGATGTAATGAGGCAAAGTCATCCAGAGATTTTGCCATTCCTGGTCTTCAGTAAAGCTTTCCAAATTGTATCCTGGCATGTTTTCAGTAAAGCTTAATTTCAACATTGTATTTGTTTATCCAGGTTTTTCTGTTCTGCCCGGGGACAGATGGGTGTTGGAGATGGAAAGGAAGTATGAAATTACTGTGGAAGTGTACGACAAAAAAAGCAATAAAGTTTATTTGTCTGATGTAAGTTATTTAGTCATCTGGTTTTGGTCAGTTTCTTCCTATTTGTATTCGCTTAGTAAAGAAAGCCAAACTCCCAGCAGTTAGCCCTTTCTTCACGTCACATTTTCCAATGACTTACAAATCTTTTCCACAGAGTTTATGAGTTAAATATTAATTAATTGCACAGCTTTCTTAAATTATTTAATTGGTCTGGGGAACACAATATGAAATCAACAAGGACAGCAGTGAACTACATTTTTATTATTTTTAGTCCTTGCATTCTATACAAACACCTTTATCAGACTTAATATCAGATGTACCCAAATCAGACAATTTAGTTTCAGCATGCATGTTTATACAATCCCTCATCTCACCATAGTTTTGCACAATGTTAGTCTGGGTACATTGTCTCGGAGGACTCCTAAGAGGACTAACTTTCTCTTTGTGTTTGGCCTCTTCCTTTTGATAAGCATTTCTTTGGCCGTCCACTTCATCACATCAGGGCTTGGAGTGTGCCAAGCCTGAAAGACTTTTTGTAGATTAACATTGCTTGGTGGAGTTGTGAAGTATCACTTCTGAGGGACTTAATGCAAGCAAAGCTGCGATTTGCAGTAAGGGCATGTAGCTAGCTTTCTACAACAATATAGATAGGTGATTGAGACGCTATAAAAGAACGAGTGTATTGGAATGTAAGAAAGTACGTGTGGCTGAATTAACTCGTGAAAGCAATATACCTTTTGAAAAATATGAATGTCACCTTTTTATTTTTACAGAATTTAAGAATTTCCACTACGCTGCCAGAATTGCACTTTAGCTCCCTGGATTTCTCTAAAAATGGATCTTACCATTATGTTGACATTCTGTTGGATGGACGGACAGTAATTAACGCTTCTCTGTTTGGCGTGTTTGGGAAGGTAAGAATGGAATAATGACACTGGAACGCAGTTTACATTTATATAGCACCTTTCACGCTGGGAGAGGGAAGCTGAAGAGAGTAGCGGGTGGAGTTGGAGAGAGGAGAGGAAAGATGACCCAAAGCGCTTTCAAAGAAGTATGTCATAGTCTCAGAGGCCAGGCACGAGAGCAGGTTGTCTTCTGCATATTGAGTCATGCATTGGTTCATGCATCTGGAGAAATCAGAAATCAGGGAGGAAAAATAAACCTTCAGAGCTGAGGGCATAGGTTTAAAATGAAAACCTTCAAGTTAAGTCCTATTGTTGGAGGCTGTTTGCTGAACATCCCATTTAAACATCCACTCTGTTGGCATTTTGCATCGGACATACATAGAGAGAAAATAAGATCTATTTAAATACTGTAGTTAAGTTGTTCTTGATAGCAAACTCTAGCCTTATTTAATAGCCAGAGTACTGGTGGGGAATGACCATTTTATACTGACATCTGCTCATAAATTATATCCAAGACAACATCCAAGGCATCAACTGTACCCTGACCTGCATCAAAGTGTTGACGTAAAGACAAAACAGTGTGTGATTTCTTTAGTCAGTGCACTCAAGCAGTTGGTAGGGTATTTCTATTTCCATATACAGTATTATTTTTCTTTTAATTATGTTTTTTTTGTATTACAGAATGACACAAAATTGGATCTACCTGTTCCCATTACCGGTCACCAAGATGTGATTATTTATAAACCAATAATACTGAAGCCACGTATCCTCGTGTTCCCCTGGCACCCCAAACCCCGAAGCTACCGTCACATTATTCAGGTAACGTACACTGTAACGTAGTCATGTAAGAGACCTATAGCTCAGAGAGCTCTAACCAATCTTGTAAGGTGCTTTGCTGGAAAATCAACAGGGAGGGAAAAAAACGTATGTGTTCAAGAGGGCAAAGTACAGTACTTTTGTCTGATGCTTTTATCGAGTTGAAGGGCGTCATTATGTTTGAAAATGGCCCACAAACATGTCTTACTGAATAAAAACATTTCAAATTGGTATTCCGCAGGTTACCGGTGGAAGCGGGAATTTTACCTGGTCGTCATCTAATGAATCTGTTGCTATGGTAACAGTGAAAGGCTTTATCGCAACTGGTGATAACAGAGGCTTCAGCATCATACAGGCTAGAGATGTAGAAAATCCTGTTCACTTTGGCGAAATGACAGTAAGTCGTAAATACTACTGTCATAGTTCGAGCCCCTTTGAGTTGCACAGAGAAGCATTGTGTTTTTATGTGTGATACAACAATTCACAATGGTTAAAATCTAAATGAATGCAATAGGTTAACAATGATGTTTCATTTGATGCTTGAAAGGGATCAAACCTTTTTGAAGGCTGGAATGATAGTGAGACTCATACTGTACATCGCTTTTTACAGGACCTATTACTATACAAAAACTGCTTCAGAATCTGTTTTGGAAACTTAGTACGTTTACCAAACAAATGTACCTTTCACTTTATCACTCCAGGCAGAAAATATATACAGCACTGAACGATTACATCAATAAACCTTTCTCTCTGAAAGCTCTTTAGAGAAATGGTAGACATTCCAGTAAAACTGGAGCTTTCTCAGGTTATTTCTATATAAGAAATTGGTTGTGTACCACAGGAGGATTTATATATAAATAAATGCAAGTTGTTGTCCTTTAGTTGTTGTACCTTCCAGCAAACTAAATTTTGCTTGAAAGTACTACTATTATGACTCTTTACCTGTATAACAACTTGCATTTATATAGCGCCTTTCACGCAGGGTAGCGTCCCGGAGTGCTTCAAATATTCAAGTTTAAGATGAGTATCAGATATTCACCTTGGGCTGATGTCTTTCGAGGTAAAACCGGTTTGCAATCAGTCACGCTTCACACAATTCCATTTTCAGCTTGGGGTTTAAATGCAGTAAGTTAAAATTTGCAATCTGCAAGACTAGGCAAAAGTAGATTCAATGCAGAGTTTTTAATCTGATTTATAGCATCTAAGGCCATTAATCCCACCTAGTCGTAGACTTGAAATTTGTCTTAAATTTATAATTGCGCAGAATTGTGGAATATTCTTAAATGGACCCTTTTTTTCCCGAAACCGGGCTCCAAATTAACGTTGAATTTCAGAATTCTCCACAATTCTTGGTCGATCTTAAATTTTGTGAGAAAATGGCCTCACGGGCTAAGAAAACAACAACAAATTTTATTCAAGGTAGGATTTGGCGCCTTTGGTTACCCTAACATACACAGAGTAAAATGATGATGACATTGTGTCCACTGAATCTAGTGCGTACACCAAAGGAAAGCTAAACAATCTGGTTAATTAGGTCTACGTTCTGATATCAATGTCTATGTTCTAATATTAGGTATATGTTCTGAGGCCAGTCAGCATTGAGTTTGTGCCATCCAGAGTAGAGATTGAGATTGGTCAGGTTCTTGACCTTCCTATCATGGTGTACGGGCTCCTGGAAACAGACAACATGGAAACTGTTCCCGTCAATAACTGTACCCTAATGAACATAGAAGTGGAGGTGGACAAGCAAGGGGTGTTCAGAACCCTTGAAGGTACAATTTGCTTAATTTTTTCATTATGCAAGTTGGCAACAGTTTAATTTAAGTCGCTCAGCATCAGTGTACGATTTGAGGCTTTGTGACAACGTGATAAGGCGCTATATTGACTGCAAGGATTATTATAAGGTGACCAGTTGCATTTCAAGTTTTCTGTTTGCCTCAATCACGATCAATGAACGCTATCTTTTTTTCGTAATGGCATTATATCGCATACTCATCAATAAAGTACCATCAGACTACATTTGAAGTCCAATTTTATAGTTCCAAGATGTGTTACAGCTGTTTCATCAATCTGAAAGGCTAGTAAATTTTAATGGTAATTTGTTCACTTGAATCAATTAGCTCACCTAAAAGTACTAAACATCATGCCTTAAGAACTAAGATACCATATTATGGCTATGAACCTTTATCTGTGATTACAGTGAATTACAATGATTTGCAGTGAATTACAATGTTCGTCATAAAACAATTTCTAATAGCGCTTAATGCACCACTTTAGATTTTATTTGCAGTAAGAGCAAATTTTTGATGAGATCCTAAAAAATTACTTAAAGCAACCAGGATATTAAAAAAAAATAATTAGCACCAATTAAAGCTGCATTACTCAATAACTTGGTGGAGCAACTTGCTGCTAATGCTTATTGATGTGGGATCACAAGCTCGCCCAAGGAGGCAGTCTTCATGTGTTGAGTGTGGACAGTTTCTCTGCTTCCTGTTTCTCCGACTGCTCTAAGATGCTATCCCACATGGAAGGCTCTTTATAAATTCAAGTTTTGCTCTCACATTCTTCCCTGAATTTGGTCATTCAATCCATGACTGTTTGTGGGATACTGCTGTGTGCAAGTGGCTGCCTCATTTCGTCCACAAAATACACAGTCAATTCACTTTACAGTATATTCTGTGAAGTGCTTTGAAATGCAAGGATTATTAATATTATTACTAAACATTATTTTTGTTACTAGGTCATATCATTAACACTTACAGCTTTATCTTTATATTTTGCCAGGGAGACTAGAGCCAGGTGATGAATACTGTACTGGAATACAAGTTCAGGGCGAGACACAAGGTCACACATTGCTGACTGCCAGCTCTGGATTTATGCAGATCCACTTTAGCAGCAGCATCACTATTGCTGCTTATCATCGGCTTCGGGTGAGCGACTATGAAACAGAACCCTAAAGATGGTAGAATGTGCTACCAAACCATGGTGTAGCATTGGTGCAATGTTGAGGTATCGTTCTGTCCACAATATTTTTAATGTGTACCATGGCTAAATAGCTGACTTTTTAAGAAATAATAAGCCATTCACTAAATTTGTTGGGAGTATAGTCCATTTGAATCCGTACTCCACATATGTCAAGATGTACCTCTATGACCACGCTTTCTCCTTTTGACTCCCCACCCCCAGGCTCGGGTGCCCAGCCAGTTGTGTAAAGCACTTTGAGACGTCCTCCCGATGTGAAAAGTCCCATATAAACGTAAATTGAATTGTACTCTGGGTCAGTTTTGCAATAGCAAACTTTTATTTAAGAACATTATATGGTTATTATATTAGTATCCATTGTGTATATATAATTTTAATACAATAGGAAAATTATCTTCCTATCCTCCTTGTTTGACATGAGGGGGAAATGGTTTGTTGTGTTCTCCGCACTAATTCCTTTGCCAAGATACTTTGGTTTACTTATTAAAAAGTGATCAAAATGTTGGGAATTCCATATAAAATTCACTGATTCGGGTGTCCTATACAAATGATATTATCATATTTAGAACAGACACAGCATTAGCAAAATGAATGAGCCAGGCGTTGCTGATTTCCTGGCAAAACATAACCCTTTTAATCATTCCCGTTCTTTTATCAGGCTATAGATCCCGTTTCTGTTGCTGTTGTTACACTGACGTCTTCAAAGGAAATGCTGTTTGAAGGAGGACCTAGACCCTGGGTCCTGGAACCATCAAGGTTCTTTGCAGACCTGAGCGGTGAAGATTGGGCAAAGACGATCATTAAACAGCTACGAGCTCCACTGGTCAAAAAGAAGAACCAGCATGGCTTTAGAGTCATCTGCGTGGGCCTGGGAGAGCAGGTAAGAGGAATGAGTTCAGGAGTGCTATACTGTATAGTCCAGTGTTCAACAACAACAATAACTTGCATTTATATAGCACCACTCACACAGGGTAGCGTCGCAGTACATTTTACACTTCTGGCTGGCCATCCGAGTTCAGGACTATTGTGATGGCTGCACCAATTAAGACCGATAAATTGCAAAGGAATTGCATGTCGTGTTGCAGTATCAAATCAAGAGTTTAACAGAACAAGCTAGTATCGACTCTCGTTTATTTTTTATTGCTAATTAAAGTGAAGTTTGCCTGCACTGTGCCTGCTAGTCTCGCTTTGACTTCAGTTTACAACCCACATCAACACAGTACAATTTACATTTTTATATCACCTTTCATGACAGGAAGACATCCCAAAGCACTTAAACTCGGTCTTGCGTGCCCTTAACAGGGAACAGGCTTAGTTAGGCTTAGCAGAAACATAAAGCAGTTTTCAGATAAACACGTTATCTTATTCCAATTCATAGTAACTATATAAAAAAAGATGAGGAAGAAAAAAACATAATTTTTACCTATAGAAATTAGGGTTATGAATTGTCAAAGCATGATCTGCTTTGACAATTCATAACCCTAATTTCTATGGGAAGGGAAAAGAGAGGTAATATGTATTTATTTCAGTAAAGAGCTTAAAAGTTTTTCACTTGTCAGAAAAGTAACCCATAATGTACAAGGAAACGTTGAATGAAGAACAAAGCTAGTCTGTTCTCAAGATCAGTGTTTGCTCATCAGGTGATCCATTTTGATTGTAACCTGATTTCACAAATAAATTTAAATGCTATATTTGATTAAGAGTGCAGTTATCCTCTGAGTATTGTCATGATTTTTCCTCCTCAGTTTTTGACCTTTCGAGTAGGTAACAAGCCAAGCTTACTGAATCCCAACCCTGCTGTGGAGCCTGTTCAAGTAAAGTTTGTCTGTGCGATGCCTACCAGTCTCACTTTGACTCCTGTTTACAAGCCACATCAACTCAGTCTTCCGTGCCCTTTACTGCAGCACAACAAACAGTTGGTAAGGCTTCAATTTAGTTTATTTTTGGTTGGTGAGTTTTATTTTGAATGTGCACTCTCTCACCGGGAACACGCAACCTGCTTACCCAATTCTGGAGAGCATTAGGTGCAGATTGGCAGGAGCCAAGGTTTTCAGAACCCAGAGTGTATGTTGGATTAATTTATGGGGTGTAACCAAAGGACGTCCCAAAGCGCTTCACAGAACACACTGTAAAGTGAATTGACTGTATATTTGTGGGCGAAAGTTAGTGCTTTGACGGCAGAGGTTAACAAGGGTTGAGTGTGAAGAATCCCAGCTCCCAGGGAATGTCAGCATCCCAGTTAATGTATGTGTGAGAACATAATTTGAGTACTTACGTAATGTTTGTGTAAAGATTTTAGGTCATAAAATCCTTACGTTTTAATTTTTTTTACAATTTTTAATCGACATACACTGATTATTGAAATTATTTTCATACAAATGCATTAAAAACCTGCAGAGTTTTCCTTCAATTAGATCTTTTTCTAATTTTTTGTATTTGTTTTTGTGTTTGTTTGAGTTAGGTCCCCGTTTCTTTCTGCAGGAACAGTGTCCTGGAGCTGACTGCATATGACCAACACAGACGGAAATTTGACAACTTCACCTCACTGCTGGTGAACTGGAAATCGTCCAACAATTCTCTAGCCAGCTTTCATGTAACCAAACCCATGGAAATGATCTCAAAAGATGATGGCAGTGGACAGAGGAGGCAACACGGTGACGCGTTGAGCATAATAATAATACTTACATTTGATGACATTTCATGTCATTTTGACCATTGAATTGTTACAGTTAACTGAAACATTCAACGTCTTTTCTGTAAGGAATACTGAGAGAATTTGGGAATAATCTGAATGGAATATTTACTTTATTGCCATAGTTAGTGACAAATATTAGTTTCACATTTGCACACCGGGTTCAATATCAACAATTTAGAAGTCAAGCTTGTCATCTTTGTGGGGTTTTGTAGTAATTGCTTGTTTCTAAATCAACTAATTATTTGCCGGCTAACAGGGCATCGGATTGTTACAGTATACCGCAGGAAAGGCACAGTGTCTGTCTCAGTGTGTTTTGTGGGTTATCGAAAGACTGTTTCCCCATCAACACTAAACACCGTTGTAAGTTTCACATGCTTAAAACCTGTTCCCACTCACTGGTGGAAACCAACTGTTTTGTGTTAATTTTTATAAGATGATAGACGTGCTCTGAAGGTCACCAACTCGTACAATTTCTCAGCCACCATGTCTCTACCCACTTGAACTCGCTGTCGAAATCCCTCTGCCTCGACCCCTCTGCATTTGGCTTCCGGCAACGTCTTCTGTCCTGCGGCTCTGAGCTCCTCAATCTCCCCCAGCCTATCCCTCAAACTCACCAACAGATGTGCAACTAGGCGTCAGGTTCAACACACCGTTGTCCTTCCTTCCCCACAACCGGTCCCTGACCAGTACTGCCTTCCTCCACCTCCACCACATCGCCCGCTTCCGACCGTACCAGATGCAGCCGAAACACTCGTCCATGGGTTTGTCACTAACCGCCTTGACTAGTCAGGTGCCCTCCTCGCCGACCTTCCCAACTCCACCATCCACAAAATCCATCCCCTCCAAAACTCCGCCGCCTGCATACTCACCCGTACTAAACTCTGAACCCCCATCGCACCAGTTCTAGCCAGGCCCACTGGCTCCCACTCTCCGAACTGATCGATTTCAAGATCCTCACACTCATTTTCAAATTCCTTATCATTTTTTAAGACTTATTAGACATTGCAATGGTCTCACGATTTTTCGGTCATCCTGTAGTATCTTGTATATAAAAATACTTTGTGACCATGCTTTTTTACTGCAGGATGCTCCATTTCTGCCTATATCGACCACCATCGATTTGTTACTGGTGGATGACGTATCCATAGTCCCGGGTAACCTCACAATATACAATCACCCTGAAATTCTGGTAAGCAAAGGGGGTGCAAATAAAATTAGAGCACCACCCCACCCCCCCCCTCCCCCACCCCCAGCAAAATCTTAGAACATCTTAAATTGGTAACCAAACAGGGGTGAAAATAACATTCTCTCTTTTTTTATTTTTTAGGAATTAATTTATTTAACTGAGGGTTCTGGATATTTTTTCATTAATACCACTAACAGCGAGATAGTCAACAGCACATATGTGGAGATAAAGAACTATGTTCAGGTAAGTACTCAGAAACTTCTTTCTGTCCACATCATTCTTAGTGTTGCCCAATTGACCCTGTTGCCTTATATGAATGCTGTGTAATATAAATGCAATTTGTTGTTTCAGTTAAAGCCTCTGCAGCCTGGTGTTGTGACATTGAAAGCATATGATCTGTGTCTGACCTGCGTCGGCCCAGCTAGAGCACAGATACACGTATCAGACATATTAGATTTTGAACTGGACCTTATTCACAAGGTGAGCACATGTAAATATACTGTAAAAACATAATACTGGAGGATATTCTTATTTTTCAGTACTTAATAATGATTGATCTGCCGACAATTGCGACCACCTTTTGCATCCACGTCTGAAAGTTCCAGTGCAATTTCTTTCCATTTAAACATTTAAGGATATGTTGTAGAAAGTGTATTTGCCTGCTGAAAATACTTGTGTGCCCCTGTAGTGATGTCAACAGCTCCTTGAAATCTAAGTCGGAAGAAGACTGAAGAATGAGAAGGGGGTTAACAGAGAGAAATGTCCTTCATGACTTTATTTTTTCTCCAGGTTGAAATTGGAAAGTCCGTCCTAGTTCACGTGAGGATCCTGGATTTTTTCAAGCAGCCATTGCTGAACAGATACTTTCGCTACATGGATCTAAACCTCCAAGCTGCTTCCCCAATTGTCAAATTAGAGTAAGCACAGAACTGCGTTGCTTGAGAAACACATGGGCGCGTTTCAAGTAACTGAATAATAAAGGTGTCAGATCTGAACTGCATTTTGTTCTTTCACCAGGATAGGACTACTGCCAAAACTACTGTTTTAAGTGATTTTAAGACGTTTAGATGTACAGGTGCGAGCGTTTCGAAGTAGTTTTTTTTAATATATATATATATATGTTCACTGTTGTATACTTGTTACATTTAGCAAGGGTTTTTACGCCAGCTCAGATAATGTTTGCATGCTTAAAACACGAGCAACAGATTGGTGAGTTGAGTCCAAAGGATATGAGTCACTGGAGACATAGCACCCTCAGTTGGCTGAGCTTCCTCAGTTCTCAGCCAGGACGTGAGGAAAGCGATGTACAAGTTGGTCCAACTGGGGTCGATGAGAAGGATGGAATGGACGGTAGGCATGGAACCAGCTTCACACAATTTTCCAAACTTGGATCTTATCAGTTTCTGGGCACCAGCATTGGCAACAATAACAGTTGGGATCACCTGCATCCATTGGCTCAAATGGTCATTGCTCAAGATCCGTGTGAAGGTATTCTAAATGGAAGAATTTGCATAGCCTTTCTTTAAATTTTCAGGGGATTTTCCAATTTGGATCAATACGCTGTAAGTTACATCATGAAAGCTGTGGCTTTGGGGCAGACCACTCTTGTAGTGACTGTCAGGGATAAAAATGGTCGCAAGCTGAGTTCTGCTCCACGTCAAATAGAAGTGAGTATTTGTTTTTTTTCCTCTTGTCGATTGCAATATTTGATATAACTGTGGTATTGAGAGCACCGCGCCCTCTGGGGGTAAACTCTAGTGGTGGGTTTTAACTAGCTTGTCTGTATATTCTATTTTCAACCGAAAGATAATGTTAGACAACATTGCTTCCTATGGGAGAACAAACCAGTGTTGGAGAAAAACTTTAAGGTTAAGAGGGTGCCTAAGGACAATTGCATGTGTAACTCCGAGCCCTGTAAAAGGTAAAGCAAAGGATTTGACCCTGCAATGTAAAGTATTTTCCAGCACTGGACTCAAGGATTATTATTATTTTATTTTGCCCTCTTTTTGTTGTACTTGGAAATCAAAAGGTTAATTATGCATTGTGATTATGATTGTCTATGTGACATTAATTTGCTATTTATAATATCTTCAGGTGTTCCCACCCTTCAGACTCATCCCACGGACAGTGACCTTAATCATTGGTGGCATGATGCAGGTTAGTGGATGTTAGTAATGAGCTGGCACGTGACCTCCTATCTTTATCACCTCAAGTCTGGACTATGGGAACTCTCTCTTCGCCGGCCTTCCCGGCACCTCCCTCCACAAGCTCCAGGTCATTCAGAACTCTGCAGCTTGTGTACTGTCCCGCATCAGGCTTCGCGACCACATCACTCCCACCCTCGCCCTCACTCGCCTCCACTGGCTTCCCATCCCCCAGAGGATCGAATTCAAGATCCTCATCCTCACCTACAATGCCATTCACGGCCTTGCTCCCTCCTACCTCTCCGACCTACTATCCCCCTACTTACCTGCCCGTACCCTCCGTTCCTCTGGCTCTGGTCTGCTCCACATCCCCCGCCCTAACCGCCCTACCATCGGTGGCCGGGCCTTCAGCCTCTCAGCCCCGAGGCTCTGGAACTCCATACCCCAGTGCCTTCGCCGCCTCCTCCCTTTCCTCCTTCAAGTCTGGTCTCAGGAGCTTTCTCTTTGACTATGCCTTCAGCTCCCCTCTCGACTCTCTACCCCCTCCTCCTTCCCTCTGTTCACCCTGACCATTTCCCCCCTTGCTCGGGTCCTGACCCAACTGTCCAGCGCCTTGGGACGTCCTCCCGACGTGAAAGGCGCTATATAAATGAAATGTTGTTGTTGTTGTTGTTACAGCATGGTAGGACGGAGTTTTAAAGCAGGGGACGTTAAATGTTTTATCCTTGTGTCCTACTGACTTGCTTCATTCTAAAGTGTAGCGTGAAGGTATTTTAGAATTATTATTTTGATACATTTGGTTACAGGTGATGTCCGAAGGTGGTCCACAGCCACAGTCCAACATTTATTTTTCGATCAGCAACCACAGCGTGGCCAAGGTAAATGATCTAGGCCAGCTGACTGCCTTGGTCGTGGGGACAGCCAAAGTGACAGGAATCGTCCAGGCTGTTGACGATGACACAGGGCGAGTGGTTGTGTTCTCCCAGGTAATTGATCCAGTTTCTAGTTTCCTCAAGAACCAATTCTGAGCCTAGTCCGCAAATGGCTGGTGAGGTTGACCCGGTTGTTTCAAAGACTAAAAAGGTCTTTGGTCCAAAGTTTGAAACGTCATCTGATTTTCCAAGAATGCAAACTATTATGGTTTTGCTTCCTCCTACTTGTCCACAGGAGTTCTGTCGAGTCGATATTATTGGGTTTGAGTTGTTATTACTTAAGGATATAATCAACTATTGAAGCAAGATGCGTTTGAATCAGACTATTGTGACATTATCCTGTGTTTCTTTGCATGTGCCATTATTATGCTGTTAGCTTGTTTCGGTTGGTAGCCTTCTCACCTTGAATGGATCAGAAAGGTGTTGGGTTCAAGCCTAACATTGGACCTTGATGAGCTCATAGGCTGATATACTCCAGTACAGCACAGGAGAGGTGGGGGGAGCTCCATTGTTGGAAGTGCCATGTTTCAGGGGTGACATCAAACCAAGTTTTCTATTTAATAATAATCCTTGCATTTGATATAGCGCTTTTCACATCTTCTAGACGTCTCAAAGCGCTTCACAGAATAAATTGTAAAGTGAATTGACTGTATATTATCTAGGTGGACATGAAAGACCCAATGATTCTGTAGCAAAAAAGATTGTTATCCTCACCAACAATCCACCGGATTAATTGAGCCTCCTCCTTGTGCACTGGTATAATTACCATAATTACCATAAATATGGCCGTACTCTGAATCAGCGGCTCTTAAGGAATTTAAAACAGCAAACCCAAAAGTAAATTCACCGAGTATTGGAATGAATTAAAATTGGTTTCTCACAGTATATTTCATACTTACCGCCACAGGTTCACATATTGCTGACTGTCGTAGGTAGAAAATTATGTTTTTTTTTTTNACCGATAGGATGATGTGACAGTGGAAGTTGTTCAGCTGAAAGGGATAAAAATCCATGCTCCAGTCACTAGATTGAAGACAGGAACTCAGGTAGAGTGGGGGGGGTGTTTGTGCCCATATATTTATTTGTGAATCTTGTTTAGTGATGTGATATAATATTGTCTTATAATGTTATAAAAATGTGTTGCTTTTGAACTTCTATTAGATGCCAATATATGTGATGGGACTCACAAGCAGCCAAACCCCGTTTTCCTTTGGGAATGCAGTGCCAGGTCTGACGTTTCACTGGATAACAACAAAGCGGGATGTTATTGAGCTTGTCCCCAGACATTTGGAGGTAACTATAATTTCTTCACTTGTGAAACCCCGCAGATTAGGGTTAAAATGATCAATCAAGCATCAGGTTTATTGATGTATTATTAATTGCTGCTTCCGACGAATCTTACAATCCAGTGAATCACGTGGCATGTTCTCCTCTGCTTCCGTTCCAAGATACGGAAAGGCTGGAATAAATGTCCTTGCTATCCTCCATGAAGGGTGCTACATGAATGCAAGTTGTTGAATTTGTTCATATTCTGTTTTTTCCGTAGATTACCTTACAGCTCTCACCAGAGCAGAATTTTGCAATGGTGATACACAGCATAGCTCAAGGGAAAACTGGTTTGAAAGTTACCGTAAAGACACTGAATCCATCTGCTGGACAGTTTGAAGGAAATGTTGGCAGCTTTTATGATGAAATCCAGATGATGGTGAATCAGTAACTTACTTTGACATTAAATTATAGAGTGAGAGAGGAGGGTTGAGATGTTTCTCTGTCTTTAGGAAGAAGTAACCTTGCACTTTATAATAATAATACTCACATTTACAAATCATTCAAGAATAAAGACTGATCCACTCACATAATTATCTAGTTTACAAAATCCATAGATTCCTCTTCTCGAAAACCTATATATATAAAATTAATATATAATATAATAATATTCCTTGGCGCTTTAACATAAAGTCACTTCAGTGTACATATTACCCTGTGAAGCACTTTGAGACATCCTCTTGTGATGTGAAAGGCCCTATCATCATGACGACTTAAATCACCAATACATTTTATTTAGGCGAATGAGGATATTGTGCCGAATAATCTATTTTCCTTCATTTGCTCTAGGTCTTTGGGAAGCTCCAGCTCTTGCCTCTCTCTTTCCCAGCAGAGGAAATATTGATGTCACCAAACACCCACCTAAAACTGCAGACCACTAGGTTAGTTTATTTCCTCAGTGGAACCGTAATAATGTCATCTGAATTACGCTTTGAAGTATTTACAACGGGATTCCTGGCACATTTCATTTCCAAAGCCAAGCAGCAAAAGACACTGAGCATGATTGTCATGTGCCCACTGCCATCCTGGGCTGGGGATCAGCAAGAACAACAACTTACAATTATATAGCACCCCTAACGCTCGGTTGCAGCCCAGAGCGACCCAGAGGATCAGCTAACTCGGCACAGACAGACCCGTGGTGAAATGTTCCTGCTTTTAAGCCTCATGGCAATGCAGTGTGATGCCTAGTACTTATTATTGAACACCAAAATCGATGTGACAAGGGTCTATGTCACGGATTATTATTATTACATTTTTTTTAGATTGAATTTAATGCATAGGAATATATAGAATCAGAAAAAGCCCCCCTGGCCCCACCCCCCAATGGAGCACATGCTTTTAATAATAACCGTTGCATTTGATACAGCCCCTTTCATGTCAGGAGAGCGTCTTAAAGAGCTTCACAGGATATACCATAAAGTGTAGCCAGTTTTGTAAACAAACTTCAACACTATTAATTTTAACATTCTGTTTCTTGCAATCAATAGGGATGGTGTGGCTTACGTCACCTATGAAGTGCAAAATTGTCATATTAATAATTCCGTGATTAGGGAGGATGGGAATGGGATCCTGATATCTGGACCCACTACTGGTTCTTCCACACTGAAAGTAACCGCACTTGAATATTTTGGACTCAACCAAACCATTGTAACTGGATTAAGGGTGAGTACTTTCTCATTTGACAATGGAGTAAATTATAATGCTGTACTCATGCTTCCTCAAGTGCGAAAGGTAATTTTCCACCCCAGTAACAAAATAATAATCCTATATTATTTAATATAGCGCCTTTCACATTGGGAAGACCTCTCCAAGCGCTTGCACAGGAAATATTGTAAAATGTAGTGACTGTTTATTTTATAGGCAAATATGACAGCCAATTTGCGCACAGCATTTCCCTACAAAATGAAACAATTTTATCGTGGTGAATTGTTAACACTTTGTAAATTTAAAATAACTTCTATTCAGTATTAATTCATAATGTTGCACTGTTATATAGCTAACAAAATGACCAAAAATGTTAATTGCTCCACTTTAGGTGACTCCAGTGGCTTATCTCAGAATTCAATCCAGCCCTGCGTTATATGTAGCCAAAAACGAGGAGCTAACTGCTCTTCCTCTTGGAATGACATTAACTTTTACAGTTCATTTTTATGACCTTACTGGAGACAAGTTTCATGCACAGAACACAGAGCTGTACTTAGCTATAAACAGGTGAGCAAAATGACTTTGGATGAACGTACTGAGAGAGTGTTACTTTGTGGAAAAGATGTATAGAACTTGTATTTGGGCCCGTTGCTGTTTCAATTACATATTTCGGTGTTAAGTAGCTTATTTGTCTGATTTGTGCCTATCTTTTGCTTTTGGACAACTCAGGGATGATCTATTGCTGATTGGACCTGGTACCAGGAATAATTCTTATGTGGCTCAGGCTGCTAATGTGGGATTGACTCTGCTGGGAGTTTGGGATAAGAAGCACCCAGGAATTGCAGACTACATCCCGATACCCGTGCAATATGCAATATGGCCTAATGTAACAACGCACGTGGTACTCAGTGATGTGATATGTTTCACCAGCCCACTGGTGGATCAGGAAGGTTAGTTGTGCAACAGCAAAGAGAATACAAAGTTTCCCTTCAGTATGTAGATTTCAAAAAGCACAGCTCAATTATAATAAGATTGAGGGGAGAGTGTTCCAGTGTTTCGGGGCATAGTGGCTGAGGGATCGGGCAATATCTCACAGCCTTTAATAATAATAATAATAATAATCCTTAAATTTGATATAGTGCCTTTCACGTCGGGAGGACGTCCCAAAGCGCTTCACAGAACACACTTTAAAGTGAATTGACTGTATGTTTTGTGGGCGAAACAGTTGTTTGCTCTTCAATGTTTCTGCCGCAATTAAATTATATAATCAAATTTAAGATGTTATAGTTCACTCAAAGCTGTGGCTTGTAATTGTCTGGTGTACGTTGATTATCAATTGTGTGAGAATTATAATAGAATTCACGACCCACTTCTCCACAACCCAATAGAATTCTTGGGTTGTGGAGAAATGGGTTGTCAGTTCTATTGTATGTGTATGACAGCCAGCAAAGTCGTGAAGCTTACCAGAAAGTACACTGCAGATTTTGAGCCAGATCTAAAACCAGTATTTATTATGATTGTAAATTATTCTGTGAGTCAGCATTGAAAACTCAGCAGCCGGACTGAAGGGCCAAGGTCCTTCTTCCACACACGCACCCAACCCATTGATGGGACACAGAATTGAGGAGATGGTAGCATGCGACAAAAAAAGGAATCAAATCCTTAAGATATGACAGATCTTCTTTTAAAAGGATTCCACAAACAAAATTTCAGGCTAGGTCAGTGCCAGTGAACTCCACCCTCCACACCTCCCCCTCCTCCTCCTCCCCCCTATCAGAAGCAGCACCCATTTGGGAGATCGCCCTGTTGACAGCTCCTTCCCAGCAGTGATGCCAGGATACTCATGCTGTGAGAGCCACTCATGCTAACCTCATCGGAAGCTATACAGTAGCTGCTTGTAGCAGCACAGTTCTAACTCACCACAGCCTAGGTCCACCCTGGAAGCTGTGCTCCTTTTAATCAAATACTCTCCAGCCGCAGAAGATTGCTCTGTGCACAATGGCTGTGTTCTTTATCATAATAAGAAGTTAGGAAATTAGTTCCAAACAGAATGGAGAGAATGGAATGGGGATCCATAGTGTCGTGTGCATGTTGTGATGAATGATTTTCTCTGAGTCTCTGTAATGTCATTTTTACTGAAATGAAAATTCGGGCATTTGTTTATAGGTGAAGCTGGAGCCTGGCACTTGTCAACAACTGATATCCTACAGATCGATCCCACCTCAGGGTTGGTAGTGACGAGAAGTTCTGGGACAGCCACAGTCTATTATGATATTCCTGGAGTTGTCAGAACTTACAGAGAAGTAACCCTTCCGACATTTAACATTTGCGGTCACGGTTCCTCACGGTCCCCAAGCTCTTCAATCCAGTGAAGATATGGCAGATATATACAGTGTGATATGGCAAACCAGCTGAACAAATTGATATTTTCTCTTTTCTCTTGCAAATGATTCATGGGTAGAGATTGATCACCTTTAAATAAAACAGTGTCGTAGGAGGGGACATCACTTTGCTGCCACTCCCTCCCCCAAAATATGTTTCAAGCTATTTAACCAGCTTAGTCAGTTTAGTAACAATAATAAATGGAAATTGATGGTTACGTGGAAGTTGTTTTTTTCATTATTGTTTCAAGGTGTCACGACATACAGTGGATCATTGCAGTAGAATAAGAGAAAAAGTTATATGCGCTACAGACATGCAAAAATATACAATCAATTCACTTTACAGCATTTTCTGTGAAGCGCTTTGAGACGTCTAGAAGACATGATAAAGCACTACATCAAATAAAAGGATTATTATTATTAAAACTGTATTTACCATGTTTTTTGTGCATGTTTCCTCACCAGCCTTGAGGTTTGCACATGAGCAATAATTAATGAACAATAATTCTCCCTCTGCTTTTTCTTTCAGATCACAGTCACTGGTGTGGGAAAAGTCACCCTTTTCTTTCATAACTTTACCCATATAATTGGTCTTCCTAGTTCTCGCGTGTACAGTTTTTTTTTGACAACTATGAACAGAGACAGCAGTCTGAGTGGTATGTACAATACACATCCTGTTCCTACCTGCACTGGGCATTTCAAAGAAAACAATACCAATGACAGATATTTGCAATTTTGAACTATTGATGAAATGATTTGATCAGATAAAGCTATTTTCAATTTGCTGACAAAATGCCCAGAAACATGTGCTCATTTTGTTCACAGATTGTGCACAAAGCTCCAAAATCATTGAACTTCAAAGATTATATTTGCACAAATTAGCTCATATTCAGAATGTGTCAAGAATATTTTCTTTTCAGCTATCTGTTTTGTTTTTTCCAGGCCCCAAGGCACACAGAACATAAAAGAGGGGTATTGATTTCAATAGACACTAAAGCGCATTTTCAATATAATTTCACATCAAGATATGATGAAAATTGATTTTTTAAAAATATATATTTTTAAAGGAGCTACTTTCTATTTTTGTTGATTTTCTCTTGCCACGAAGACCCCTCATTTCCTGTCTCTGGAATTAACAGGGACTTGTTCACTGGTTTAAAAAAAACTGCATTGCTATACGAGTCAGCGAAACATCAGTTTTCACTCTTGTTGGAATAGATTCTTCCTCCCCTAACCCTCCCTGTTCTGATTGAGATGATGAACTCATTATATGTGGAGTCGTGATAGCAGGAACAACCCTGCACTATGTTGGTTGAACAGTGTGTAGCACAAGGCAGGCAGTAAATTTAATGCATTGCATATAATTTAGAAATTAATTGGGTGTATGTAATGGACTGCATATAAAGTATCCAGACTAACTTTATTTTGCGTTCAACCCAGGAGACTGCAGTTCTGCTCATATGAAGTCTATGGAAATGCTAAAACCAGAAACAAACATAGTCTGCACTGTGCAGTTTAGCAATCCCATGTTGGACATTCTAACTCTCTCTGTTTTCACTGTGGAACCTGCATTCGTTGCCGATAAAGGTAAATTAGTCAAACATCACAGAGGTCATGTCTTCTACAGGGACGTAATTTTTTTTTGCTGGCTCACTCAAGCCATGTATGAAAAGATTTTTAGACTATGTATTCATTAATAAAGTGCAGCAATAGGGTAATTCTGACTTGGTTGCAGACCAGATAGCATCAACTGTATACTGTATACTTAAAGATAGTTAGTTACAGTTTCTATGGATATTTACAATTTTAATGCATCCTTACAAATGTTTTTCTCAAACCCTTAATGCCAGTTGTTATACATTGACTAGATAAATTTAGACTTTGTAGTTCTTTTATGAGAATTACTTTGACTATTGAATAAGTGCCGTGCCCCCACCACCACACAGATAAAAATTGCAACCATAGATAAGTAAGGGAAATGCATGGAATTTACAAGATAACGTCTATATTTTTCAGGGCAGTACAGCTGTATCATCACGATAAAAGAGCTCTCAGATTCTGTGCGCAGAGACTTGAGTACAGGAGACACGTTTGTATCTGTGAAAGCATCTGTGCTTGGAGGGCATTACACAGGGCAATGTGGAAGAACAGAGATTAGTTTCATCCCTGGATTTTATATGAACGAGTTAGTTGTGATTCTCAGCAGCAGGGAGCCTACCGCTAACATCACTGTATTTGGCATATATAGAGTACTGATTAAACTAGAGGTAGGTATTACTGTTCTAAGGCACAAGAGGTTTATTAAACATACATCTGAGTATTGTGTGCTGTAGGAGCTTTCAATAGCAGTGCAACATTGTGGGGTTTTGCCCACAAGTATAGTCAATTCACTTTACAGTATCTTCTGAGAAGCGCTTTGAGACTTATAGAAGGCGTGAAAAGCCCTATATAAATGCAAGGATTATTATTATAACATATTGCATTGCACAATATACTGTAGCTTGAGTTCGCAGTTGTTTGTGTGTAACAATAAAGTTACCTAAAATGTTAATGTTTTCATTGTTTTTTCATATTAATGAGGTAGCAGCCAAGATAATTCTCCTTTGAGGTGACATCCATGAAGAATTTTATTGCTCTTTTATTATTATGTACAGTGAGCGTTACTGATTAATGTAGGTTTTGAATCTTCTATAAAGCATTAACCAGTGAGAAGTGTGTATTTGTGATGTGTTAAACATTGTATTTGTATTTGTATTAAACAATGTATTTGTGATGTGTTAATGTGATGTGTTAAAATGTAACACTGTTACATGGGAACAGTTGGCTTTTGGTTCTGGTTGAGATGTTTTTTTTAAAATGTGAAAGCATTTCTATTACCTGGTGTGATTCAATTCTTAGGTCCGCGCTGAGTCGTCGAGCATTGTGGTGAGTGAACCGATCCAGTCGCCTGCTGTCCCCAACATGGTCACTTACACATTGAGTACCACCAACTTCAGCCTGTTTCAGCAGGGACTGGGGTTAAGCAACGTCACTGTAGTCAGCACACTGACCGGCCAGGCGGTGGACGTGTTTGTCACAGTCCTACGGAACGGAGGAGGCGGTGGAGCTGGAGGCAAGACACAGCATGATTGTCTGACAACCGCATTAGCAATGACATCTGTCCGCTTCTGAATTTAAAACGGGGAACCGCCTTCTAACTTTGTGTAAATTTGTTCAGCCTCTCAGACCCTACCCTTTGGAACTCCATTCCACATTCCCCTTTGCCTCGCTCCTTCCCTTGCCTCCTTCAAGGCACACCTCAAGGCTTTCCTCTTCGACTGCGCCTTCAGCCACCCTCCTACCCCTACCCACCCTGGTCCCAAACTCCCTGCTCGGGTCCAAATCCCTGACTGTCCAGCGCCTTGGGACGCCCTCTCGACCTGAAAGGCATTAGACAAGTGTAATTTTATATTTTGTAAATTTGGATTTGTAATATGTAATAGGCATTTTCCTGGACTAGATTATCTTTTCCTCAGGCTATTCATTTGAATTTGAAAATTCCCCTTTGAAATGTCTCCCTTCATACCCTTTTCATCATCAGAGTATGCATTAACTGACAGTACTGAACAACCTCAGTATGATTCCATTTGGAAATCCTTAAAAGTTATATGTTTTTATGTTCCAGGAGATGTACCTTGTGAAGAATTGGGTTTCTTCGATAAGCTGGTGGAATCCTACCAGGTTTTGATGTTCACATTATTTGCAGTATTGGCTACAACTGCAATCATTTTTATTGGTAAGTGGCTAATGAATTAGTGTCCTTTTCCTAACGCAAGGAGGCTGATAGTTTACTTATCACATGACATCTCTGACTACTGGACCTTGATCCCCTCCAAAGCTTCCACTAATGCTCTCTCTACACTTTAGGAAGGGTAGTCCAGTGTGGCCTGAGTTTTTAGCCTCTTGGGCAATAATTTCTAACAGTATTCCTTAATAAAGGGGGAAGCAAGTGGGGAAAACTAGAACCCATATTGACTTGTGGGAACTCCATTCCAAAAATGGATTGAATCACGTGACGTACATCGTGTTCTTTTCTCTAAAACTGGCAAAAGAGTTAATTACAAGGACATAAAGAGTTAGGAACCCTGGAATGGAATGACAAGATGTAAGCTTGAGATTTGCTATTAAATGATTTATTTTTCTCTTGCAGCGTATAATGCCTTTTTGACGAGGATACAGACTATCCCAGTAGTGTATGTTTCTACACCAACACAGGCAGGTAAATGTGAATCTTGGCATACAACAATAATGCGGTGAAATAGGTAAACAGAAGGTTTTCTTAATATAAAAAAAACAAATTGTTAAATTACAATATTACTGAAAAAAATGTTTTGGTAAGACGGTAGGGGATAAAACTGGTTCTAGCTTTAAAAACATTCGACCTTATAGATAATGTGGGACGCTGCTGGCTGTGCGCAATAGGCTGCAGCATTTCGCCCACAAAATGCAGTCAATTCATTTCACAGGATATTCTGTGAAGCGCTTTGAGACGCCTGAAAGACATGGTGAGGCGCTGCATCAAATGCAAGGATTATTTATTATTATTGCAACAATTCTAACTCTTCCTTGTTTTATAGTTTACAATTCTCGATCTTCTCCACTTGTTTATGATCGGGCCCGAAGGCGTTCTCTACCATCCTGGATGTGGAGCACACGTTAACAAACACTTACAGGAAAGCAGGGCAGGCAGTCATTGTTTAGCAGCTGTTACAGTAAGAATTATTTGTTTGTGTCAATTGCATTTACGATTCTAACAGAATGGAGTAATGCCCTCTTAAAATGTGACGTTTAGCAGCAGTCAAATTGAATTATGACACTTGACTGCATTTAAGACAGTTATGTTAAAGATTTTAATTTTGGGTATATATAGCAGAACAGATCATAAGTTTTTCTTGTAATCCTTGCATAATTATTCTGCAAATATTGCCTTCATCATCAGTCATTGTTACTTTATAACGTGCCTCATGGGGAAAGTGTACTTTGTCATTATTGAATGGCATAAATTAACATGATTTAAGAGCATAATTGGGTACATGCTACGATGTCAACCAATTTACATTGAAAAGCTGGATAAACAAAAAAAAACACAGCAGTGGGTAGTGCTTCTTTTCTGCAATTAAACTTTCAGTGACCACAGGACATGGATAGATGATAATCAATCATTGAGCCCTCTAAAAGAACAGTATTATGCATACAGAATGCAGATTGAGGTTTACTGTTGCATTTTGCAATTTTAGGTTAGTCATATTGTAGTCTTAAATTGTTTGTTTCCTGTGTCTAATTGATTGAATTCTCGAATCTCTGCAGCACGAGTGAACTGTAGCTTACGGGCTTCTTGCTCTTATGCATGTTACCAGAAGGTTCGATCTGGTTTAACAGAGAAACGTGAAGTTTTAATTCTGAAAACTTTGTGAAACTGGCGCGATTTGTTCCTATTATTGTGCATACTTTAAAGTTGCCTGTTTACGTTTCAATGGAATAAAATTTAGGGAAACGTTCACCACATGTGGCGTTCTTGTTTCAAGACCTGCTAATTTAACGTTGTTGAAATCTGAGCATTCTCTGCTCATGGAACATTTACACCTGACATCTGATAACCATCGTTTCAAACACAAAACTCTACGGTTTCACTTTGTGCACAAATTTGTTTGGAAAGGGCTAAATCTATGATAATAATAATAATAATAATAATAATCCTCGATTTTGGTGCAGCGCCTTATCACATCTTCGAGACGTCGCAAAGCGCTTCACAGGAACACACTGCAACGCGAATTGACCGTATATTTTGTGGGGCGAAACGCGGCAGAAAGTTGCGTGCAGCGGCATTCCCCCCCTCCCTCCCTCCCCCCCCGCAAAACAGTCGTGGATTTGAGCGGTGGACCAAAAATAGTACTGAATTAGTTGTTTTTTTTTGTGTGGGGGGGGGGGGGGGAGGGATTATGCCGATCGACTAACAACCGGGTTCCTGCTCACCGCTGGTGTAAACGAAACAGAGGGGTGCGGAGTGAGGAGAACCGTGTGCAACGTTTCGCCCCCGCCCCGGGAATCAATGGGTAGCGATGGCGGAGGGGGAGGAGGAGAGGGCACGTGGGTAGCGATGGGGGAGGGGGAGGGGACACGTGGGTAGCGATGGCGGAGAGGGAGAGGACACGTGGGTAGCGATGGAGGAGGAGGAGAGGGCACGTGGGTAGCGATGGCGGAGGAGAGGGCACGTGGGTAGTGATGGAGGAGGAGGAGAGGGCACGTGGGTAGCGATGGCGGAGAGGGAGAGGACACGTGGGTAGTGATGGAGGAGGAGGAGAGGGCACGTGGGTAGCGATGGAGGAGGAGAGGGCACGTGGGTAGCGATGGGGGAGGGGGAGGGGACACGTGGGTAGCGATGGAGGAGGAGAGGGCACGTGAGTAGCGATGGCGGAGGGGACACGTGGGTGGCGGTGGCGGAGGGGACACGTGGGCGGCGGTGGCGGAGGGGACACGTGGGCGGCGGTGGCGGAAGGGAGGACACGTGAGTAGCGATGGCGGAGGGGACACGTGGGTGGCGGTGGCGGAGGGGGAGGAGGAGAGGGCACGTGGGTAGTGATGGGGGAGGGGACACGTGGGTGGCGGTGGCGGAGGGGACACGTGGGTAGCGATGGCGGAGGGGGAGAGGACACGTGGGTAGCGATGGGGGAGGGGACACGTGGGTGGCGGTGGCGGAGGGGACACGTGGGTGGCGGTGGCGGAGGGGACACGTGGGCGGCGGTGGCGGAGGGGACACGTGGGCGGCGGTGGCGGAGGGGACACGTGGGCGGCGGTGGCGGAGGGGACACGTGGGTGGCGGTGGCGGAGGGGACACGTGGGCGGCGGTGGCGGAGGGGACACGTGGGTGGCGGTGGCGGAGGGGACACGTGGGCGGCGGTGGCGGAGGGGGAGGGGACACGTGACTGGCAATAGGCGTTCGGCTGCGGTGCCTGGGAGCCGGCGGCGCGTGTGCGCACGCGCAGACGTGATCGACCACTCTCACTCTCTCTCTCTCCCCCCCCTCCCCCCCCCCTCTCGCTGAGGCGGCCGCGGCTCCCGGGCTGAGGGAGGGAGTCAGAGAGGGGGAGACATGGACAGGCTGGCGGCGTCCTTCGGCAGTGAGTACAACCCCAAGGGACCCCCCCCACACACACACACACACCCCTCCCCCCTCCTCGGGGCGCCTCTGGGGCCTAAGGCCCCCCCCCGGAGCCTGGGAGATGATTAGAGCCAAGACCCCCCCCACCTGTCCCTGTGTCTGGCTTCTCAAGGCAGGGAGGGAGGCAGCAGCTGGTGTCTGGCCCCTTGTGTGTCACAGTACACCTCAATGCAGGGGAGGGGGTGGGGGGGGGGGAGAGCTGAGTGTGGCCCCAGTCAGGACAGGTGTGTGGGGTGGGGTGGGCTGTGTGTGTGTGTGGGTGGGGGGGGGTGCGCGTGGATGCGAAGGGGTGGGGGTATGCGGTGGGGGGAAGTGCGGGGGTGTGCGGGGATGGGGGCGGGGCGTGTGCTGGGGGGAGAGTGTGGGGGGTGGGGGGTTGCGCGGCAATGGGGGGGGGGTGCGCGGGGAGAGTGCGGGGTGGGGGGGAACTGCGTCTCGCCTTTGCTTATAATCCTTGCATCTGATTACAGAGCCTCATCGGGTCGTCGAGACGTCTCAAAGCGCCTCACAGGATATGCTGGGAAGATTAGTGACTGTATATTACAGGCAAAACGTGGCAGCCAATTGCGCGCAGCATTGTCCCATAAACAGCCGTGGATTGAAGTGACCAGATTATTATTATTATTATTCTTTGGGGGAGAGATTATTAACCCCCCCCCCCACCACCACCACCAGAAAGTGATCCATCAATCATTTTGCTGTAACTGATCTCCAGGGTTTGCCAAAGTACTTGCCACTTGGAGACATGACGCGTAATAGTGGTCTCCAGGCCATTGGGAGAAAGTTGTTCCGAGAGTGAAAGGGAAGCTTCCCACATTTGCACCACGCGCGTGTGTGTGCGCGCGGCTGTGTGCACGTGTGTGTTTCTGGCATGCAGTCAGAAAAATCTGCACTTCGCATTGCGCACCAACAACAACTGGCATTTACTTATGTAGCGCTCTTCAGGCGGGTAATGTCTCGGAGCTCGTCAGACATTGCGATCTTTCACGCCACACTCCTGTACGTTGAGATAGCTCCCAGAAAAGGGAAGGCGAGGGTGGGGGAGGGGAGAGGATATTGACTTCTTTTGCTAATCGCTAGCTGGTTGCGTTGTATGTCCGACTCTCCTTTGGTGCTCTACGCTAAGGTTCACTTGACAGGAAACCAAGCTCCAAAGCAGTAAAGCATTGAGGCCTATCGTGTGTTAGAATTGCCTTTTCTCTCTTTTTAAAAAAATCTTTCTAGTTTCACCTTTTCCCACTGTAGAGATCGCCATTCACAGTGATTGCAATACAGTGGACTCCCATTGTGTTTTAATACAGAGATGTGATGTGTGAGTGCATTACATGTATATAGTGTATGCGTCAATTCACTTTACAGCATATTCTGTGAAACGCTTTGAGACGTCGAGAAGATGTGAAAAGGGCTATATCAAATCCAAGGATTATTATACAATAAGCCAATACTGTACGCCTTTGCTTACCGTGTCAGTAATTGACAAATGCAGAACTGTCTCGAGTCTTGTTGTGCTTTGCTTTAGGTGATCCATTTGATAAGCCTCCATGTCGCGGTTGTTCCTCTTACCTCATGGAACCCTACATTAAATGTGCAGACTGTGGACCTCCTCCGCTACTTATATGTCTGCAGGTAAGTCAGGCTAAATGAGTTCGCGCAGCATCGAGCAGATTGAATTTTCTACCTTGCGCTCCAATTCGTCCTGCAGTAGTGATTAGCAGCCACAGGCAGGACTCATTTTAAACGTGATGGAACGTAGGTCCTTTTATAGCTGTACTGAAGGGAAGTGGCCAAATTGGAGGAGTTGAAATGTGACCATTGGAAAAAATTGAGATGGGGTGAGTGGGAAAAAGGTGGAGTTTGTGTAGTAATACAATTTTACAAGATTTTTTTTTCCCCTCCCACTTTGCCTCCTTCGAGCGAATGGAAAAAGTCTCAAAACCCTCCTCTTCGACCGCACCTTCGGACACCCTCCTTCCCCTACCCTCCCTGCTCTCCACACCTCCTGATCCCAACTCCCTGCTGGGGTCCAAATGCTTGAATTTCCAGCACCTTGGGACGTCCTCCCGATGTGAGAGGCTCTATATACAAATGTAATTTGTTGTTGATGGACAGTTACTACGGACTTAAAATGAAGAATGATCCCTTTCCTTCCAGTAAACCTGAATTTGGAATCCTTTTCTGGCTTTAACCAGAATTTGTTTCTTTTTAACCTGCAGTGTTTTACTAGAGGGTTTGAGTACAAGAAGCACCAAAGTGACCACAGCTATGAAATAATGGTGAGTACCAGGTAACTGCCCTGTAAATAGAGAACTATAGAACGCAGCATTGATTCTGTAAAAGAGGAAAATCTGATCAATCCTCTTGTTAGTCTTTCCAGCAAACAACATAGATTCTGATCATGAAACATCATATATAAAACACACATATATTCTATACAACAGTCATACAGTATATCCTGTGAAGGGCTTTGAATTGTCCTCCTGACAATGAAAGGGCGCTAGACCAAATGTAAATAAAATATTATGAAAAATGAAATATGTAATGTTTAAACTACTTCTAGTTAAGTTTATTACAAGCATTAGGAGTGTCTTATGGGGTGAGGGGGACATGAATTGGGCAAAATACACTGTTATGGGAAAGGGCAAATAAATGGAACTGAAAGGATTGCTTATTGACTTACAGACATTGTGTCTGTGCCTGTGTTCCCGGCATAGACACAATAAACTGAATGGCCTTATTCTGTGCAGTAAATTTCCATGTCTGTAAACACTGGAAAAACGTGTTTTTTCTACCCACTCTACCGTGTGGTTTTCAAGTGCCGTTAGTTTATGGGAGAGAATTCATTTAGAGAATCATAAGTTACTACATCTCCCCTCTGAGCAACCTGTTATTTCAGTGCTGAATTCAAAATTTCACCTGGTCTCAGCCTTAAATGGTTGCCTTAAAATTAAAGATGGTATAGAATTTAAGATGAAATATTCTTAAATTCAAACATTTTTCAAAGTTCTACATAGTTATAAACTTTAAGGCTGAGACGAGGTGAGGTTCCGGGCCCCTTGATGTTCTTCATAATGACAAATGCTTTTATTGAGTGTACTTCAAACTGGTTGGAGATCTTGAGGTGCTGCTTGTGGTTTTACTCTCTCTTTCTAACACACAGACGTCTGATTTTCCCATTTTGGATCCAAACTGGACAGCCCAGGAGGAGATGTCACTGCTGGAAGCCGTGATGGACTGTGGCTTTGGAAACTGGTAATGGAACTCATCTGATACCGAGACCCATTATCAACTGGGCGCCTTTCTTACAGTATTTTACAGAAATACATTCATTAATGGTATAAGCCTTATTAATAGTGTGTGGTATATGGGCAAATGTTCTTCAGATAACTGAAGAAATTGTCAAGCGAGAGGACCTGGATGAAGAAGGCCCTTTGATCTTATCCTTGCAGAATACCCACCCTGTCATCCTCCCATTACATCATCCAGCTGTTAAAATTGAGTCCAGTGTCCTGGCCTTAACTGCCCTTCGTGGTAACAGGTTCCAGTTGTTCCTCCGCAAAAAGAAATGCTTCCTGCTGTCTATCCTGAAATTGCTCTTTACAACCCTGAATCTGTGACCTCTTGTTCTGCTGCCTTGGTTTATCTGAAAGTATTGTTTTACCTTGTGTCTGTAAGAGTTCTGCTGTCAAGCCATCAGGATGCTCAGCAAGAACAGCCAAGGGTGGCTCACATGCTGCAAGTCTATCTTTTGCTGAAGAGAAACAAGCGTGTGATAATGGCTATGTTCTTTCCCTCGTGATGTTCCAGCCAAAAGTGAATTTTCACTGTGTTGGAATTGCAGCCAACATTGCTTTACAGGACCAAACCTGATTTATTATATATTGACTGTGTAGTTTCTACATTGAGGCGCATTACATGTATATCATATAATGTGCATATAACTAAAACCACTCTTTGTAGGCAAGACGTAGCCAACCAGATGCGTACAAAATCCAAGGAAGATTGTGAAAAACACTACATGAAGCATTTTGTGAACAATCCACTGTTTTCCTCCACTTTGCTGAGTTTAAAGCAATCCGAAGAATACAAAGGCTTTGACACAGCAATCACATTCAGACGTGAGTATTTGAGCTACGATTCTGGAAGGAAACATTAAAGACAAACTGCTGGATATTTTCTCCCAGTATCTGAAATTCTGACAGGTTCTCAGACTTCACAGGATGAGTCAATAAAACCTCCCGTGAACCCCGCAAGCCAAAGACTTCGCTGGGCAAACAAGATTTTCCAGTTATAATAATAATATATAATAATAATCCTTGCATTTGATATAGCGCTTTTCACGTCGGGAGGACGTCCCAAAGCGCTTCACAGAACATACTGCAAAGTGAATTGACTGTATATTTGTGGGCGAACGCGGCAGCCAATTGCGCACAGCAATGTCCCACAAACAGTCGTAGATTGAAAATGACCAATTTATTATTGTTTTTGGTTTTTGAAGGGATTATTATTAACTGCTAATCCTAATCCCTAACTTTTAAAATAAATAAAATAAGCAAAAATAAATCCAGCCTAACACTTAAAATGAATACAGTTTAATTTTAAATAGACTGCCCTCCCCCTCCCCCCCCCCCACCAAATAACAATAGTTCTGTTTTCACCACTGACGCATTGCGTCTCTGTTGATGCCTTTGGCTAAACAAATCTATCTCAAAGTGGGCATTAACCGGGAGCTTGAAAATGCGGGGTGGACTTTTAAATCACAGAATTTTCTTTCGGATCTAGTCTTAACTAATTCCGAATTCTGGCTAAGTGGGGCGTGGATAGCCAGTGGGGGCATTTATTGTATAGTAGCATGATTCTTAGTAAGCATGGAGCATGAGCTGTCTTTCATTTGGGATTCATTTTTAAGTTTAAATTTGCATCATCTGAAATTTTTTTTGAAAGCTTAAGTACAACATAGTCGCGTTTAACAGACACAGTCACACCACTTTACAAGATAACCCTGTCAAGTACTTTGAGACATCTCGATGACTTAATAAGGCAGTATATCAAATACAAGGATTATTTTTATTTCTGGAGGAGTGTACACCCCCACTATGTGGAGTCTTGTAGCTCAGTGGTTAGAGCACTCGCCTCTCAAGTGAGATGCCTGGGTTTGATTCCTGGCAGGGTGAAACCTTGGGCAAGTTTGTGTGTGTTTGTGGGGACGCTGCTGTATGCAATTGGCTGCTGCATTTCGCCCACAAATGTACAGTCAATTCACTTTACAGTATATTCTGTGAAGCGCTTTGAGACGTCTCGAAGACGTGATAAGGCGCTGTATCAAATGCAAGGATTATTATTATTTTTACTAAAAACAAGTTTCTCACTTCTCTTCCCCCCCCCACCCCTTAATTTTCTTTAGCTTGTGATGAGCCCCCAAGACCTACGTTTGATTCTGCAGTGTCGAGGGACATGGCGGGCTACATGCCAGCACGAGCAGACTTTGTTGAGGTAACTTCAACAACAACCTGCATTTATAGAGCGCCCTTCGCGCAGGGTAGACTCTCGAAGCGCTTAACAGTGACGGAGCCTAATGCTGTGCCGGGGGGAGGGAGGAGGTGACCGTAAGCATGGTCGAAGAGTAAGGGCTGCAGGCGTGATCTAAAAAAGGGGGAAGGAAGCGGGCAAGGAGGAGAGAGTGAGGACGAAAGTTTCAAAAGTTTGGGGGAGTAGTGGCTGGAAACCCCAAATTAATATTCTAATATTAATATTTTATAACTGACGTTTTTGTTGGGAAGGCTGACAGACAAAACGCTGAAATGATGCACGAACTGACATGCACATTCCTTCTTGCAAACAGGAATTTGACAATTATGCAGAATGGGACCTGAGAGATATTGATTTTGTAGAGGATGACTCTGATATTTTGCACGGTGAGTGTTTTTAGACTGAAAAAGCGCCTTGTGTTATAGATAGAGCCTTGCGGAGCAATGGAATGTCTATTCACCAAGCACCGGCAATGGTGTTAAGAGAATGTAATGTAATGCCAGCCGTTTGAGGAATGTAACACTCCTGAATCAAAATTAGAGCCGGCCAGAGCTACACCAGGCGCTGTATCAAATGCAAGGATTATTATTATTATAAATCTGGAGTTTGGCTGTACCCTTTTTAAGAATTTGTGCTGAATTATAATCGCTGTTCCAGATTTACAGACAGCATTTGTGCTGATCTACAAAGATAAATATGAGCACAGATCGAAAAGGAGCCAACCTTAAACATGATAGTTCCTACTTCACAATATTGTTCCTTTTTTTTTCAACCACAACATGAAGCAAAGGCCATGCTCAACCTGAAAATAGCCCAATTCCCTGTCACCAGGCCCTGAGACCTCCTTGTGTCACGTTGTGCCATATTTGAGGTATTATGTTAGTGTAAATTGGTCGAACTAGTGCATATTATCCGCGAAATGTCGCACTTTGCTGTTGATCTGTGTTTTCATGAGCAAAGTTATTTCTCGGGATGTGGAGGAATCACAGAAATGGGAACCTCCCTTTGCATCGGAGCAAACTGGCTTCTTTCACAATCAGCTGATCCCTCCCATTGTAATAGGTTTAGGTGGAAAGTAACAATAATCCTTTTATATTTGGATTTGGGCCACAAAAGTATACAGTCAAACAGTATATTCTGTGAAGCGGTTTGAGATACCTCGAAGACCTGATACGGAGATATATCATACGCAAGGATTATGATTATTATTACATTTGATATAGCACCTGGAGGGAGTCTCAAAGCACTTCACAGAGTGAATGGGATTAGAGAAAGCGACTCCAGTGATGGAGTGAATGGCCTCCTTCTGTGCAGCAAACGTTCTATCTATGATGCCTATTTAATCTTGATGCAGTGTAACCTAGGCGGTTGGGTTCATCTGGCAATCCACTTGAGTAAACCATTTCTACACTTGCATTTGCCTGAATAGCTCTGAAGCTCGCAGTGGTGGATATTTATCACTCCCGATTGAAAGAGAGGCAGCGAAGGAAAAAGTAAGTCTCGCTGGAGTTTTTGTGTTTTTTTATTTTATTCTCCATAAATTGCAAAATGCACACATTGTTGGTTTTCCTGACACCAGTACTTTCTCCAGTAAGTCCTCGCACAGCTTCCGTTGGTCTTCCCTAGGAAACACTTGTTTCATCGGGATTAATGGCAAATTATCTAACTAGATTGAGAGTTTAGGGGGAATTATACTAGGCGTTATGTATCATCTGCTTCGTTCACGTGCATCCGCTACCTTGTCCGAATCGCAGAGGAAAATTCTTGTTAAGGAGCCAAATTTCACTCTTTCCACAGAATTTTGAGAGACCACGGCCTGATTAACCTCCGGAAGTTTCAGAGTAAGTGCCATCAATGTCTGGCGTTCCTTCTGAAAGGGAAGCATATACAGTAAACCTCACACAAGTTGTATCAGTTGGGACCATATACTTAATACACCGTATGCCAAGTATGAGATATGTCAAACTTGCATAGAATATAAACTCTTGAATGGGACTCAAGCAGGTGCACAACTTAGGCGATTATTATACGATTTATACAGATCAGACTTGTGCAAGGTTTACTGTCATCCCATTTGTATTGTTTGATGGGAGGAGGTGACGGTTTCTGTGGAATTGTGCTTTTGCAGTGACCTTCTTTGCTCTGAGCAAAAATAACCTTTTATTTAATATATGAGCTTATAGGCAAGTGATCAGAAACGTTGTTATAGATTTCAAAAAATATATTTTTGACTACAATAATAAGAATAACAAGCCCGGTAATCGAGCACATGAAGTATTTGTGCTTAATCAAGTGATGAGCATTTAGCAGAGTAATTAGTGTGGGAATCCCATTTCCGCTCAATGTGTGTGAAGGGAGCTGAAAGGACTTTGAATGACATAAAATATTAAATATGCCTATTTTGGTGTGTGTGTTTTTTTTAACTTGCTATTTAAGAGACTTCACAAAATTTGTATGAGGAAAATTGGGTGTGTAAATTGGGTCTAACAAAGTAGCCGTACTCATTGCAGTCTTACCTTTTAGAGAAGTACTTTGGTGAATCTCAATTTGACTCCTTTGGTTTAATGATTCCCTCAGCCAGTGCATTTGCAGATGGGCCTGTAGTTTCAGACAATGGCTGCACAAGATCCTTTACATGATATTGAACAAAAGCATGCTGTGCATATTAAACGTCAGCTGGCTCCCTTTTCATAACGAGCAGAAACTCAATTCTCTCTTTGGCTCACCCGTTACCAGCCAGTTGCCCTCTTGGGAAAGCAACGTTGGGTTTGAAGCTGAATCTATGGGTCATGAGCTTATAATGTCAGGCATCGAGGTATCATCACATGAGGGTTGTTCAGTGCATTCGTAGCTATCAGCTGACACGTTGGTGCAGCTTGTGATGGGAGCAGTCATAAGGTGACCGATTAATTATGCGGTATCTGATTTTTATGGAGCCAAACCGCAGTGGTCTGGACGGGTCCGACTGGATGTTTCACCAACTGCACCTGAAAAGCTGTTTAACGAGTAACCATTAAGCTCTATGCAAGGTTTGCGTGCATCTGTATACTAACCTTGTTCTGATAGATGTACAAATATCTGTTCGTTTGTATTTTCTAGTTCTTGAAAGACGGTACCCTAAGGAAATGCAGAACCTGTACAATGGCATGAAATACTTTGCGAGACTGCTGGGACCTATTGAGCACGACAAATTCATTGAAAGCCATACGTGTACGTAGCAATTTCTTTTATCTTCAGAAGGGTTTTCCGACTTTGGTGCGTTTTGCACTCTGATGTTTGTGTTGGAAAATCTGTTGGAAAATGCACCCAGCCATTCCCGTCCAGCACTCATGTACCTGATGGGTGCGTACGGAGCCATTTGCTCCATACGTTGTTCCCGGCAATGTGCCTCAGCCTTGAAAAGTTTAGTAAGCTTATTTGCCAGAGCCTATCTTTTTACCAGCCTGTCCTCTAGCTGTAGTTTGTGAAGGATTTTTCCCCCAGAAAAAGATGACGAGAGAAAATCCATGCATATTAAATTTATAAAAATGACATTTTTTTTAAACCCTTTGTCTCTTCAGTGGATTTTGAACTGCGGAAAGGGATCAAACGGTTGCAAGAATACAGATGTGCAGGAATCTCCACCTTACGCGGTGAGTTTACAACAGCATGTGCAGTAAGTGAATTGTTCCTCATCACAGGCTTGTACGTGTTGGTGCGACAGAGCAAGAAAGTGCACAGAGATGGTGAAGGAATGTTGCATTGTGAGGATGGATCATGTTGAGTCTTTGCTATTGTTAATCTGCCGTGAACTAACCTTGATGTGCAAATAGTACACTGCACTTAGACAGCACATATTATGGTATTTTATGTCTTCAAAATATGTTTACGTATTAGTGTTTTTGGGGGGTTTTAATCTTACAAACCATTTTATATAATCCTCCAAAACAAAACAATAATAAATTAATTGGTCATTTTCAATCTACGACTGTTTGTGGGACATTGCTGTGCGCAATTGGCCGCCGCGTTCGCCCACAAATATACAGTCAATTCACTTTACAGTGTGTTCTGTGAAGCGCTTTGGGACGTCCTCCCGACGTGAAAAGCACTATATCAAATGCAAGGATTATTATTATTATTATTATGTAATTCCGATCAGTGAAACTTGTCGCAAAGAACAACTATGGGGAACGGGCTGGAAAATGGGACTGGCGGGATTGCTCTAAAAGGAGCCAGCGCAGACACGATGGATCAAACGACGTTCTTCTGTGCTGTAAATTTCTATGGTTCTTACCTACCTCTTATTCCTTGTTAACATCTTTATTAATATATAGCCTCGATCGCCAGGAGTGGGAATAGGGCCGTTCGGATTGATTCTGTGCTGCCGTTTGTCCATCAGTCCTGGAAGCTTAATGTGTGACTTCATTATAAAACGCCTTTCCCACTCCTTTCCTGAAGGCGCTTTGATTCCATTTTGTTCCTGTTACAGTCTGGTTCCTCAGACTCCCCACGTGTACCTTACCCAAGTGGTCAGTGTGGATCGCGGCAGTGAATATTAGCTGGGAATTTGACCTCAGCGAGAGTTGGATCCAGACCCAATTCTGTCTCCCCTTCAATGTCATGCACTTACACCTCCAGCGGAGGTCACTAGATAGCGATCAATAACAGGATAAAACACCTTTAGCCTTCTCCAGTGTCATTTACTCACTGAGGAAACTTGCTGAGCCGTCAGTAGAGCTCTCAAAAATAATCTGGAACGGTCTCGGGAAATGCAAGGCGCAGAATCTGACCTGTGCCTGTCCTTTGTATACAAGACAAATTGAAGATCAATTTCATTAGCAATTTAGTTTGGGATTTGAAAACCCCTCAGCCAAAGGAGACGATTTATGCATATCTCACTAATCGATTTAATCGTTTGCTATCATTAGTCATGGGTCTAAATCACATACTCTTCCTGGATTATTTTGATTGTAGCCACTTTACCCGTTTTATCCTCTGAGTTTGATTATCATTTGAGTTCTCTGGCCACACCACCTAAATCAGTCAATTAATGCATTAGTATTTACTGCATTGAAGCCTTCTGTGTATTGATTGAGATTTTTCTGAATTGGAATTGTTCTGGGCTCAGGTTGGGATACAGTGATGGGTGCTACATAAACACAAGTTATAGCTGTATTTAATATAGTCTTAGCAACTTGTGTTTTTAACCTTCGTAAAAATGATTTGCTGGGAAAACCCGCACCATGTTGCGCCCACCGTCCATTTAGTCTGTAGGGTTTTAATCGATCGTTGATCTTGCTCCCCACTCGCAGGCGCCAAAGTTTACAATTGCCTGAAGGCACATCGTGAGGAGGAGCGTGTAAAACGCAGCATGCTTACAGAGGTCCTCCAGTGTCTCCAGGATTCCAGCGCCTGTCAGCAGTGGTTACACAGACAAGCCGCAATGTGAGTTCCTTCAGCCTCTCTGCCCCCACCTTTTGGAACTCCATCCCACAGTCACTTTGCCTCTCCCCCCACCTTCCTTGCCTCCTTCAAGGCGCGTCTCAAGAACCTCCTCTTTGATCGGGCCTTCAGTCACCCTCCTCCCCAGGCTGGCAAGAGCCAAAGCTTTGGGGACCCCAGAGTGTGAAGTGGGGGTAACTGCTGGTGTCTAACCAGCTGCAGCCGCATCGCTTGAGAGGGTGAAAAGGGAACTGATTCGGTCGTGAGAATTCAGACACCCAGGGCTCCAGTTGTAATCACAGCTCCAGTGTAAAAAGCAATCTGCTGCACGTCACTGAATCTGGCACCAGATAAATTCTCTGCACTTTGATTCAATTTGCATCTTGCGCGGTGACACCCTGTAACAAATCGTCCCTGGCACAGAACTGACAGAAATGAATAGCATCGAGCCAGGGCAACATATGGGACACACCAGTAATATGCCACTATCATAATCTGCATTAATAAGAAGGGAAATGTTATCCTGTTATGTTTTTGATGTATCATCCACACTGTAATGCATCTGTTGTACTTCGCATGATCTCCTTTCCTATGTGTTTCATGAAATTGGCTTTTTAAGGCATTAAAATGTATTTATTCAGTAAACTAGGTTGTCCTGACTTTGCTAAAATACAAACACAACTGTTGTGGATTAATTATAGGACATGTATGGATACAAGGGCTGTAATCTGTACAACCTCTACGTGTTGTCACCAGAGAAATGAGAACATTTGTATTGTTTAATATGCAAACAAACTTGCTGGTTATCCAACTGAGCAGAAATTGCCAATCAGGAACTGATGGCATTTCCTCGGGAGACAATTTCAGATACTCGCGTTTATCTTTTCTTGTCTTTTTGTGTATTCTATCTTTCTGAGATGGAATATCAGCCCAGACAGAAATCGAGGTAAAGCACATCTTTCAACTTTCTGTTCCATCAAGACTTCGAGCAACTAGACTGCAATTTGTTATCTACTTTAGTGTAAACCAGGGCACCTCACAGGGTAAACCCATTGGAACCCATTGGAACTGTGTGTGAGTGACTGCCTTCAGGAAAGGGAGGGGAAAGCAATTAAAACGTAAAATTTGTGTCTCGTATTGTTTCTACAGCATCGAAACAACCTGTTACTGTTAATAATTCAGAGGCGTATAAGGTTTCTTTCTACATTGCATGCTCTGTACTCAACGCACGTAGCTAGAATATTTTTATAAATTAAATTCAAATGCCGAACAAGAAAAGGATAATGTCAAACTTCTTTTCAAGTCAGTAGCTAAGTTTTTTTTTAAATATCACTCACTGTCAGACACTTCCTCCTTAATAATGGGAGAAAGGCTTCTGGTGAACTGAATCCTGGTGAAGCAGTCCATTCTCCATCTAATGGACACTGAGGTAGTCATTTATCATCTAACGCTGTTCTATATGATTTGCGATAAAAATACATGTTCCAATTTTAGTCATGGCAGCCTGGCCATTTCAAAGCGTTCATCTCATCACTTTGTATTTCATTGTATTTTTCAGCGATTCAGGACTAAACCCAGTGACTCCGGTCATTCCTACAGCAGGTGAGTAGCTATCGAGACTGGGGTGGGGGGCGTGGGTGGGGGAGAGGTTTAGAGGATCCTTTTAACTCTGTTGGTCACGCTGCATAGTTTGAGCAACCGACTTGATACTAACGACCATTTTTCTTGCGTGTTACTAACTAGAGTTTTGTCTCTTTCTATCCTGGTGAAGCAGGCAGGCGAAACGCACCCCCACTGAACCTCACCGGTCTCCCGGGCACGGAAAAACTCAACGATCGGGAAAAAGAGGTACATTTAAGTTATCCGCTAACTGTCTTCAGGTTCCACATTTTGGTGTCCAACCGACTCGGTGGGAACCACTCTCATCTCCTAGTCAAAGGGACAACAACAAATTACATTTGTGCAGTGCCTTTCAGGTCAGGAGGACGTCCCGAGGTGTTGGACAGTTAAGGGTAGGCACCTGAGCTGGTGGTTGGGATCAGGAAGGGTGGAGGGCGGGGAGGGTAGGGGTAGGAGGGTGACTGAAGGCATGGTTGAAGAGGAGAGTCTTGAAGGAGGCAACGGAGGGGGCGAGGTGGAGGGAGTGTGGGATAGAGTTCCAGAGGGTGGGGGCAGAGTGGCTGAAGGCAAGCCGGAGCCCACTGAGCAGAGGGAGCGGACAGGTTGCTAGGGGTTCAGTTGATCTCATTTTTTTTCACTCAATGCTCCCAACACTGTCCTGTTTGCAGGGCGCTGTATGAGTACAAGATGTTATTTCTAAAAGAAACTTTTGATTTGCGACTGAAATTTTTTTTTTGAGTGAGAGTGAACCCCTTCTGAGCGGAGTGTGAATCAAACCGTGCGTCAAGTCCCATTCACAGTCACTGCACTTTACAGTGTATCCTGGGAAGCACTTTGGGACCTCCTTCCCACGTGAAAGGCGCGATACTATACATAAGGATTATTAAGTACAGTAAGCTCATCCAAGTTATCTGGAGCGGTGAGTTAGGTATATGCATAAATACATAAATAAATGTTGCCAGGATATTGACAGCAATGAAGGCTTAAGTGATATTAATAGTCCTTGCATTTGATACAGCGCCTTATCGCGTCTTCGAGACGTCTCAAAGCGCTTCACAGAATAGACGGTAAAGTGAATCGACCGTATGTTTTGTGGGTGGAACTTGAGAGTGGCAAGTTAGGGCAGGGTCACGTTATCAGACGTCTATTGTGTCGAGCAGAATGTTTTACGTGCCCGGGTGAGAATCACAGGCGTGAAGATGAGCTCCGAAACACGTCGGATTCAAACATTTATTTGCTTTGTAAAAGGTTAGAACCGCGTTGACTGTCTGACTGAATTTGTGTATTTTTTTTTTCTTTTCTTTGCCCCTCCACCACCGTCACCACCCTCTCTCTCTCTCTCTCTCTTGAAGCTATGCCAGGTGGTGAGACTGGTCCCTGGAGCTTACTTGGAATACAAGGCGGCTTTAATGAACGAGAGCAGCAGGTTGGGAGGCTTGAAGCTGGCTCAGGCAAGGACTCTCATTAAAATAGATGTGAACAAAACGAGAAAGATCTACGATTTCCTGATACGAGAAGGATACATCACTAAAGCTTAAAAACCAGCCACGACCCCTATTGGGCTTGGCATTCAGGAGCGTTGTCACTAAGCAACCTCAAGCAGTTACTGCAGGTTACCTGGCAACGGCAGAATTGTTTTGTCGGTGTGCGAAGTGGAAGAATCGACGGGGATTCAAATATTTATTCTTTATTTTATAAAAGATTGGAACTATGTTGTCTGACTGACTGACTAACTGACTGACTGAATTTGTCATTTTGTATGGGTTTTTTCCGTGAAGCGATTTCTCGAATGGCAATTTTTCTTTCTGGATTCCGTTCATGCGAGAATGTGTATTTAAACTTGCTTTTTTAATTTTTATTATCGTCATTAAGAAAAGAGGATCGATCCCATTTCATTGATGGCACTTGCAGCTCGTTGCAGGTCAACTTTTGCGTTGATGAAGCCATCTTGAGTCAGCACAACCTGTTGCACTCGCAAAATGAGATGAAATCAATATGGTTTCTCGAGCACACGCACAAGCAAGCGATGTCACTGTGCAAAACTTAGTGGGTGCGAATGCATTTACAGAGTGACGGGCAATGCAGGAGTTATTGTATCTGTCACGCTAAATTCATTGAAGTTTGTCTTAACGGTCAAAGCTGTCACTTCCATTCAATGTTAGGGGAGTGCCCTGTGTTGTCAGAGGTGCCATCTTTCGGATGAGACATTAAAGAGTCTTTAAGTCCTGACTGTCTGTTTTAAGTTGATGTTAACGATAGCATTGCTCTAATCGGGGCTGCGGGGGGGGGGGGGCGGGGGGATTTCTCCCGATGTCCTGGACCTCGCTAACAAACCCCCAGTTAAATTGTTCAGTCATTTCATGGCTGTATGTGAGAGGTTGCTGTGCGCATGTTAGCTGCCGAATTTCCGTTCGTTCAAAGACAGAATCACTACACTTTACAGTCAATCCAGCGAAACGGTTGAGCCGTCACAATGACGGGATAAGGCGCTGTATCAAATGCAAAGATTATCATCACTCATTCAAATGTGTAAGCGCTCACTGTGATCCCAGACCGGTTGAGCGTGTGGGGGCTTAACTGCCTCGGAGCTTTGAGCCTGGATTACATTGGCAGGACTGTTGCTGTGGGTACGCCAGCAAAAATAATTGCAATCGTACCGACGTGATTAGGCTTTGTTAAGAGGTGAGCTCGAGGCCATGTTTTGCATCCGCGTGCGTTAGATGATTCAGCCTATGTAAACCGAGCATTCTCCAACACAGTTGCTTCTTTGCGGGGAGACGAGCGTAAATAAAAGAGGAGCTGCGTACAGGATAGTTTTCACTGCGCGCTCTAGAGCCTGCTCCACATACCCTGGCATTGCTCCCCTGAGCACAGCGACTATGTCCAGAGTCTTGCTCCTGCTCCCTGACCCTCGGATAAATGCGAAGAATCAATCCGAGATCAAAACATTTTCATTCGCGGCCGTGAATCATCTCATCGTTACTCGCCAATCAGCCACCCGGCTGCACTTCTGCCATTACATAGCGAATAGAAATGCAGGCGAATAAACATGTGCAACGCATAACATTAAAGGCTCACCCCTTCCCCCTTTTTTCCCCCTGATAGCAGCCGGCTTCCTCCTTCCAGCTGCTTCAGATTTACTTAGGAATACATCACTGTTTCTCTCTGCAAGAAAAATAACATCACATTTGTCCTCCCTCTTGCTTACGATATTTTGAAAAGCTTAATGACTGATGTTTTCTTCCCCTCCCTCCCTCCCCACCACTGTCCCCCACGTGGCTGAAACCCATTTGTGACTTTCTCCCCCTCTCCCTTGCGTCTGCAGTTTTTGCAGCTGGCGTGGAGGATGAGTTTGCACAAAGCAACAGGCTGCCAAGGAGACGGTCGCAAAGCAGAAATCGGCAAAAGCTGTGACCACATGGAGAGTAAGTGCGGACGGGTTAGGAAGGCGTGAGACATGTTGAGGCTGCGTTTTATGATCAAATCCCTTTGTGCACTGCAATTTTCTGACATACGGATTGTCAGACCAAATGCAGAGTCGATCCCATATGTAGAACCTTTGAATCTTACATACAGACTGCCTTGCCCCCTGCTTATCCCAGTGACAATATTTTTATAATAATAATCCTCGCATTTGACGTAAGGCCTTATCACGCCATTGAGACGTCTCAAAGTGCTTCACAGAACATACTATAAAGAGGAATGACTGGGCACTTTGTGGGTGATTTGATTTGACGGAGCGGTAAGCTTCTTTGGGGTATTTCAGGCAGCAGAACCCAATTGTTCCAGCGTCATCGAGTCCTTCAAGTTGTACAGTACGGTGCGAATAACAAACCTTGCGTTTCTCTTGCGCTTTCCTTGCCACTGGCAAGCAGGAAAGAGGACTGTTGTCTGGTCTCGGCACTGTTAGGAGAGGTAACCTCTGTACTGCAGTGTCAATAATGGCGGAATCATTGCCAAGAATCCACTATCCACTCGATCACTAGAGGACATAAACGACTCATCAGCAGGACTTGGCAAGGCAGACACTGAGAGCAGGGATTCTTCCCACTCAGCTCCTATTAACCCAGCAAATCCAAGCTTTACTGGTAGTGCGGTCTGGCTGGACAAGCAGCGGGAAGCTTACAAAGACAGGGTTTCTAATGGCTAGCTATGCGGTTTTATAATTATAATAATAAATAATCCTTGCATTTGATATAGCGCTTTTCACGTCTTCGAGACGTCTCAAAGCGCTTCACAGGATTGACTGCATATTTGTGGGTGAAAAGCAGCAGCCAATTGTGCACAGCAGTATTTTCGCTGGTTAAACTCCCAGCAGTGCCCAATGCACATTCTAAGGTCCCCGAGCATTGCTCTTGCTAATACTCTCCGAAGTTAGGTAAGGAGGGTGTGTCCCTACAGGGAGAGAGTGCTCATTCCATTCCAGACACAGGAATTTGCTTTTAAGGACTACAATAATAATAATAATAATCCTTGCATTTGATATAGCGCTTTTCACGTCGGGAGGACGTCCCAAAGCGCTTCACAGAACACACTGTAAAGTGAATTGACTGTATATTTGTGGGCGAACGCGGCAGCCAATTGCGCACAGCAATGTCCCACAAACAGTCGTAGATTGAAAATGACCAATTTATTATTGTTTTTGGTTTTGGAGGGATTATTATTAGGCAAGAAAACAGGTTCTAAATTGAGACTGAATTTATGGGTTTTCCACAAATCTGTATCGCTATAAACCTGCCACCACACTTCATTGGAAATCCTGTGAAGCGCTTTGAGATGCTTTGACAATGTGATAAGGCCCGATAGCAAATTACAAGGAATATTTATTAACGGCTTAAATCTTTCGATTTAAGTAATTAACAATGAGGAGAAGTTGCCATGAAGGCGGGTTGAGATCGGGACACTGGGGGAAAAAAAGGCTCGATCTAGCGATGAGATGTGGGACGGACAGCGTTCAGGAAAGATGAGATCAGATGGGGCCGAAGGGCCTTCTTCCTCCGAGCAATCGTGCGAGATGAAACGGTCTTGCAGTTTAAGACTGGGTGGAACTTCGGGCTCTATATTTGGTCACTTGTTTGTTACGGCTTTTTACCTCGGTCGCTGTTCACACATGCGAATTACACATCTTATTACGACAGACTCTTGGGGGAACTGGTAAAGTAGCTTTGTTTTATTTCCCCCCTGACTTCGTTCAATTGAATTTAGAGCCCAGGCTTTGACTGGGCTCCAACCTGAGTTATTGCAAGAATTGCCTTATAATAATAGCATTCCATTGTATTATATTTACATTCTCCCAAATGTAAAAAGGGAGTTTCTTTGTTTACTTGCCAAGTCTGACCACAGCGCAACTTATCAGAAGCTTCTTGAGACGCAGTCCAGGGGTGGGGACAGATGAGGGTTGAGTTCGGGGCTTTGGTGCTCGCAAAGCACACCCCCGTCTGCGTTCGGGTTCCATTTCCATCTAACGACGGCAACCGCTCTCACTCTTCAAAAATACGAGCAATTAACAGAGCTAAGTGTCACTCCCACAGAATGAAAGTGTTACCACGGCGATGGTAGCTACGCAACTCGAAACCTGGAACCCAAAGGATTAAGTCACAATGTATAACTACACCACACCAGGATGTCATTAAAAACGGATTTGGGGGCAATTATACAAGTATGAATTTTTGACGCTTATTTGGAAACCAGAAGGGCGTTTTTTTTCCAGTGCCATTCACTGCACTTGAAGCGTTTTGAGACTTCCTCTCGCCGTGAAACTATACAAAATGTAAAGACTATTACTATTGTTATATTATTATGTGGCTGTTATGAGAGTCCTTCCTGTGCACAAGCAGTTTTGCCCGCAAAAAATATGCGTCTATTCTGTGAAGCGCTTTGAGGCGTCTCAAAGATTTCATAAGGCACTATCTCAAACGCAAGGATTATTATTATTATTATTATTATTATCGGCAGCAATTTCCTACAAAGCACTTTGAGATCATTTGATATTTTAGGCGCCGTATCAATGCAAGGATTATTTAAATTATTTATTATTTATTCCACCTTCATCTCTTTATAAATTTGGTCTTTTTCCTCTGCCGCCTCTGCAGATACATTCCTTGATAAGTTATAATGGTAACGATCCTTGCATTTGATATAGTGCTTTATCACGTTGTTGAATCATCTCAAAGCTCTTCACAGAAACATATTGTAAAGTGAATCGACCGTATGTTTTGTGGGCAAAACATGGCAGCCAATTGCGCGCCGCAGTGTCCCACAAAGAGTTATGCATTGAGTGACCAAATGGTTTTTTTTTTTGGAGGGATTATTACCCCTGGAAGGCGATTTGCCGATCGACTAACCACCTGGTTCCTTCTTACTGCTAGGTAAATAGAGCCGTGTGGAGTAAGGAAAGTTACCCAGGGTTTCGCACTGCTCCGAGATTTGAACCTGGGTCCTCTCATTTGCGAGGCGAGGGATCTAACCACTACGCCACGGGACTCCATGTATGCCAATTAGATGGGGCTGAAAAATCACAAAAACAAGGTGAGATTCTGGGGAGCAATAGTCTTTTTCTATTCGCCTCCACCCCCCCCCCCCCCCCCTTACCCACCCAAAAAAAAAAATCCTTAACTTTTACGTGGGGAACAATCTCTGAACTTTACCGAACGAGCAAGAAATCAGCGAAGCAAATGTACGCACACAAACACACATATACACATACGTGAACTGTGATCAAAGTGATATAAATAGCTGGGAGAGCTTATACAGGGACATCACACGACAGGATCAGGGTACTGAACCCTTAAAGGCTTATTGTTGGTATTATTTACTTCTCCTCTTCCACTCCACCTTCGCCCCCAACTGTACAAGGGCACTGTCTTATTGAAAGTAATATTATTATTATTATTGACAGTAAGTGCATCCATTAGTTAGAAAAGTCTGCAACGCAACAGACTCAGTATTTCATTGCCCATCTTGGAAACACGGAGCCCTGTAGCGTCGTGGTTAGAGCCCTCGCCTCGCAAGCGAGAGGACCCGGGTTCGATTCCCAGCCGGGACGAAACCTTAAGCAAGTTTCCTTACTCCACGCGCCTTTGCTTTGCCTGGCAGTGAGCAGGAACCTGGTTATTAGTCAATTTATGATCGATTTATGGGGGTAATAATCCCTCTGAAAGAAAATAATTTGGTCATTCCATCCACGACGGTTTGTGGGGACGCTGCTGTGCGCCGTTATGCTGCCGAGTTTCACCCACAAAATATTACCGTCAATTCACTTTACGAAATATTCTGTGAAGCGCTTTGATACGTCTCAAAGACGTGATAAGTCGCTAAATGCAAATGCAAGGATTATTATTATTAACGTCTCAATGTTTGATAATTTTGAATATTTATGTTTGAATTGCAAGCGCTATCTGCTGTACCCCCCCCCTCCCCCCCGCCCCCCACACCCACTCTTCCTGCCCCCTTCCCCCCCACCCATACACCCACACAATCTCTCTCTCAAACACACATATGCACACACACACTCCCCCAGACACACACTCTCTACCCCCCCACGCACACTCTCTCTCTCTCACACACACACACTGTCTCCCCCAAACACACACTACACACACACTGTCTACCCCCCCACGCACACTCTCACACACACACTGTCTCCCCCAAACACGCACACTACACTACACACTCTCTCACACACTCCCCCAAACACAAACACTCTCTACCCCCCCCACGCACACTCTCTCACACACACACACACTGTCTCCCCCAAACACACACACTACACACACACTCTCTACCCCCCCACACACACTCTCACACACACACACACTCTCTCCCTCTCTCTCACGCACACGCAATGGATCGAAATACATCGACAAGACAGTTGCAGGTCTCGAAGGAGCAAATAACGACGACGACACAGATAGTAATCCTTGCATCCGATACGGCGCCTTATCGCGTCTTCCGAGACGTCTCAAAGCCCTTGGCGGACGGGGGGGAATACCCCGCCAAGTGTAGTGACTGTGCGTTTGGCGGGCGAGAATAAGAGAGAGCGAGAGAGAGAGAGAAAAAATAATGGCAAGGAGGGGAGAAAAACATCGTCCCGCTCCCTCCAAACACTTGGGTGGAGGAAGAAAACTGGGATTTACTTTGTAACCCCATCCTACAACACTGGGGCTGAGGGGGTGGTTTAAAGGGACCTGTGAGTGAGGTGGAAGGACACACGTTGCCTCCCAAAGCTTCTCTCCTTTCTTTTTCTCTCTCTTTTTTCTCTCTCTCTCTTTCTTTCTTTCTTTCTCTCTCTGTTTTTTCTTTCTCTCTCTCTCTCTCTCTCTCTCTCTTGTGTGTTTGACAGCTCAGTGAATCCCCAGTCCTGGTGCTTTATTAGAAGAAGAAGAAGAAGAAGAAGAAGAAGAGCATCATCAGCAGCAGCAGAAGGAGGAGGAGAGAGAGAGAGAGAGAGAGAAAGAGGAGGAGGAGAGAGAGAAAAAAAAGAGGAGGAGGAGGAGGAAAGGAGAGAAGGAGGAGTTGCCATTACGATCAGATCGGATGTGTAAGTATCGGAAGCAGAAAGAAAACACAACAGAGCAGAGAGACCACAGACACAGACAGTCCTCAGAGGTTGGAGGGCTCTGAGCTGCTGCACTTTGCAATGGAAATCCATCCAATTTAAGGTCAGGCTTCAGAAAAGCTTTTTGCACACACACAGACATTGCACATTCCCTTTTTTTTTCTCTCTCTCTCTCGATTTAAAACCGTTTTGATTGAGCTGCCAAAGTGGGGGGAGGGTTGGGAGAGAGAGAGAGAGAGAGATAGAGAGAGAGAGAGAGAGAGGAAAGAGGAAGAGAAATGATCTGAGAGTCCCTTTAAAACCTCTCTCACCCCTGATTTGGGGGCTCAGCTGTGGGAATTAGTGGCCAGTGTCAGTTCTGGGGGTGTGGGGGTGTGGGGGGGTTTTGTGGGGTTTTTTTTTTGGAAAATACAATTGCAAATGTACTGTGGAGATACATTTGTGTTTTTTTTTAAAGAAAAACGTTTTTAAGTGGATGGGCCTCTGTGTTGCTTTTCTGCATTATGTGGGTTTTGCAAACTCTTCTATGCATTGCAAACCCTTTTTGTGTGTATATATATGTGTATATATATGTATATATACATTTTAAATGGTTTTAGGTTGCAGTCTGCATTAATCTCTCCTACATTGCAGAGCCCTATGTGTGAGTGTGTGTGTGTGTGTGTGTTTGTTACTGCGACATTCATTTTTTTTTGATGGTAAAATCACACTCACACACTAATTCTATGCACTTTTAGTCTTTCTATTGGAAACCAGACAAAGGCTTTTGCAGATAATTTAAAGCATTTGATTTTTCTTTGTGTGTGTGTGTGTGTGTGTGTGTGTCTTGTGTGTGGAAGAGAAAACACCCAGAAGTTTGTCCACTCAGAATGTTCCCTGACTTGCAGTTCCAATGAAGGATATAATCTCTTCCAATTCCCTCCTGTAGTTACCTGCATTTGGCTCAGAGTCAATCCACTTTACAGAATATACCGTGAAGCGCTTTGAGACGTTTCGACGACGCTCTATCAAATGCAAGGATTATTATTATCATTATTATTATTATTAAATGTGATCCGGGTATTCGTTTGCCTGTGTTTGGCAAGAAACTGAACCCCTCTCGCTCTTTCTCGGCAGTATTATCCGATGAAGCGCCTTGCGTGTCTTTATTTTAAGCAGCGCTTTGGTGTTGGCAAGGTCTGTTGGAAGCATCGTTTCAAACTGAGCTGCATCGATCTATTTGCAAACCTTAGGGCGAGAATCCTAACTTGGCTTGGATTTGAACTGGATTTTATCCACGTATAGCTTTTCTCCCCCTCCCGTTGTCTGGCTTTCTTAAAAAATAATATCATTGCTGCCCTGGTTAAAAAAAAAATTGCGTTTTGCAAAAACGTCACTCTAAAATGTGCTTTGAACAAAATGCACCGTCACTCCACTTTACAGTGTATTCTGTGAAGCGCTTTGAGACCTCTCATATGACGTAAAAAGGCACAATATATACAACAACAAATTACATTTGTCCAGTGTCTTTCAGGGTGCTGATTCAAATGCAAGGATTATTATTATAGAGCCTGGGAGGGTGATGCAAGTCCCCTTCCCCCCTCCTCCGAACCTTGTCTTGATGTCTCTTATCTGAACGACAACCTTTCCCACCCCACAAAAAAAATAAAGACAAGCTTATTATTGCTTGACTGGAGAGGTTGGTTTGGTTGTTGAATGGTATCTTCAGCTTTTGGTGATGTGTTTATGCCCATTTCAGTCACTGTGAGATTTGATGGTTCTGGGCTAACCACCTGGTGATTGCAATGAAATCGGCCCCTTTTAAAGCCCATCGTAAGGTCCATCTCTTCGCTCACGCATTCGGTCATCTCTCTCTCCCCCCCCACCCCCTTCCCCTTCCCCTCACCTCTCCTCAGCTCAGCCGTGTGTGTGTGTGTGAAGCGCTTTGAGATACCCGTTGACGCGCAGGGATTATTATTATTAATGTTTATTATTACACACCAGCGCACTAATGTGCAATTGACTTCTCTCGAGTTGTTCTTTGCAGGCTTTGAAATTGGACTTCACGTCTCCTGTTACCACCACCTATTTCCCTGAGGATAAGATAATAAGATAATTATCCTTGCATTCGGTAACAGCACCTTTCACATCGGAAGACGTCCCAGAGTGCTTCACGGATTCACTGTGAGGTGTAGTGACTATAGTTTTAGAAACAACTAGCAAACCTCCTTCTGATGGAAAAGCTTAAGCTTGCAATAAACCTTATACAAGCGCTTAAATGCAAGGATTATTATTATTATTATTATACATGTTATTATTGCCATGGTCACCGTTGCCCGGAAGTTTAGAAAATATATATTTTTTAAAAGACTGAGAATCCTGAATTACTGATGTATTTGTTAAGAGTGTCAGGCATTGCTAAGCACTGACATCTTAAGAATAGGCTGCTCTTATTCCACTGACACATTTTTCCGGGTAAGTCAGTAAATTACAGCTTTGGGAATCGGAAACGAGGCGGTGGATCAGTCCCTACAATTGTGTTGTCAGCTGTGCAATAATAATCCTTGCAATTTGATATCACGCCTTATCGTGTTGCGCAGACGTCTCAATGCGCTTCAAAGGACTTTACTGTGAAATGTAGCCACTGTGCCGTATTTTTGTAGGCAAAACACGGCAGCCAATTCGCGCACAGCAGTGTCCCCACAAACAGCTGTGGAATGATTGAGCGTTTTTTTCTGAACGAAGATTGTGCAGCTCAGAAACGGGCCATTTTTATCTGGGATATGTTTTGTGTGTTAAGGCCGTACAGTATAGTGTTGCTTTGTTACAGACACTCGCGCTGAGCACGTCACCCGGCCACTTAGCGTGGCGTTTAAAAAATGGCCAGCTTAGTGTTAGATTCTTCCCTCGTGAGAGAATGCCACTGTTATAGGAGGTGTGCTGCATTGTGCACAGTCAAAGGATGTGTATTGGATTACCCAACAGCCGGCTGTCGAGGTGTGGGTGCCTCTAAATGTTTTCCTGTACTTTAGAAACACAGAACTGTGAATGTGTGCACATTTTTTTCTGAGCAGGGTAACTGTTTTAGCAAAGGCCGGTTCGGTTCATTCATAAAATAATAATCCTTGCATTTGACATAGCGCTTTTCACGTCGGGAGGACGTCCCAAAGCGCTTCACACAATACACTGTAAAGTGAATTGACTGTATATTTGTGGGCGAACGTGACAGCCAATTGCGCACAGCAATGTCCCACAAACAGTCGTAGATTGAAAATGACCAATTTATTATTGTTTTGGGTTTTGGAGGGATTATTATTAGGCTCTGTGTGGAGTAAGGAAACTTGCCCAAGGTTTCGCCCTCTGCCTGGAATTGAACTCAGGTCTCTCGCTTGCAAAGCGAGTGCTCTAACCACTGAGCTACAGGACTCCACATTGATCGCTGACTGAAGGTCTGCAGTCGGTCGCTATAAGGTTTGCTGCCTACAAGGCCGATCAGCCACCAGGCCTCACCCCAAGGACAGTTCAAAGTCTCTCTTGACTGTGCCTTCAGTCCCCACATCCCATCCTTAGGCAAACCTTAGCCAAGTTTCCTCACTCCACGCGGCTCTGTTTATTCAGCAATAAGTAGGAACCCAGTTGTTAGTCGATCGGCGAATGGCTTTCTGAGGCCGATCCCTTTAAAAATTAAAAGTAAATAACTAAAAATTTGGTCATTCGATCCACAACTGTTTGTGGGACGCTGCTGGGCGCAATTGGCTGCCGTGTTTCGCCCACGATTCACTTTACAATGTAGTCCGTGATGCGCTTTGAGATGACTGAACGACGTGATCATGTGCTATATCAAATGCAAAGATTATGACTTATTATTATTATTATCTCCACTCTTTCTCCGCGAAGTGCTTTGAATGGCAAACTGATGCTGTACTATGTTAATCCACGAAGGAATTTGTTTAAATCTTGTGAAATTAATGGCTCCTGCAAAATCACAGCCCATTATTGCCTTTCAGCCTTGGGTTTCTCTGGAATTTGCAATGTATTGAGCGCAAATGTAGATTGAAACTTGAAAGGCCTGTGTCATGACGCGTTCCGCCTTGCAAGCCGTTACCCGGTTTTTATTTGGTCAGCCGGGTGTCTGACACATGCGGAAACCCGTCACCGTGCTTAAGATCATCCAAACCAAGCTGAGATTTCCATGCATCCCACCTACACGTGGAAATTCCGGACAGAGAGAAGATTGTCAGAATGGAATGTGCTCTCTCTCTCCCTCTCTCCCCCCTGGAGGGATGCTTCCTGCTTACCTAATTCCGGAGAGTAACAGGCGCAGGATGGCGAGAGCCAAGGCTTGGGGGAGCCCAGAGTGTGCGTTGGAGGTAACTGCTGGAGTCAGCATTGAGCTTTGCGACTTGGGAGAGTGGCATCATGTCAGGATCAGTGAGCACTTGTATAGCTATAACCAGAATATCAATGTTTAATGGAGCAAAATACATTAGATATTTACAGTAAGTGTTAAATGTTCCTTTACCACCAATGCTTCCTTCTGGCTTTCATCTTAATACATCTCCCACAGAAAAAAAGTTTGTAACTTTGCTGGATGAGTGTTTAAGGAAGAGCCTGAGGATCAATCCACCTGACGGTATCTTTTGAAGGATTTTTGCTGTGAATGTTGAAAGTACCAATGCGCTGTTTTAAGTCGTGAGGTTCTATTTCTGAACTTGTTAATGCTTTACAGGGTATTTTGAAACGTTTACGGGCTCCCTTATAGTTCTGGGTTTGTGCAGTAGTTTGACGCAATTTATTACTGTATCGCGGTACAATAACTCGCATTCATACAGCGTCTTAAAGTAGAGTAGCGCCTTGTCTTTTATCACAGCGAACGGAACAGTATAGATTTAGGAAGAATGGAATGAAACAGATAGCTCTTTCAGAGAACCAGTGCACCATGTAGTTGGCCTGAATGGCCTCCTTCAGTGATGTCCTCCCGACGTGAAAGGCGCCACACAAATGTAATTTTGTTGTTGTTGTAAATTTTTCATCTTCTCTTTATAGTCTGGAAACTATTAAGACTATATATATATATATACACAACGCACATACGTTTTAGGGATTGTTTCTATAGTTGTTGCTTGCAGCTTAAGTGACCAGGATCCTGTTGGCCTATTTATTTCATCGCAGACAAGAGGGCTGTGACAGGTTCAGGGGACTTTGAGGACGGAAGCCAGGAAGTATTTCTTTGCACGGAGGGTAATCAGTGGCCAGGGCAGTGTATCATGGAGGATAGCAGGAGAAGGGGCTGATGGGCAGTGCCTTGGGACGTCCTCCCGATGCGAAAGGTGCTCTATATGTAAATGGAAATTCATTGTTGTTGAATGCCCTAATTTTCAGGCAGTTCCTCTTGGAGCTGTGTTGGGGGCGGCGGGGGAAGGGGGGGGGTGGTCGCTATATAACTGCAAGCTGTTGTTGTTGCCGTCGATGATGGACTCACCAGGGGATATTAAGCTGTGCGGTTCACCGTGTGTTGGCGCATGTGTGCGGGGAAGCTATTGACCTCAGCCCATTGCCCATAGGTCAGGGTTGTCGATGGGGATAGTTTTGCCCACCCGGTTGTTACGGGCCACTCTTGTTGCCTTGGGCTGATGACTTGTCGGGGGAAGCGGGTTTAAAGTCAGCGCCCGGCAACCCATCTGATCTTTTAATCTTTCCAATTAGTCAAAATCCTTGTCCCTAACGCTCCCTCTCTCGCTCTCATTCTCTCTCTCTCGCCTCTCCACGTTTCACTTCCACCGGGTTTCATCTCGGTGGTGAAAGCCAGCGTCCAGTTGCCGTAGCACTGGCATTCAAAGGAGACGAGAGAAGCGTGGCGGCACCCCTCTGTGTGGTCCGGACTCGTAAACCGTCGGGCTTTTGAGTCGTCTCGGAGTAGGATGAGGCCATTCAGCCCATCAAGCCAGCTCCGCTGGTTTATTAGGCCCGGGAGGATCATTTAACAGCTCCCCCTCACTTCCCAAGGAACCTTCTAATCTGATTTTCTCCTAAACCGGGCGTTTTCAAGGGTGAGTCCTCTTCACACCTGCTCATCGGAAACTCTCCACTCTTCCTTCTCGTGCGATGGCCATTTAACCCCTTTAGCCCTGGCGCAGTGGTACTGAAGAACTCTCGCCTCTTGAGTCAGAAGGTCGTGGGTTCAAGCCCCCACGTCAGGACTTGGAAGCGCATGGTCTTGAACCGACGCCCCCAATGCGTTGCTGGGGGTGCGCTGGGGTTGTGGGAGTTGCCATCCTTCGGATGAGACGTTAAACCGAGATCCCACGACACGGCTCAAAAAGAGAAGGGAGTTTCTCTTTCCCGGTGTCCTGGCCAACAACCCGCCAATAAAATTGGTCACTCGCTCCATGGCTGTTTGAGGGACATTGCTGTGCATGATTCGCTGCCTCATTTTTGCACACAAAATACACTCCCATTTTGCTGTACTAATCCTGTCACCCTCTTTGAGGCCTCTCGAGGGCATGATATTAAATGCAAGGATTATTATTATTGTTGTTGTAGGCTGAATTGGCAGTGCTGGTGGTCTTTGTGCTGTTAAACTGACGTGAATGTGACCGAATGCCTTTCAGGACGAATGACGTGGGCAGAAGAGAGGGTGTGTGGCTAAAATCGTCCCTGCTCTACCAGAGAAGTCGACAGCGTTCTTCTGTTCGCTACTGGGTCCTGCGACCCTCAAGCCGGTTTCGATGAGTTCCCGGAGCCAAGGTTTCTTCCACCGCAACCCACCTGGGCCTTCTTCCAAACCCCGCTTGGTGACCGCGGTGGGCCTGGGCGGAATCGCTCAAATCACCCCGTGTCTCTACCTCAGCAGCGGCAACGCAGCCTCGAACCGTAACCTGGTCCTGTCCAAGGGAATCACCTGCATCATCAACGCCACCATGGAGATCCCCAATCCCACCTGGCCCGAGATCGAGTACGTCAAAGTGCCTGTCGCCGACCTGCCACACGCTCCCATCGCTCTGTATTTCGACAGCATCGCGGACAAGATCCACAACATCAACAAGAAGCACGGCTCGGCTCTGGTGCACTGCGTGGCGGGGGTGAGCAGGTCAGCCTCTCTCTGTATCGCCTACCTGATGAAGTTTCACAAGGTCTCGCTGCTGGAGGCTCACAACTGGGTCAAATCTCGCCGCCCCATCATCCGCCCCAACGTAGGCTTCTGGAGGCAACTGATCGAGTACGAGCGCAAACTGTTTGGCAAGAACAGCGTCAAGATGGTTCAGTCTCCCATTGGGGTGATCCCCGACATTTACGAAAAGGAAACCAGAAACCTCACCCCCTTCTGGGGGATTTAAACACCGTTTCGAGGGCCTTTTTTTGGTACATAAAGGATTTGAACGGTCTCTCAGGCAGGCGATGGTAAAGAACCGCCCCCATCTTAGAAGGATTTGACGTGACTTGTTCCGTGTCCTGTAGGCTCCTCGAACAAACCGGTTACCAAACAGGTGATTCAAAAATACTGTAAATGCGTTTCAAGAGTTTGCAGCAGCCCCCTTTTGAGCGAGGGCTATATGCAAGGTAATATTGACATTGATTTGTATTTATTTTTTAAAATACCGCTGTATTTCTAGAAATGTAAACCTTAATCCATCTTTGGGTTTTTACTACTTACGGTCCTGCTCCTCGTGTAATTGTTTTCTGCCGTTTTTAACACTGATGCTGAACGTCTCGCCTCGCGAACAAGCGAGTTAAGTTAGCAAAGAGCGGTTCTGTATTGAGCAAAGCAGCTTTCTCCCCCCCACCCCCCACCCACAACTCCACTCCCCGTCTCTGAGTCACCACTGCTGTTATGAAATGGAGAGGATTCCAGAAAACTGGGTCTAATTTGTGGTATTTCTTGACCCATTTTACCTTCTCTTGTTGTTTCGGAAATTGGACAACTCTTATCCTTCATCCCAATCCAGTGGTTTAAGAATCCACCCAATTACACGTTCCCTTTTTTTTTTAAAAAAAATTACTGACGGGGAACACCGCAAAACAGATGGAACTTGTGTCCGCGCGTGCGCGCGTGTGTGTGTGTTTTTAATATGTTTTAAACAAAAAGACGAAGCTGTAAAATGTAATTAGTTCAAATACGACTTGACTTGCTGGTCGGAGGTGTGTAAATCACACAAGCACCTCGCCAACAAGTACCGAAGGTGTGCGAGAGCTGAAAGTGTCGTGATGCCTGTTGGGTGTAGGAATTATTTCCCAACACAACCAAGGACGAGAAAATTCCTTGTCTCCCCTTTTACAAACAATAAAGAGTTGGAATGAGTCGTGCACTGTCTCCTCGCTGTGACTCTTACCGGTTTGAAAGACTGACTGAGGTTCCTGGGTGCGCGTCTCAGCTGTATGTGGCGTTCTCCTGCAAGAGTTTATTTTAGATCGAATGAGCGCAAAAATAACGTGCGTGTATCTCGGGAGGTTTGTGGCACCGGGCACGCTCTCAACACCAAGCATTGTGCCAGGACACACTGTCCTTAAGCTAAACCTTGGCTGTAAATGATTAATGAATTATATACTAGAAAAAGGCCTTGCACAGCTTTAAAACTGATTTTTTTTTTAAAAGGCAAAGTGCGTCAAATTTGGATCATTCAACGTTGCTTAAAACCTGTCAGGCATTGAGGCCTGAAATTCACCCTCATCTGCGAGACTCCTTTGCGTTTCGATAAACAAATTGGAAGCCATTTCTCTGCAGTTCTTAAACGAAACCGGCTTCTAGACGAATCATTCCTAACAATAATTCTTACACTTGAGAAGCACCTTTTGTGTCTCGGAGATGTCTCAAAGTGCTTCACAGGATTTACTGTAAAATGGTGTTTAACTGTATTTTTCGGGGCGAACGCGACGGCCAATTTCTGCGCAGAATAGGCCCCGCAAACAACTGACGAATTTTATTTGGGGAAGTGGGGGGATTCCTAGCCGACTCGATTGAAGAATTTTGCTGCATTTCTGCATCATTTTGAGCGTAGAGACAAACTGGGACTCACAGGCTCGGAACAAGGTGGAGTTGCAAGGTCTTTAGCCTAATTGGAGCCTACATCGTCCATAATGTGGACTGACGGACCCAGAGTTGGTGCAGAGCCAAGGAACAAGTGACGCAGTGCGAGAACAATGTTTTAAAAAAAATAAAAATGATTTATTCTGGAAAATGCGTGTCAACCCGTTTATTAACGAGGTTTGCAGTGTGAGGAAGTTCTCTCGACATGCAAAGTACAAAATAAAAGCTTTGACGCAAAAAATAACAGAAGCAGAAAGTAATGGGTAATTTTTATCGAAAACCAATAGCCAAATATCCATACACATAAGGTAAAAAATAAATTGGCTGTTTGAGACACAACTGGCTGTCAAATTTTGCCCACAAAAGATAAGTCAATCCACTTTACAATATATTCTGTGAAGCGCTTTGAGATGTCTCAACGACGTGATAAGGCGCTATTATCAAAAGCAAGGATTAGTATTAATATTACCATAGTTCTGCCACCGCCTGGGGCAAGCTGATAGATCCACGCTGCTGGTTACTCATCCATGAAAAGGCAACGTGTAAGATTGTTTGTTCCCTTTCTGTGAAGAAGACTGCAGTTCTGTTCTCAATTTCTTTTTAACAACATGGAGCCAGGAGCTACTGCGGAAACGTATTTTCCTTCAAATAAAATAATAAGTGTACAACTAAACAACACTGTTTTCATGCTATGAAAATTCACGAGTCCCACTATGTATTCATAGACACAGAGAGAGAGAGAGAGAGAGAGTGCAGTCTGCGTAAGTCACTTGCTGAGAGTTGGCATTCAATGTTTCTTTGTGCCAGGGCTAAAGGAACACAGCTCACAAGACGACACAAACATTTTATTCGGCCCATTTGATCGCATCCTCCCATCGTAGCATCCAGCTGCATTTTTTTAAACAAGTATCTTGGTCTCAATCAGTGTTCCTCGGAACCAGCTCCAGGCCTTTAGTTGCCCGCTGGATAAAGAAATACTTCCTGGTGTCTGTTGTGAAATTGCCCCTTTGTAACTCAAATGTCGTGGTTTCCAAGCTGCCAACAAACAGTCATTCTATCTAAGTGTGCGGATTAATCCCAAATATATCGAAGCAGCAACGACACTTATTGGACGCATCCCTTTAGTGCGCAGTGGAGTTTCTCACAAAAGTGCTGAAAAGTAACTGGTCTTTGAGCGGTTAATTGGCCTGGGGAAAGTGGAGTTAATATTAATGGTGGGCGCTGAGGAGAATCGGGGCAGACTCGCTCTTCTCTGCTTTTACCTCGAGGCCTTTCACTGAAGCAGAAGGAAAGTGGGAAGAAAAGGCCACTGACCTAAGTGATCAGGACTCAGTAGTCTGCACTGTCAGTTTGCAATCCGGCCAACATGCTCAGCTGGTAACTGAAGGAATCCACTGCTTCCATGTCTGTGCGACGATTCTACCCACCACCAGCACCCACGCAGGCTCCATCACATTTGCGGGGTGATGAAAATTGTGGGTCCAAGCCCCACATTAGGACTTTGAACTTACTGCTTCGCCTGATAATCCCGTGTCTGTGCTCGGGGGAGCGTTGCATTGTCAGAGGTGCATTCGTGCCAATGACACATTTTGGCCACAAAACACGCAGTCAATTTGCTTTACGGTATATTCTGTGAAGCGCTTTGAGACGTCTCGAAGACGTGATAAGGCGCTATATCAAATGCAAGGATTATTATTATTGTTGTGAAACAAGTTTTTTTTTCTCAAAAGGGCACGGAAAAGACTAGCTCTCTTGTGCACATTGTCGGTATGAATTAAAGGCGCTTTTACCGCCCTCCACCCACTCGCTTTATAGAACAAACAAAGCCTGTATTACACAAGTGGTGGAAGAGTCTCCTCGTTCTCCCCTATCTTCTTTACAGGCTGAATTGGCAATTAAACTCTTGAAGCCTTTTTTTTGTAATCCTGGAAAGTTCCTAGCGGCATAATCTTAGGCTGTTAATGCGTTGCATGTACAGAATAGTAATCATAAGGAGAGAGGATGACGGCAACGGTGACATTTCATTTTCAATCCACCCTCAAGCGTTGCATACAGCGAGTTGATTGCGTGAGCTGTGAACGGCCAGGGGCAGGGAGGCAAAACAAAGCAAGGTTAACTCTTTATGGGCACGGTCTGAGGTCCAGAAAGTATTTAGGAAGGCTTTCTCCCCACTAACACTGCGCATTCACACCCGTTTCCCAGCGATAAGTCGAGGAAGTGAAAGGCCGAGGTGCAGCCCTACACTGGTTGACACCAATCCCCCAGCCAAAGGACTTGAATGCCTTGCGATGCGTAGGAGGGAGTTGTACAGTTTTACTCCACTTTACGCAGAACAACTCTAGACCCCAAGTGTTGCAGAGTAAGCGGTGCATCCATGGCTAAGTCTTGCCTTAAGGGATTTTTATAAGGACGGCGTTAATGATAAGCCCTGGATCTTTCCTCGATCGAGAGACGTTTTGTCCTCTGTGAACTGAGAAAACAGGCCACTGGCAACTCTGCATCCGTAAATACAGATCGAGAGTAGCCCGGCAACTTCGAGAGAGAGAGAGAGACAAATGTGAGTGTGAGACACTTGGTCCTCACATCAGGTTTATAATATTTTAGATTGATTCAGTCAGATTAGCCCGAAAGAATGTCTTTCTGGGCTGCTATGACTTTCTGCTGTTGATTTGGAATGCCCTGTGCTGAAGAGGTTTAAGGGAGAGAGAGCAAAACACGGAGCAGCTGACTAAAACCATCGATTCCAAATGTACCACGGGAACACCCACATGGTGAAACGTTTGCTGGCTTTTTATGCAACAACATAACTTGTTATGCAGCACAAAAGACGGAAATATCTCACATTACCATTTAATGTCAACGTTCGAGGGAACATTTTCTACACGCGCACAGTCTCGTAGACGAACACACAGAAAGGGAAGTTATCAAATAGGAATTTTAACACAACCTTCCAACAGTTGCTCAGCACAGATGGGCCTTCCAGTAAGAATGGTCCCTACAGTTAAGATCCAGATCAGATGCCCCTATTGAATCGTTGCATCTGAATCTATATTGGGACGTCCTCCCGATGTGAAAGACGCCATACAAATGTAATTTGTTGTTGTTGCTATCTCTATCCTATGATGGAGGGATTGGTTTATACACATCACAGCTTACTTGTATTCAGTTCACTCAGTGTATAATTTAATGCACAACAAAACAAGTTTTGAAGTTTACGAGCGATTTGTTACAAGCAATTTTGTTTCTATGTAATCCACCTTCCGAGAATAATAAAAAGGCACAACACAAATGCACATTAATCATGCAAGTGAGCGCGGGATTCTTGCAAGCAAAAAAAAAAAACCCATTGATTCTCAGCCTTGTTTAATATCTGCACAAGAGGACATGAAATCAATTCATTCCTGCTTGTTTCTCAAATCCCAACCACGCTTTTTTTCTTCTCTGGAAACGCAAGTCACATTCATACGCTTGGCAGAACCGTGTTTCAGATATTGGAACAAATCTCCCATAATTAGGGCAGATAATTCAAAAGGCAACATGGTACTATCAATCCCTAGATTAGGTCTTTTGGAAATGGAGCTGAACTGTGGAAGATCGACAACAACAACAACAAATTACATTTGTATGGCGCCTTTCACGTCAGGAGGACGTCCCAAGGCGCTGGACAGTGATGTAAACAGGCACTTGAAGACCCCAGAGCATTATAGCCTTGGGTAAATCCATTTAAATTCAAATCCATTGCATTTGCTGACTCTCAAGGAGTAAATTGTGAGCATCTGCGTGTGCGGAGGGAGTGTTCCCCCATTTCAGCCCCGTTAGCACCATCAAGGCAAATCATTCTTTGATCAAAGGAGGTACGTGTCACTGTTCAACTGAACAGCTCAACAACGTGTTGGAATCTCCAAGTTTGCCGTTTCAGCTTCTCCCCCCAACGACACTTATCTTAGCCGGAGCACTTTCAAAGACTCAGTCTCAGACTCTCTAATGCCATTGACAGCACTGCCAAACAACAGCCAACAGCAAGATTTGCAATGTTACAATACAAAAGCGATTGTTTCGTGCCGTTGAACAAAGCACAAATGACTCACAAATGTGAGCCGGGTGTTTACTGGGAGCACAAGTCTGTGGGCGCAGGCTCGTCATGTGACAATTAGATCATTTGCTTCATGGACCGGTGAGTATGGCTTCATACAGAGCGTGCACATGGCTGTTTGTGGGGTTGCTTTTATCAAGTTCAGCGAGATTCAGGCAGAATCCTAATCTAGCAGAGTCTGAAAAGAAAAGGCAATCGAGCAAAGCGGCAGCAGGAAACGACCAGCAGTTTGGTTCGCTCACATGACGTGCATCTTAGTGAATCTCAACACGTTGCTCTTTCGCCTAAGAAACCCCAGGGTTGTTCCTGTGGTCTGTGTTGACCTCAGCCGGGGCTGCAGTTGGAAGTGTTGCGACAATTGATCTGTGGTCCAAGATTGGAGGGTGGGGGTGGGGGTGGGGGGGGGAGGGGAGGGAGAGGAAGAGAGAAATCTGCTGGGGCTCCCACTCCTCAATTGTTGTTCACTCCTACTGTAGAGCGCCCGCACGTGTATATTGTAGGAGACAGAATTAGGGATCAGCTGTAATGCCCCCAAGGAGGAATAGCCGTCGAGCACTCACTGTCCAAGAAAAAGGGCCACTTGAGCATATAATGCAAGAGGGGCTGTGGACCTGTACATCAGCGTGAGTCAGAGTCTGGGAGGGGGAGGAGGAGGAAGTGGTGCGGTGGGAGAGGAAGGGGGGCAGAATTGTGAAACGTAATTGCAATGAAATAAAGTCACTTGGCCCTGGTGTTACGACGTAATTCCTTGAAACGACTGTACGTGGGTCCAAGGAGGTAAATTAGATTTTTCAAAAGGGACTTTGAAGCATAAACTCACTCGGAAACCTCAAAAGCCGTAAAGCAGAAACTAGTCACCGGCTTAAACCGTTGGGACTGAACCCGTGGCCGATGGAACGACTGACTGCCTACGTCTAACTGATGCACACGGTTTCTAAGCAACTGGCAAGTAACCTTGGCTACGGTAACCAAGGACACAAGAGTTCTTGGCTACGAGGGAGACGTCAACTGGAAGTTAACGATAGCGTTGACTCATTACTGAGATAAGGGCACCCGGTCGTGTCTCGGAACAGTCCACGAGGTCCCGGCAGCGTTCGCCGGCACCTTCTTTCTTCGGAGTCTCGCGAAAAAAAAAAAAAAATTTTTTTTTAATAAACGTGATCCGAAGCACATTCGTCTACATTCATCTTTATTAAAATAATTTAAAAGCCTTGTTGCCCCCCCCCGACAAAAAAAAAAAAAAACGGGAAGAAAACATTCATCGAGGGGAGGAGCGAGCACAAGCCAAGTAAGTACAGGAGCCACTCGCTGGCCGTGTAAATCTGACCGGCACACCCTGACCCCACCACAACATGCTGCTGCTCCTGATGATGATGATGATGATGACGACGACGGCCGCGACGACGACGATGTTGATGCAGTGCGCAGTTCAATATTGTAACATTTTTGGTCGACACATCAAAAGGTTTATACTATCATTTCCTCACTTTGTACAGACACACGGAAAAAAAAAACAACTCAGTTTATCCAGATGTTGGTTAATAGCCACAAACGAACAGGTCGGAATTTTTTTTTTTTTTTTTTTTTAAAAACAAACTTACCGAGGCGAAGCAAACGTATAAACAGCAACGACCCGCACCCCCCCCCACCCCACCCCCACGCGCACGCACACACAATAAAACAGTTATATAAATATACCATGCAGAACACCATCGTCACAGTGAATTAATGTGGATAAAAAGGAATGTAAAAAGTGCACGTTACTCGTGAACCGGTTAAAACGCCCTTGCAATAGGGCTCGATTATGACCAAGGTGGTACTTAGCTTGCCTCTGCCATTTAATGTGCCATTGTGGAAGATAAAGGTGGAGAGCTCAGGTGCACGTCTTCCTAAACCAGCTGGCCACCTTTATTTAGGGGTAAAGACCATTTTAACTACGTTCCGTCTGCACTTCTTTTATAGCAAACGGACGCTTTGTTAAATGTCAAGTCGGGAGACCTTTCAATGAACATGATCGCAAAGAATCTCTATCCCTGGCTTTAGTAGATTTCACTGCAAAACGACCAAATCAGATGTACTCAACGTTCCAATGGGCCAATATGACTTTTGCCGTTCAGTTCACTGTACTCTGCTCTCTGTCCGTGTGAGTGAAGGTCAATCAGCGTACATTTTATTGAAATGATATTCCGTGACACAAATTTGCCAAGTTAGAAATGGCTGACAGATGAGTGGTTTTTGAAAAGAAAAAAAAATTCAACCCACTTAAAATAAACTACCATAATAAACCTTTCCTGAATAAGGATCATCCCTAAAGAATTGTACAGCACATCTAAAGAGTTTTAACCCCAAATTGCTGGTTAACTGGGCATTTCACACAGGCAGGAGGAGACTGCGAGTTTGAGAAAGGCAGTCTGTGCCTCAACCTCAGCTACAAACATGCTGGAGGGTGTACAGCACCTCACAGGTTTCACACTGGGCTTTGTGCAGGTTAGTACAGATCATGGTGAAGAAGCAAATGTAGAGGAATCCGTGGTGTAAATCATCATGATGAACAGGGAGAAAGGTTCCATGCAGTGAGGTGGGGACGTGGGGGAAGAGGATACATTAAATAAATAACCTACAGATCGCAAACTAACTTAATCTGCAAATGAAAAAATAAACTAACTGTTTTAAAAAAAGAGAGATGCTGAACTTTTTTCAAGAAGCCTGGCAGGTTTTAGAATGGCACGTTACGTAGATCTGATTTGGATAGTTCTGAGTTACAGCCAACCCCCAGAAAAGGGGTAACGTCTTTGGTCCCCTTCACAACTGTGTTTTTCAGAATTGCACCTGGCGAGAACTGGGCAAGAAGTGATTTGAGCACATTCGATCCTTGACGATTCGTTGCAGGTGAAATGCAGCGGCTGAATTACCTGTGCTTATGGATAATATGTTTTGTGAGGACATCCATGCTTCCAATTCAGTTCAATGCTCAGGTAGAGAGAGCATGAAACTTGACTGCGTTTCAAACCGGAGACCCAGGAAGGGCAACCGAAGAAGAAAAAAACAACACAGAAGTGAAAGGAGTTCGGCCAAATGTTTGTGATTTTCTATTCAAAAGAATTGTGGTACAATTGTGGTGTCTAGATAGAGATGAAGGCCGTAGTTTACACACCAGGATCCCCACTGTCTCTGAGCAGGAGAGCCCCCAATCAAGTCGAGTGGTTTAAATAATACGTGGGTGAAAAGCACTTTAGAAGTTTACAATCCAGGCCTCCACAGCTTAAAAACAGATTGGAACCAGTAAAGAGTTTTTAAAAAGGCACTAAACCCCTGGCGCACATGGTTAACTAAGGGCGTTCTTTAATTCACATTCCAATTAAATAGATTGGTGATTTAATTTTAAAATAAGGTTTCACACTGAACATCAGTGGTCTGTCCTACCAAACAGGGCGTGTGCTATTTCTCTTGCCTCTAAGAAGCATGCAATTACTTACAGTTTACCTCTGCTCATGAGCATTTGCCTTTGCATTGCCAAATTCAGATGGAATTTGGGAAGCAAAGAAGTTCTCAAGGCTTCAACATTAGAGCAGCACATAGTACAAAGGTGCTCGCTAGAAGATGAAATGAGCTGCAGCAATATCTTTTCTCTCCCCTTCCCTACCCCTCTCCCTCCCACCCTCCCCCCAAACCCAAGGCACTCTACCACTACAATACATTCCACCTACTAGTCCAGCTGAGAATCAGGAAGGTGTGGAGAGAGCATCTTAAAGCAGATAAAACATTTCAGCATCTTTTCAACAAGCTTTTCGGACTAAAAGAACATCAGAGCTAAACAGAACAAAGTGAATACTTCCGTATCTGGATCAGAGAGATGTCACCATGTAAAAATTCTGTCCTGTTCAACCTAATGCCATCTGGCGACATCTCCAGCAAAGCAGCAACAAACCTAGTTCAATGTCTGGACTTCAGATATGGGAACAGACAAACAGATAAGAATGTGTTAGGTCTGAATCTGAGCTGTTATACCGCGCGCGTGTTCTGGTTTAATTCTGGAGCATCCTTGGGACCGTTATGTTTTGTTAAGAGATAATGAATCGCAAGTAAAATATCTCCAAACCAACATCGATGCGTTTTAAATAATCTTTAAAAAATAATAAAAAGTGACGAGTTGGTTTGCTTCTGTTTTGCAGACTGACCTGGGTGGGCATTGCCTCCTCCAATTCCTGCCCTAACGTCAGTCAGTGAAGCGTCACTCTGCTGGATAAGTTAAGTTTAATAACAGCGAGTTCTTATGACTGTGGGTCAGAGCAGGTCGGGGAGGATGAGGCCTGGTGGTTTGGGCTCCACGCAGTTGATCCAGAAATTGGCACAACTTGCATGATACTGGTGACCGCCGTAAAACAACTTAAAATTGTCGCTGTCGGAGTTGAATGCCTGGAAGAGAAGGGGAATAAAGAAAGCAATGTGAACACTCAGTTTAATCACACCTGCACATTACCTGGAAACTATAAAAAAAAGACACACACACGCGACTGATCTGTTCCAGTCAACATTTGGGATCATTTCATGAGGTTGGTGTTTAAATTTTAAGAAAAAACAACCGTGAAAAGTACTTTGCGTGTTACACAGAACTGATCTTAAAAGAAACTACTGTAACTGAACAAAATACTACAGATGCTGGAAATCTGAAAACAAAAACAGAAGTCGCTGGGAACACTCAGCAGATCAGCTGTTGCCTGACCTGCTGAGTGTTCCCAGCGACTTCTGTTTTAGTCTACTGTAACTAAAGTTCACAGGAGCTGGACTTATTTGCAGAGCGGGAGATGAATTCCTGTACGATTCTATTTCCATGTCAACTCCGTAAGCTAAGGGTAATGTGGTAGGAATCAGTAACTAAATCCTAAAACCCTTGCATCTGACATGGTGCCTGTGATGCCAAAGTGTCTGTAAAGGCTTTACAAATAATTGCTGTCAAAGTGTAGTGACTCTGCATTTGTTCTTGAATGGTGCAACCTGTGTCATTGGGATTTATTTTTCTGCAAATCTAGCCATCAAACTGTTTCTTTTCCAAGCAATTCTCTCCTTATAATAGATTGAGATAACTGTATCGGTGAACTTGTTTAAAACCAAATGAGCTGCTAAATGTGTGCACTGATCTTAACTAGAATCGGGAGCAGGGTGCCCTGAGCAACAGTGAACTGCAAGCTGTGTCAGAAGGTGAATGGGAACAATCATTTATATGTGCTGAGGGATCCAGCTACGAGTTCTGTTCCCAGAAAACTGTGCTTGAAAAGAAAATTGGTTACAAGACATTATCAGACGAAGGCCTCTTGCTTCCTCTCATCAGTATGAAGGACTGAACAGGTCAAAAACAAGTGGCACACTGACATAGGACACCAGAGTGGATGGTGCTCTCTCCGTTCAGCGCAAACGCCACGATAAACCTACAGTAGCCAACATACTGAGCTCACGACTGAAATTCATAAAAGAAAAATAATATCTCAGGATACAGGATAGTTTGGGACATGACATGTCAAGCGACTGGCAGGATGGTGAAAGGTGAACTAGATGGACCTTGGTCTTCTTTCGCCAGCAAATTCTTATGTACTTAACAAATTCTGCTAATATTTACTATCGTGAGGAGGCAACTTGTAAACAATGGGCAAACCAGTAGCAACTAGAAGAGCTGTCAGGCGGTGAAATTAGTTTAAGGAATTAATCTAAGTGTTCCTACACAGGCGAGGGATGAGAGGTTGAGAGATTAGGCGTTGAAAAATCCGCATGTCTGAGGACCAAGGCTTCTTTGTCCAACACAAAACTTCAGTATCACTAAAAAAAAATAACTAAAATGCAGCACAGCAATAATCAATTGGCAGCTCACTTCCGACTCTTAAGGTGCAAAGTAGATATTGGCACAAGATTCCCGCCGAGTATCTGAGATCTTTACGCTTTTATATCATTAGAAGATCATTTTTTTGTGGTTTCTATAGAATAGATTCTTGGACACGATGGGACGGGGGACAGAGAGTAATCAAAAGTACTGAGAAATCCTGGCTGATTACATACATACTTTACAATCGACCTTATCTACCCCTAAATCGGCTTTTATTGTCAGTCGGAAGAATCCAGCCAACAGACATGTTCGAGGACTGCGTCATGAGATTCCAGACATCACTTGAGACACAAATTTGAAGATGGGTTTTCAACTGAGAATATCCAGTGCTCTAGTGCTGTGGGCCAAGAGCATTTGAAGCAACTTTAATCCAGTGGAAGAGACTGCTTTGCTATTGTAAGATTCAAAACCCCAATTCATTGCAAGAATAAATTCTTTACTGCCCTTTAAGCATCAACTCTGTAGCCCTCAATGCTAGATATCCCTCATCTCAAGATATCAGCAACATGGATTTCTATCTTTACATCCCAAGATCCAACGCAAATCGTTGCAGTGTTTAAGGAATTTAAACAGAACTTTTTTTAAAAAAATGAACGTTGGAGGGTCAATTCCTCACAGGGTTAATTTCTCATGAAAATCAATCAGAGCGAAATAGTGATTGTTTTCTCCCCTTCTTTTGAAACCGTGTCGATCCTCTGGAGGTTTCACCGTTGCACACAATAGGTAACGCAGCCAGCTTTTCCACGCAATTACATACAATCATTCTTCAAGATAATGCAGGCCCAAGCTTTAGTGAAACCGATAAGTGGGACTTTTATTTGCTGCTGTGTCTTAATTATAACGCTGACAATTACAGGACCATTTGAATTCTGCTCATAGCGACTGACAGGCTGGTGGGCTATAATTTTAAGACTACTGAAGATAAACACTGCCAATCAACATTTAACCTCGTAAAGTCTAGATTATTTCGCGATTCATGTTGACAATCGTGTCTCTCAGAGCAGACATGGTGCACCTTCCTGGTCTGGGTCTAACCTTTTCTAACGAGAGCATTCCAGCTTTTTACATTTTTACTAACGTAAATAAAATACAATTTGTATTTCCATAGTGCCTTCCATGTTGGGATGATGTCTCAGAGCGCTTTCACAGCTGTCAAAGTGGGGAAGGAGGGGGCGAGTCGGGGGGAAGAGACCAGAATAGAGTTCCAGAGAGCATGGCAGATTGGGGGAGACAGACAGACAGACACGAGGCAGACCAGTGGGTGCAGTGGAGGGAACATCCAGGTCGGAAGGATTTCCAGAGATCGCAGACGTAGGGAGGGGCAAGACCTTGGAAAACTAATGTTTCTCTTCCCACATTCATTTTTATTGTTATGAAGGGGCCAGCAAAGGGGAGCAATCATGTACAAAACAAAACTGGATGACAGTAAAGAGGCCTGTTAGATTAGCCAACATTTAAACTGGAAGTTGATATGCATATTGTACAGTGTTCAGGTGAATTCTGAGATGGTGACATTAATATGGATCAAGGACTGTGAATCATGCTCTTCAAAACATTATTCAGAAGCAAGCGGTCATTATAAATCCTGCATTGCAGGTTAAATAATGGTGCAAGCTCTGGTCTACATATGAATTGGACAGAAGCCCAACTTAAAATGGCCCTATTACAGGCAAAATAACAAGGCAGCAATTTCCATCATGAGACAAATTGATGAGGGTCATTTTGGGAGTATTTTTCCCCGCATTATCTGATTCCCCCACTCAAAACGATTTGTTTAATAATGGGCGGTTGAAAACCCTGCATTATTGTTTTTTTTAATAAAGTGGCAGCACTCACTTCTAACAATGCATTAGATGAGAATGATGCGCTTTCAAAATTAGAATGGAGTACATTTGTTAGACACAAGGAATCACACTGGTAGCCAAAGGTTTAGTTAAGTTCCTGCAGCATGCAGCCCACAACACAACACACAGATGTAACATCTGCTCCCCCATGCAACTCAAATGCTATGCCTGGAAGACAGAGATGCTGATTAGAATTCGACCAGGCACAGTATTTGTCAGGAGACAATCATTTATAACCATTCCCAAATTTAAGATCCGAAAATGAAGATAGTGGAAGAAAGGAAAGGAGATTAAAATTAAAATTACCCCGTGCTGACAGTTTAAAAGGGGGGTTAATTTTAATTTGGCTCGATTCCGTCACAACTTGGTGGGTGAAATGTTGAGAAAAATTTTTTAGAAGGTCATACTTGTTTTGGATGATCCTCCAACTTTTCTTCCTTCTGGAACAAGTGAGATGGGAAGTCAATAACAATGGCGAAGGACAAAGCACATTAACCGACCAGATTGTCTGCTAGAATAGCTTTCCAAGCGTGTCAACCTCTGGGGTCAGCCGAGCTTGCTTGTAATGTCACACTGTATTTTCATCTTGACGTGGGCTGGCTGGAGCCCAACCGTCAGGATGTGTGACTGTAGACATCTCTGTGTCCTGAGTCAATCTCCTGTTCTGTTCAGCAAGCCAACGTGTGAATGGCCACAGACTGTAACTGAGATTGTGTCTCTCCCATGTTATGGTGCATCTCACTTGTCGACTGCACCGCATGACACGAGTTCACAATCTAGTGGGTCTTGGAAAGCACCACAATGGTTTTGTTGATTTTCCAAATGAGTTTTGATTTACCAGCTCCGAAGCGAGCTTTAGATTTGCATTATTGGACACAGAATGTGTTTCACAGGCTCAATCTGCAGCCAGTGATTAAGCAACAAAAATAATAATCTGAATATGAGTAAAACATGTGGGGTTGTGCCTACCTTGCTTCTGGAGTCAACATTAAGCAGGCAAACTCCGCAGGCTAGATCCTTTGCATTTTTTATCCCCGGACGTAGAATGCAGGAGGAGAAATCTAACGAGTTTTCATCTGGCTGCAAAGAATGTAAATATCTCTGATTTACCACATTATTCTTTAAAATATCCTTTCACTTTTAACGTTTCTCTCCTACAACATTGTGGCTGAATCAATTACTTACTCATTGGTCAGCACGTAATCCAGGATTGATTGGGGAAATCGTTTTAACAAGTTGAGAACAGATTTTGATCTAACACTTTCAAGGTTTTGCATTAAGCAGTTCATACAATACGTCGCCTCACCTAGAAATTACAGCATCAGTAGAGGCCATTTGGCCTACACAGTTCAACTGTTTGTTTTAAAAAAGCAAAACAAAAAATTATTTATGGTGCATTTTACTCGGTGCTACTGCTAAGTAATGAGATGGACAGGTCACATAAAGGGCACAAGAATTCAGTTCACAGTATTGAAGCACTCTGATTGATATGGATACTGGATATAATATCTATATTATAAGTGGACCCAGGTGATGCAGACATTCCAATAAAATTATAGTCATTTGAACTAACAGAAACCTTCATCTGCTTTGGTTTGATATGAAGGATATCTGACTTTGCAAAAGTCAAATACTACCTTCAGCAGGTCAGTAAATTGCAATACTGTCCTTCGAAGCGTTCTAGTGTGGACACTGACAACGGAGCCATTGAGTGTTCAGATCTCACTCAGACACACATTGCAATTATAACGTCCTTCCAAACACATCAATTTGGTTGCACAAGGCTGCACCTTTGAATTTCCAAGCAGTTACTCTGTGCGATGTGTGAAAGCAAAATTGCTTAAAGTTGGACAGATGTAACAATCATTTTGACCAGTTGGCTGGCTTCTTCCGAGACATTTTTAATGATTGAGCCTTTAGGCGGCAATCGCAAAAGTGATGGAACATAAACACCACTACAGAGAAAAATTGATGCATTACGCTTTAAAACTACCGAAGTAAAGAGATTCTGGATTTAAAATCAAAATTAACGTGTAGTGGAAGATAATAGCGTTTCAAAATGGATCACTGTTTGAGGGGAGAAGCACATTATTAGTGCTGACGGGCATCAGCTTTATATTGCAAGGCTACTTGGTTCAGCAAGGAATTGAGATGAGAGGAGAGAGGTGCCTCCAGTGGAAGAACTGAGGATCGATGGACAAATCGCTGCCTCCTACACTGCAATTTCTGTGATACTATGAGCTCTACCATGGCTAAAAATGGAACAGATGACTTTTCAACTTCTTACCGTTAATAAACACTGAGGTTTTATCGCAATCTTACCACTAGATTTTATCCGCTATGTAGCAGTATACTTCGCTCGAAAAAAACTAAACTATGTGCACTGCTTACCTTCTGTACCATCCCAGAGGAAAGCAGATATGAAAAATAAAAGACCCCAGTGAATATCGCATTTTCTTGCTACAAGGCACCTACATCAATGTCATTTCCACGGCTGTTTGTGAGATGCTGCTGTGCGCAATTAGCTGCCGCGTTTCACCCACAATATATACAGTCAATTCATTTGCCTAGAAAATATAGTGATGCCTCTTTTAAAGTATACCCTTTAAAGCGCTTTAGGATGTTCTCCTGAAAGGTGCTATATCAACTATGAAATGTCCGCCCTGTGAAGTGTCTTTCTTTTACTCTCACCGTGAGTGGAGTGAGAGACATGAACACTACCAGGTTGCTCCAGATCTTCTCAATTTCCTTCATCAGATGCTGAAGTTTCTCGTTACAGACGGCTGTCGCCTTAATTCCAATCTCAACCCGTTTTGTTACTCTGTAGACTTCAATAACTCCTGTTGAAACCAACACAAACTATTTAAAGCTTGGACTTTTATAAAACAAATCTTCCAAATTGCTCACTTGCTGCAGTTTACTTAACATACGTTATGTTGATCAAGATTTAAAATATAAAGAAAAAAATGACCAAGTGCGATACACCATAGAATCCTTAATGGAACAAGTAACACATGGGCTAATATCTTTAGGAGCTCTGTGAATGCAAGAGCTGTACTGAAGGACTTGAGGATAGCAAAGACGCTCCTAGTACTGAACTTGGCTCTCACTACAGAGCAAGGAAGATCTCAGTAGAAACTGGATTCTTTCCATTCTGGGGAAATGTGGGGGAGAAGAGGTAAGGGAGGAAAAATCACCTCAAGCTGTTTTAATGCAGGTTATATAATAATAATAATCCTTGCATTTGATATAGCGTCTTATCGCGTCTTCTAGACCGCACAAAGCGCTTCACAGAATATACTGTAAAGTGAATTGACTGTATATTTGTGGGTGAAACCGGCAGACAATTGTGCACAGCAGTGTGCCCCAAACAGTCGTGGATTGAATGACCAAATTTTTTTTTTCCTTGAGGGATTATTATTAGGTGTGAGGAGTAAGGAAACTTGCCCAAGGTTTTACCCTGCTGGGAATTGAACTCAGATCTCTCGCTTTCAAGGCGAGTGCTCTAACCACTGATCTACAGGACTCCACAGTATTGGCAAAGTCTTGGGCTAAGTCACTCACTCAATCTCACACTCACAGTACTATGGAAGATGTGTACTGGCAGTGCAGCAGCTAAATGGGAGGAAAGGGAAGAGCGACAGGACTCTAAAGGATTACATCATCTGGTTTGATTTCTGTACCGAAAAAAGCGGCCTTTAAAAGGATTCTTAAAACAAAATTGCCAACATTCCTTATTAATACAGCAATAATGGGTAACATGAAGTGTACAGACTTAAACAAACATGAGCAAAAGGAGCGATTAATTTGCCAGTCACTTGTTTCATACCCAGGAGGTACTCCATGCCTTGCGTGGACTGGATAACTTCACTGCAAACTGTTGAACTGCTGATTCCGTTCAGAGTATCACCGGCCTTCTTAATCACCTGGAAGATTGATGGAAGGATTTGAGTTTGCGATGATTTAAATGAAGGCTGTGAGAATGAGACTTAAGAGTAATGAAACCCTTATCCATAACCATTATACAGAATCCTTATATTGTAAAGCACAGCAAGTAGATGACGACTGTACAAATTGTGACAATGCTACTGGGGGACACCTGTTACAGTGTTAACAATTTCCGGGTAAAGAAATTATTGGAACAATCGTCAGAACTCAGGCAGACTGGGATCTTGCAATTGTGCTTAGATATAAAATGCTGGGTCTAGTGTCAAATGTCAAAAAGAGGAACACAGATGAGCTAAAGTCTCTCACTATGAACCCCTCAGATCACAGACCCTTAGCACATATCCCAATAGAATCAGTTGGTTTAGTTGTATTCAGTCCCAGGGGTTGCTGGGACACTGCGATGATGCCAATCAGCACCAGAAGTGTACTGCACTACACTAAAGTAGGTTATAATGTTATCCGATTATCACCAAATAATAGCACTAAGAATGGAGAAAGAAAATGGCGATGGTTTTACCTGCAATGCACTTTCTAAACACCTTTGCCATTCATAAGCATAACGTTCATTCTCCTGCATGAAAAATAAGAAAAGTAACTTACAACGTAGATTCTTACTTAAATGATGATTTTTTCCTCACATGTCCCACGCTACAAATATAATACAAAGCTTCTAAAAAAAACACTCCAAGTAGAACTGAAGTAACTACTACAGTAAATTATACTACAGTAAAATACTACTGGAATCTTGCACATGCATTGCTTTACAACTGCAAGAAATGTTGAAGACCATCACATGAGGCTGTTAATGATAGGCCGTACAGGTAATGGAACTAATGACACTACGAGTTCAGAATCAACCCCAAACTTTTACAATGATTCTGTTGACCCAATATCAAATACACAACATACACTGACTGTAAACATGACCTTGTGGGCAGACGTGATGTCCAACCCACAACTAAATCACTCCATCTCTTTCCTGCAGCTTTTCGTATCCCTTTAACCAGCGTCATACAGAATATCATTCAATATTGGTTCCCAAACTTAAAAATTGGTCTTTATTAGTAAAATAATTAGTATTTTATTTCAAAACACATGACAAAGTGATGCGTTTGGGAATAAATTAATGAATCTACCCTTCCAAGATGAGCACCAGAATTTTTAAAGGCCATTCCCTTTCTAGGCACGGTTCCTGAATATCACCGGCGTTCAGCCTTGATCCTTTGTTACAATATACCACCTTTCCTGTAGAACAAAAACTGCACGGGAGATACTAAGAAGGCCCAAGTTTGAAGCTTAAATTTGGAACTACTGGAACTTTCTTCCGCAGCTCTGAGTGGACACCCTAAACTGACTCAAGGCCAAGGCTTAATAAGCAGATTTTGAAACCAGAGAATCTTTACCTCCACTTCTCCAGTAAGGTCCTTATACTTGTCCCTGATGACGGGCAGAGGTGCTGGTTTCTCATTAAGTGTATTGGATCGGTCTCGGAAAGGCTGCTCTGAAGCTGCTGAAGTTCGAATTACTTCTTTATCCCCTAGGCTCAAACTTCTTTTGTGAGATCCTATGGGAGGGGAGACAAAAAACAACCCAGGATGCTTAGATGGGTTATTCCATTTAGAGAAAGTCATAAAGAAGCAATTTACTTTATTTCAATGTTATCAGAGCACAGAAAGGAACACTGCTAGCTGGTCACTTGTTGGAAATTCTCGTTTTCACAGAGAAAGTTTAGTATAAGACTTGCACAGTCAAGTTTAGTTAACAATCGATTATGATTTCACAATTAGATGAATGGAGTCTAAAGCCATTGTTAATTTCTACTTCAGCATCTTAGAACAAATTGATGGATCCTGTGAATTCATACAAGAGCGTAAATTACTATTTCCCCTCCCATGCTCTCTTTTTCTGAAGATTTTTTTCCACAAAAATCCAGGAGTATTCTGAATTGTAATAATTTAACAGTTTGATAAAGATTCATTTTAGCCCCTGTACGAAGGAGCAAAAAACTTCACTATATATATATATATAGAGAGAGAGAGAGGGAGAAAGTCTTCTATCATTCATCACATCTTAAGGTGAGGTTTGCTATAATCAATAACCTGGCTCTGAAGCATGCGTCTGCTCACTGTGTATAGACTAACCATTTTTTATGAACAGCCCCCTCCCCCCGCCTTCCTGCCCCAACAGAGGTCAATTTGAATTTTTCTTTCTAGCAAATGTGGCAGGTCCTAATAACGTCTACGGTTAGGTTTACTGGAGGCGGTCGCATTACTATCGGGTTAAGACAGGCGACGAGTGTACGATACCTTGGACAGAGAGGTCGAAAGTGGCCAGCTCGCTCTTGATCATCTCCTCGCTGGACTTCACCTTGGCCTGTGAACCAGCCAGAAGAAAATCCAATTTACTGATTTTGGGTTTCTCGCTTTGGAATTCGCCAAATTCGTCGAAGCATTCGGCTTTCTGCTCCTCAGCGTCGATGCCATTGGCGAAAGGCGATGTCGGTAGCGGGGCGGTTTCCTGTGCACGAGGCACACACAGCTCAGTCCCATTGGGTTTAGCAGCTATTGGTTCTGCCCCAGAGGAGGAGATGCTGGTGAAGTCCCCGAAATCATCGCCCTCTTGCGTTTTCTCTTTGGCCCACTCGTCGGTTTCTCTCGCATCTCCCAGAGCAGGAAACTTGTTCTCCGAGCTCGCCTCCTCGGCGGAGAATGTGGTTACCTTGGAGACGGTCGTCATGGTGACGTTCTCCGAGCTGCCAAAGGAGGTCTCTTTCTTCTGGAGCACCGAGGTGCAGGACGATGATCTGCTCTCGGAGTTGAGGAAAAACGCCGGTGGCTGCTTCTTGCTCTGGGTACCAGGGCACTCCTTCTCGGACCAATCGTAACTGGTTAGGCTGCTCAGCGCGGAGCCATTGCTGAAGTTTCCGAAGGGGTCAAACTTAAAGTCATCCAGATCTGAAAAAAACAGTGAACTCTAATCACCGATATAAACGTCCGACAATCTCAAATCAAGCAAGGCTAGAAATTTGGGGGTGGGGGGTGGAGGAAGTAGTGGGGAAATAGTAAAGAAGAAAGAGTGAAATCCCTATCAACATTATACACCACAAAGATCCATGACTGAATGTGCTTTGCTGGTTATTATTTGCATTACAGAGGATTAAATCATTTGCTAGCTAGCTCAGAGCTATTGGCTATGTCTTCCAAGGTTTTCATAAGCGCAGCTGACATCTGCTCTGAGAAATTGTAGTAATGGAGTTTAAATACACAGATAGTATCCCTTAAGCAGACTGTTAATATTCCCGTCAGCCTGTTCTCTGGAACTGGATCGAATCTGAGCTGAGCTTGTACAGAATGTTGTGATGTGCTATGGTTACTTTAAAACATGCCCACTGGGGCAACTTGGAATCCTTATTAAGGGATCCAGTTAATAAGTGTCCCACATTAGATTCCCACATGTCATTAAGAACTAGTTTTAATATTGCTGCTACACCATAGTCCTGAAGTTTATTTTTCCAAACGCAGGAGGAAGATCCTTTGGTCTCATTTATCCCAAGGTGACAAATGTTATTCATCGGTTTGTAGGCAAAATTATACTACTGTTATCAAAATGGCAGTAAAGCAGGTTTACAGAGCCATTCTGAACTGCTTTAACTAGGATAATAAATACACTAGCTTACTTCATCTACTTAATTTTCTTGTGTCATGATTAACAAGGTTCTTAGGAGTTAATGCATTTACTGATTGATTTTTTATTTGGTCAGCTGGGTGTCTGACACGTGCAGAAACCCATCACCATGCTTAAGAATCTCTAAACTAAATTTAGAGTTCAATAACAGAATTCAGTATCTGTGAGGGAAAAATAAATGTAAACGCTCTAAAATGAAGAGTTGCCTTAGGACCATAAGGACAGGAGCTCAATCAGTCCATTTCTCCACAGTTTATTGCATCCGGCAAATTCCGGAAATATCTGCTTTTTCACCGTGTGCCTTGATATCCTGACTCCCTACGCACTTGAAATAACGAAGCTAAATTGATGCTCAAACTCAGTATAATGTTCACAGTTCACAGCCGTGAAGCGAATCAAGGCTGAGAACGTCTTATCACAAAGACACTTTGCAGTGTAATCTGGGCTGTGGTTAGCTCATTGCTGCCTCATTTACTCATATTTAGTTTTCACTCAAAAGAAACACTTCAGTACCTCGGACATCACATAACTCATGTATTGTAAAGAGCCAGATCATTTTAATTACACTATTGTTGTCACTGAAAGATGGCTCGTGCCCCGGCACCTCTTGTCTGATCAGAACGACTCCTTGATCTTTGCCAACTTTAACCAAGACAGTGAAACAGCATTTCAATGCAATAAAATGATAAAGCATAATTACAGTAATAAGATTATTCCTTATATTTGATATAGAACCTTTCATGTCAGGAAGACATCTCAAAACGCTTCACAGGATAGACTGCAAAATGTAGTGACTATGTATTTTGTAAGCAAATAAAGACTGAACACAGTCGAATGCTGAGCACATATTCATGTATATAACCTATATTAATAAGCTTATTTCCGATTGTGCTGCTAAATGCTTTTATTACCTTGGGACTCTTTCAGGTTATTGTTCAAACGTAATCACGTAAGTCAATACATGGAAACACAACAGGGCTTTACTTTTCAAACACTTGAATCAGCTGGGGGCGAACAGAGAACACCAAAATCCTTCTCAAATTACTACATCTCTCCTTAATTAAGCTAACAGGAGGCAAATGGGTCATAACACGAGAGTAACACACATATCAAATTCAGTACATGCTTTCAAGATGGAAAAGTTAAACGCTATTATTTTAAAGATTCTCCACATGTCACAACAACCTTTAACGGCTGCAGTCTATTATCATTCTTCACCTGACCTCCTGACAGAATGGGCTCAAGAGGCTGAATGGCTCGCTGCTGAGGTCCGCTGCGTGGGAAGAAACACTCCAATCACTTGTATTCCGAATTCCAGTCCACAGATATTAGCTGGGAAATTTTCAGCGATGCTGCAAATTAGGTAAAGCGTGGGATGTTGTTGGATTGTGAAGGATTTCAGCAATTTTAGGTTGGGTTTTGCAGTATTCCAGGGGCAGCCTGACCACAGCACTGTGAGCCTTGAGTGTGTGATTGTTGGGAGACCTGAACTAGAATCAAATGATTTGGCAATATAGCCCAGGATCCTGTTTGCCTTGAATTATAGACAGAAACAGTCCTGCACCTCCATAAACACACAACTCCCAACAATTGAAGAACCAATGTAGGAATGATGAGCATTGATAAAACTACCCACCCCTGGAATGATCACTCTCCAAAGAGAAAACAGGAGTGTGCTTAGCAAAAGGCAGATCCAAAAAATGTTGGCAGAAGAGACGCATAACCTAACCGCAAGTCATTCCTGTTGTGGGAAATGCAAGTCGGTCGCCAATTTCCCAAGAACGTTTGTAATCGGATCTCAGGAGTTGTCACTGGTTGCTTTAACCCTAATGTTAATGTAACTTTCTGGAAGTCACCTTCACAGCAGAATGTGTTGGCTAAACTCCCAGTTTAATTACGCGTTGAGTGATTTACAGACTGCAGAGAGAAACAAGGGACCCACTTGAAAACAAATCCAGATAAATTACCCCCCACTCCCTCCCCCATCCAAACACATTTGTCTATTTATAATTGACAGCTGCTGTATACTTAGGGTAAAAGCACTGATGCAGAAAGGAGCAATATGCCCAAAGCATGTTTTATCACAATGGACATCTCAGTGATGTGCACGTGTTTTACACCAGAAAATAAAGATTAGGCCTGTTGATTATTCCGACACAAATCTGATGGGTGTTGCTTGGGATTATCAACAGATCAGCCTGCAAGAATTTAATTTGGGGGCTCAATCCCCTGCTTTTAATGCATGACATTGAATAAAGAAAAACATTTACCAAATCTTAAATTGTATTTAAGGTACATTTTTCAAAGGCTTCAGAATCAGACATTTCAGAAGAGAAGGCCATTTCACCATGCTTGCTTCTCTCCACTGAAACCACCTACTCTAATCCCATATCCGCACACTTCCCCCACTCTATCTTCACTCTTTATCCAAATCACTGTTAATTATCAAAACTCATTGGCTGTAACAGCACCTATGGAAGTGTTTTCCATATTCTAAAGACCTTTAGTTAAAGTCTCCTTTTATGCTTCTGGTAATAATCTGAGTTTATGCCCCCTTCTTGCCCATTCATTATTATCAGTCTCAAAGAAGGAACACTACAAAGTTTGATCTAAAAATATCCAGGTTATAGAATTGAAATAGAAAAATGAAAGAGATGAAAAGGGACCCTTAGCAAGTTAATTGGAAGAAATTCTGGGAGTGTTTTATAGTTGCTGAGGTGACAAATTAAAAAAACATAAGTAGACGATGAATTCTGTGCCCCCACAGCTCGGCCCCTATCAAAATGCAAACGGATGGTAAAGTTTAATATCCCACCCCCAGCGATCTTGTAACAATAGTGCTGTATAAGACTGGACTCTGAAGGAAAAACATGTTTGAATCCCAGTCTTGATTGGAGAGCAAGAGCATAGCAGAGAATGGGAGGTTTACAAATTGTGGATTGATAAGATTTCTTTGAAATGCTTTAATGAACCTAGTATTTTTTTCTTAAAAACAATGACTGAGTAAAGTTATTGAAATTGAGCTTATTTTGCCTTTGCGATAAGAATCTGACAAAAATATATTTTAAGTAATTGAAGCTTCATGTTTAGTTTAGGGGAAGTCAATAGGCCATTACACCATTGAGTAGTCCAAGATCAATGTTTATTAACAGGATGCCGCTTCAAAAAAGGCAGAAAATACTATAGGTAGTAAGTCATACATTACAGAATGTCACAACTATTTAAAATACAGATTAGTGTGAACATGCAACACCTCAGCAGACAGTGTAATACAGAGTGAAAGGATTAAGAAAGCAGAATCAGGTAGAAAATCGTACGTGTTAAAGCATTAGGCACATTTATACAATTAGTAATTGCATTCAATTACAAAAAGCAACAGGATAAAATCTATCAGAATACAGTTGAATCCTGATAAATGCATTAGTAATAGGTTACCAAGGCAGAGGTTACCAAGAAACTTGCACAATAGCATTACAGTAAATTTAGATTAGAAACGGTATTTGAGGTAAAGTTGAAGAACAAGTTAGAATTGGGCATGCTTTTGTTTGGACTCAACTGCCTGTGAAAATCTTTAGCAAAGCTGATTTGAAAGAGAAACGTACAGAACATTTTTGGTTAAACACAGGAAAGAAAGTTAGACAGAAGATCAGAGAAAATGATCAATCAACCCTGCTTTCAGCACAGACATGTTGGGGGGGGGGAGGAGAACGGTTCAAAACCCTTTGTACCAGGCTTGGTAGGAATGTCTTTTCAAAAACCTGACTTAAGGGTGGAATTTCAAATCAAATAGTCCTCAGAATCCGACCTAGAATGATCTCTGATTCAAAATCAATTTCTACTATAAACATCAGTCTGTAAAACTGTATAACAATGTTTCCCTAATTAATGTGGTCAGGTTGGAGAGGGAGAAATCAACTTGCATTTGGAAAAAGAGGTAGAAAAATATTTACTGTTGAATTGCATCGCCACAGCGCAGCAAGAGACGCGCAGCGCAGGAGACCTATATTCAAATAACAAACAAGTCATTTCAGATTTGCATTGTTATTTTACATCCCACTCCACATCTATGAAAGGCGCTATACAAATGTAATCATGTTGTTGTATGAAGTCTGGAGTCTATGCACTGGCAAATCTAATAATAATTCCACTGAATACCTCAATATAGCATGTTAGAAAAGCCTCAGTAAGCATCAAATGTAAAAATAATTAAAGGAGTCATCAATAAACTAAAATGTCTTGCTCTATTTGTGCAAGAAACAGTCATTTAATT